TACAAATTCTGGTGTTAGTATGAGTCGCGTCTGCTTTGAGCGCCTATTAAGTTTACAGGATGAAATTTTAAAAGCCTTTGATGAATTGGAAAAACGTTAATAAACAAATAAAATATAAGAAGACTTTTGTTCTAATTTTAGTGTGTGTGTGTGTGTGTGTGTGTGTGTATATACGTGTAGCATACGCGTACTAGAAAACCATCAAGGTAATGTCCGGTTGCTCAACCTAATTACACCACCAGCTGTCGCACAACAGCTGTTGGATAATGACCTAAGTGCTTCGCGGAGAGACACTTAGTGAACCCCATTAATCAATGACGGGTGTCAAAATTTAATTAGGCGGGCTATCAAGTTGATGATGGTCCAGTGGGTGTGACCAATATTAACTCTGGACGTGTACGGTCCCAGTCAAACGAAAAGCTTTGGTGTCGGATCGATAAGTAACAGGTGTGGTTAAATGGATGTTCTATTTTCGGTAACCGTTCGTTGTGTTGCTGAATGGTCCCTATACAAAGTCCACGCTAGTGTTAGTCTTTTATTTAAAACATACATACAAGCAAATAAACAAACCAACAAATTAAACAACAAAGAAAAGAAATATATTAAATAAACAAATAAACAAAGTAATTAAAATCAAATTACGTAACTAGTTAATAATAATTTAACTAATTATAAAATAAAATTAAAAATTTAAAAATTCAAAAAATTAAAATCCAATTACGTAACTACTCAATAAAAAATAATTAAAAAGTAAACAAATAATCAAATTACGTAACTCGTTAATAAAAATTACACAATATAAACAAAGTAATTAAATTAAACAACAAGTAAACAAACAAATTAAACAAAATAAAAATGCGATCAAAGTAATTAAATTACGTTTACCATACCCCCTGGTGGGATCGCTTCGCGAACCCACATAAATCATCATGACCTATCAAAATTTAATTAGATGTGATGGCCCGTGGGTGCGATCAATACATTCCCATTAAAAACCGGGGAGCGCGTGTCAAAAACAAAGGATCGCGGATCGCTAAGTAACAGATGTGATTAAATGAATGTTCTATGTTTGTAACGTTCGTTGTGGTGGAGAATTTAACCTGTTTTTTGTACACGGTCGTTGTATGGGAGAATTTAAAACATACATACAACCAAATAAACAAACCAACAAATTAAACAACAAAGAAAAGAAATATATCAAATAAATAAATTAAACAAAGTAATTAAAATCAAATTAATTAAAATGAATTTCAAACAAATAATCAAATTACGTAACTCGTTAATAAAAATTACACAATATAAACAAAGTAATTAAATTAAACAACAAGTAAACAAACTAATTAAACAATCAAAGTAATTAAATTACATAACTAGTCAATAAAAATTCAAACTAATTATAAAATAAAATTAAAATTACGTAACTAGATACAAAATAAATAAAAATCAAATTAATTAAACTTATTAAAAATAAAATAAAATTAAAAATAAACAAAATAAAAATAATTAAAAAGTAAACAAATAATCAAATTACGTAACTCGATAGTTCATGGACAGCTGTAATCTAATGAAAAAAGCCGAGAGCCGTGACTAATTACAGCACCAGCTGTTACCTAAGGGCTTCACGGAGCTGACAAATCGATCGGTTTTCGCTGACCTCGCTATAAGCGAATAGTTACCGATGTCGCTACACTTACGATGTGTGACCAATTTAATTAGGTGTGATGGTCAGTGGATGTGATCGATATTACACAGCTGTTGCATAATGACCTACGTACTTCGCGGAAAGCCACTTAATGTACGTCGTAAATTACCATAACCTGTCAACCGAGTGGGGGAAACTCGGTGAAGCATAACAAAAATTTAATTAGGTGGGACATCATGCTGTGATGGCCCATTGGGTGCGATCAATACATTCCCATTAAAAACACGCAGCCCGGAAAACTTCGCGGGCGGTCGATACGTAACAGGTGTTACGTGTCTGGTTAATGGATGTTATTCACAAAGTACACGCTAACGCACCCCTACCCTCAAACCCCATCATTACTCCCCCTCTCATCCACCAACACCCCTATCCGTTTACTATTAAACATACATACAATCAAATAAACAGTGTCTTTTATTTTAAATACCATACATCAAAGAAAAGAAATATATCAAATAAATAAATAAACAAAAGTAATTAAAATCAAATTACGTAACTAGTTAATAATAATTTAACTAATTATAAAATTAAATTAAATTAAAAATAAACAAAATAAAAATAATTAAAAAGTAAACAAATAATCAAATTACGTAACTCGTTAATAAAAATTACACAATATAAACAAAGTAATTAAATTAAACAACAAGTAAACAAACAAAATTAAAATAATTAAAATACAATCAAAGTAATTAAATTACGTAATTAAATTACGTAACTCGATAATAAAAATTAATTAAAAATTTAAAAATTCATTAAAACTCTTAAAAATAAACAAACAAAATACAAACAAAGTAATTAAAATCAATTAAATTTAAAATTAAAATCAAATCAATTAAATCAAACTAAAATTAATTAAAATTTAAAAAACAAAATAAAAATAATTAAAAAAAAATTAAAATCAAATACAAAACAAAATAAATAAAAATCAAATTAATTAAAGTTATTAAAAATAAACAAACAAAACACAAACAAATTAAACAATTACGTAATAAAAACACATTAAAATTACGTAACTAGGTCAAAAAATTAATTAAACTTTTAAAAACTCATTAAACCTAATTAAAAACCCATTAAAATTACGTAACTAGGTCATGGAGTATTTTACTATATGTCTTTGCGCCACCCTAGGGAGTATTTTGTTATATGTCATTGTACCTCCCGACCCGAGTATTTTACTATATAACCTTTGCGCCACCCAAATACGACCCAAAAGTGACCTAATATACTACTTATATATATATATATATATTTATATATATATATATATATATATATATATATATATATATATATATATATATATATACATATATACATATATACATATACTAAGAACATTATATTGATGTTTTTGACATTCAAAATATTTTAATTGTGAACATAAAGCGACACGATACTTCGTCGTCAATAGATGTAACCCAATGAAAGTCAATGCTAATTTTAAAGATCCCTGAGTGGGGTGGTGAGTGGGTGTATTAAAACCCCAAGGGGATAGGCAGAGGCGTAGCGAGGGGGGTGGGGGTGCGGATCGCACCGGGTGACACCATTTAAGGGGGTGACACCAAGGCAAAAAATAGTAAAATATATATAGAAAAACTTGAGGGGGGGGGTGCAAATCGAAAGTTCGAGGGGTGGGGTGGGGTGCAAATAAAAAATTTGTAGTAAGGGCCGCTACGCCTCTGGGGGGCGGGGGACACCGTTAAGTGCCGCACCGGGTGACACCCGACCTCGCTACGCCACTGGGGATAGGTATTATAACCCTCGATGGGGAAGGTATGATAAAACTCGGTAAGGAGGAATTATAACCATCGGTGAGGGAGGTATTATAACCCTTGATGGGGGAGGTAGTCATAAAACTCAGTCGGTAGTGATATTATAACCCTCGCTATCACACTCTTCCTACGCCATTAATAATTACTGTGTTTTTTTAAATCTCTTATTTAATAATGCAGCTAGCATGACCCACATTATGACCCACATCATGTCCCACATTATGACCCACATCATGACCCACATCATGACCCACATCATGACCCACATCATGACCCACATCATGACCCACATCATGACCCACATCATGACCCACATCATGACCCACATCATGACCCACATCATGACCCATATCATGACCCACATCATGACCCATATCATGACCCACATCATGAGCCACATCATCACACATCATGACCCACATCATGACCCACATCATGACCCACATCATGACCCACATCATGACCCACAACATGACCCACATCATGACCCACATCATGACCCACATCATGACCCACATCATCACACATCATGACCCACATCACGACCCACATCATGACCCACATCATCACACATCATGACCCACATCATGACCCACATCATGACCCACATCATGACCCACATCATCACACATCATGACCCACATCATGACCCACAACATGACCCACATCATCACACATCATGACCCACATCATGACCCACATCATGACACACATCATGACCCACATCATGACACACATCATGTCCCACATCATGACCCACATCATGACCCACATCATCACACATCATGACCCAAATCATGACCCACATCATGACCCACATCATGACCCACATCATGACCCACATCATGACCCACATCATGACCCACATCATGACCCACATCGTGACCCACATCATGACCCACATCATGATCCTCATCACGACACACAACATGACCCACATCATGACCCATATCATGACCCACATCATGACCCACATCATGACCTACATAATGACCCACATCATGACCCACATCATGACCCACATCATGACCAACATCATGACCCGCAACATGACCCACATCATGACCCATATCATGACCCACATCATGACCCACATCATGACCCGCAACATGACCCACATCATGACCTACATCATGACCCACATCATGACCCGCAACATGACCCACATCATGACCCACATCATGACCCACATCATGACCCACATCATGACCCACATCATGACCCGCAACATGACCCACATCATGACCCATATCATGACCCACATCATGACCCACATCATGACCCGCAACATGACCCACATCATGACCTACATCATGACCCACATCATGACCCGCAACATGACCCACATCATGACCCACATCATGACCCACATCATGACACACATCATGACCCACATCATCACACATCATGATCCACATCATGCCCAACATCATGCCCAACATCATGACCAACATCATGACCCACATCTCAACATGACTAATAATTAACTACTGATTTAATTCCCAACTGTTGTGTTTGTTTACAAGTGTGTCAGATTTGTTAAACGGACTGCACAAACTATCGAAGACGGCAGATTACCAAAGTCAGCTGGTGAGGCTGCAGATTTTGACTCTGATGAAAGACGTGTTCAGTAGAGGGACGCCAAAGGAAATCGTTTTAGCCAAGAATATCGTTGTGGAGCTTGCCATAGTTAAAGCTTGTCGCGACGCTATACTGGTAAGCAATAAATAGAATTGTTAAAGTATTGTTTTTTTTCCTATCTGAGGATCTATTATCTATATCGAATGATAATATACCATATACGCCAATATACGAGATGAGGCTCGTTAGCTGGGACAGCCACTCTTCTAGGAGAGACAACTCCAAAATCAAACAACTGCTGCCTTGTAGTTTGTTCTTGGTTGGACAAAGGCTATGGAAGCAAATCCAAAAAGAAAAGCAGGCTGAAATCGGAGTAATTGGCCTCAATGGCGTATAACTAGTTGACACGTATCCTTAATTGTGTTGGAGGGGGATCCCTTCTAACACTAAAATTAAGAATGAAGAAGAGGAAGAAGATACTATCTGTATTGGTGAACTGGTTTGACTTTAATGAGGAATAGACTCAGGTAAAAATTATTGCAAGTAGTAGAGTGTAAGATCAGTTTTAAACCAGACTGCTCATAAGACAGATCAGATAAAGTAGTTTATTTTGAAAATGTCTCACTTTAAAGATGTAATACATTAAGTGATGTGAATTTGACTTTTTAAATCTCTCCCTTTTAGCGTGATAAAGATTTAATACATAAACTGAATTGACTTAGACGTTTAAAATGTCTCCCTTTTAGCGTGATAAAGATTTAATACATAAACTGAATTGACTTTGACGTTTAAAATGTCTCACTTCTAGCGTGATAAAGATCTAACACAAGCCCTGTCAAAACATGAGATCGTATTGCCAGGTAGGTGGTTGTTATATTGGACCCATCTTTTAGTTGACATTATCTTGTACGCTTGATGTAAACTATTAGAGTTCAAAACCTGACCATGACGGGGGGTGCGGACACTGGTAAAAGTATGTTTTCTTTATAAATTTCATTTCGTTCGGAGGGAGGGGGGGGGGGGGGAGGCGGAAGATATTGTTCGGGGGTGGGCGGAGACCTACCGAAGAGATGCCTGGAAGAAACTCTGGTCATCCATCCAGTGACGTCTTTGTCTTCCCCTTCTTCTCTCTCCTAGTACAGCGCCTTACAATATTGTTTAGGATAGTAGTAGGCTGTTTATTCTTAAGTCATGCCCATACCCAGTCAGGTTTCTCGTTTTGATTATGCTCAGTTGTTATCTACAATTATATTGACTTAAAAGCTAATACTAATGTGGCGACTTCAATAGTTTAGTCGGAAATTTTAACAATTTTTTATTTTAATTTTTTATCAGTTAGCAGCACCACACCAAGTTGTGCTGATGGTGAAGCAGAACCTGTACCTGTAAACAAAGTTTGTATTTGTTATTTTTTTCATTTATTATAATCTACGAGCCGACCCGCGGCGTATCATACGCCGCTATTTAGTTGTGTCATTTTCTACTTTTCAGTAATTCATAATTTGTGGATTCGACAGTACCAATGCTGCCACTGAAAATATTTGCTTTAAAACACTAAAAACCCTCCTTTCCCCCTACCCCCCCCCCTCCACCCACGTGAAAGCAGCCTCAACTTAGTTACTTCCCCTAAGTATAAAATATTAATTAATTATCTGCCCCTAATAGCCGTCACTAAACCCGGCTCTACGATGTAAACATTTAGCGTGAACTACAGCTCACCAGACCATGTGGGTGTGGGGGTGGTTGCGATATGCCTAGAGAGGAAAAGAGGGGACTGTTCGGCGCGCTTACAGCTTGTTTTCTAACGTCTCCCTGAAGAGAATTATATATAGAGAGTATCATGAGGTTTAATTCTTAGCAACCGACTGCTAAGATTTTTATTAGAACGTGTTTTGCTTTAAAAAAAAAACTTCAAGAAAACTATTTGTCAATTATTGCGAAAAATTTACTACATTAAAATTCAAAAATAAATAAATTTTAAATTAATTGTTTAAAATCATTTATTACAAACTCTGGTGAACGGTTACATCACATAGTACGTGATGCTATACACAACGACGGCAACATATATGGTTATATATGAAGGGCTCAGTGGAAAAAGTACTTAAGTGTATTTTGAGAGTTTTGAGAAAAATGAGGTCAAAGTTTTTAAATTGAAGCTGAAATACCTTTTATTCATTTTACTTAACTGTAACATTTTTTTTTATATACAGCACACACTGCTAGATATCTGAACCAAGTTTTATACTTGTTTTGTAAAAAATAATGATTTTGTGATAAATAAGAGGTTTTGCACTTAGGTACTTTTTGCCCTGAATTTTTATTTTCAACTTAATTTTTAAATTTACTAGCAATGTTTTGCACCCATAAATGTTTTGTCAGTCAATAATAGTCCCCTACTCACACCCTGTTTATTTATAATTCAAGCAGCTGTTAGTATGATGTTTAAATAATAGGTAGATAACATTTCTGTTGCCAGTGTTAAGTTCATCAGTGATCATCTGCCTATTAGTGTAGGTTACATAAGATGGATCTATCTACAGCTACCATTTGAATAATACCAACTGGAAATCATTTTATTAAAAGACTGCCTTTAAAGTAAACATCTAATGGCAAATAGTAATATTCTTTAACGATAAACACACTTTGACAAGATTCTGTTTATGATTATGTCAAAATGTTTATTTCCATTCAAATTTTAAACAACAAAGGTATAAACACAAAATGAATTTAAATTATTGGTATATACAGAGTCAACAGAAATAGTCAAACAAATGTGATGTAATAATTATTTATAATCTTGATGGTAACACTATTTACCTCAATAATTATCTATACAAAATTAAATTAAATGTCCTATTCAAAATCATCAGCTTGCTCATCCTCTTCTGTAGACATTTCTAAAGGTTTGAGGGAAGTGTAAAAAGTTACACTCTCTGGAAGATGGACATGGGACAAAAGTGACATAATGTCATCAAATTTTGCTTTCTTTATTGGAAGAAAGCCGTTGAATGCCAAAGGGCAATCTTGAATAGCTGATTTTAAGGTGTTCAGTGATTTTCCCCTTTTTAATAAATTTAAAGTGAAAGTAAGAGGGCCAGTCATTGAGCTTCTGCCAACAGGGTTCTTCGGCCTTTCAAATAAAATCCCTCTGAGACTGGCAATACCCTCTGGCGCTTTAATGACTTTGTCCAGGCTAGATTTAAAATCTTTAACCCTGACAACAGGTCTACTGTCCATTTCCAAATTGTCAGTAAATGGATGTTCAACATACACAATTTTCCATGAATTATTAATGCTTGATTTGGCAATAAGATTTACCAGGTCAGAAGGCTTATAAAACTTATCTGTTTTTAATTTTTTTTTTCCAATTCTGCCAAAGTCTCTGTCACATGGCATTCTGCTGTGACCAGGAATTGGGTACTTAATAACAACTTCAGTCAGTTTAGTATTACATAAATTTTGCAAAAAAGCAACAATGTATCGGTTTTTGCTTTGAGAAAAACAATTATCTGTGAAAATGACCAGTTTTCTTATCGACTCCGGCAATTCTTCTATATAGTGTTCCAGACATGAAAGAACCTCATTGGGTCCTTTGTTAGCAAAATTTTCTGCATAAATGTACATCGAAGCATTTCCAGAGCAAACATCATGAATGCCAAGGTTATGCACAGCCAGCTGTCTTTTGTAGTACTCCTGGCCAATCCCAGTAACAGGTAGAGGCAGGTTCTTTTGGAAATCCATAGCTATGACTTTAGTATCATTAGTAGAAAGAGCAAGATGCTTATCCTCTCTTATCTGCTCATAGAAGGCATCCCCTTTTCTTTTGTGAACTTCATGTTCAGTTCTTAGTTTGAAAACCAAATCATTATTTCTGTTGACAGTGGCAGATTTAATATCAGCATTAAATTTTTCACACGTGTCACATATATCTGTGCGTGGAAACCCAAAACTAATATTAAATTCAAAGTTCAAAATATCTCTATAGATCCATTCTTTGGCCATAGTGTTCATGTCTGGGTGTTGTTCCAAAAACAACCTAAACATCTCAGAAATGTTAAGGTCAGAGGTTAGGTAGATCCTTTTTCTATTGTCTGCTCGAGAATAGTGGCTTTCTCTTGCAGGAAATGAAGAAATATGTTGACGGATTGCTTGGCGAATCTCATCATTAAGTTTTTTGTGATGGCCATGCTTTCCTCTTAAGTCTTGTAGGGGGTCTTCAAAGTTCAGGACTTTTTTCTTCAGGCGTGATTCCTTAATACCATGCAGAGCACAAAAAGCATTTTTGCACACAGGTATAGGTGAGCCAGTTTCTTTTATTGTGTAGCTGTAGCTGCTACGGAATGTTTTGGGGGCTGCCTGACTCTGCTTTCGCCTGATAGTGTTTTCTTCTTTTACAGAAATGCAACCCCTTAAATAAATGTTTTGTTTCTCATGTTCGGCAAGCTCATTAAATTCTTTTAAAATATTACTCCTTTCTCCATCGTTAAACTTCTCTAGACATTTGCACCTGCAGTCCACATAGTGCTGGCTCCTTTCATCAACATCCTTTCCAACATGGTTTTTGTGAGCATCGCCTGCAAATAGAAAGTTTACATTTTTCATTAGGTTACAACATAATATGAGTGAGGTGAAGAGGGTGTAATACTAATAGTATAGATAGGCTAATACTAGATCTAGTAATTAGATCTAGATTCTATAAATTAAAAAAAAATCACATTTTAGATAGGGCCTACTATTTAAAATAGAACTGAGAGCTGTTTAATTCAATAGAAAGGTACCTAAGGCTAATAAACGTATAATTTAAAACAGACTAGATCTAGATTTTACATAATATTAATAATATAGTCCTCAAATCGCCGAAATTCTGCAGTGATAACAGTACAGTACAGCATGAAAGCCGAAATCATAGCATGGCATGATAAGAAAGTAAAGTAGGGTAAAGGAGGGCGTTAAGAGCCGTGTGGTATTAAGCCCCAATCAACACCCCACCCCCACAAAACCCCCAATAACACTGCTAATCTACTGCTGAGGTAACAACCACTGCTGTTCTTTGATAACAGAGAAGCAGAGGATTCATTTTATGTAATTTATGACCCACTAGGTCCAATAGGGAGAGGATGAGACAGGATTTAATCCTACTGCTCTTTCCCTAAAATTTCTCATCTCCATAAAACCATTTTGTGAACTTTTTTTCCAAAAAGACATAACTTGGGAAACTTCACTTTGTAATAAACCAAATGAGTTTTTCAAGCCCATTCATTGTTCCTGTATTAGAGCATTGGTTGTTGTACATTTTAACACTATTTTTATAGCTATGGTTAGAATAGTTTTATTTTGGTGAATTTTTTTTTGCACAGTGATTATTGGTGCCAAAACAAAATGGCCGACATTTGTCCCATTTTACCATGCTATAAAGTTTTTATCATTACCTGAGTAAAACTTGACTGATCATTACCATAATGGTTTTATTTGTTAGATAATAACTAAATCTACATGAATACATTAATTTTGTCCAAAAGCTTGCCTGTTTAGAAAAGTTATAACAGATACTGTTATGTGGCTCTTGAAACCCTATGTGCAAGTTTCTCATTTATTAGACCACTGAATATGACACTAGTATAGGAATAGTTAACACAAAATGTATTAATTGTTAAACAGACTTGTGTCTAAATGATAGAAATACAATTCTAATCTGCTAAAAAGTAAAAATTCAGCCATGTGATGTTAGCCAGGTAATTTTTTAAATGGTACACATACTTATTACCCCTAAGGGGCAATACAGCCGACTGTTTCTAACCTGTTTCTAACCAACCATAAAACTTCTAATCTCTTTGTAGGTAACAGGAATAAATGTTCTTAGGTCTCAGCCAATCTGGGGTGGTATGTTATGTAATGTATGACCCTCATGGTCCAGCAGGGAAGTAAACAGACACATTAATACCACTGCTCCCCCCCCCCCCCGCCCTTACATTTTCTTACCCCCATGATTCACAGCCCCCACCAGTTTCTGGCCCACCATAAAACTTCATCTCTTTGTAGGTAACATGGATTACAGTTACAGATCTCAGACAATCTGGGGTGGCATGTTATGTAATATATGACCTTTATGGTCTAGCAGGGTGGAGACCAAAGAGGAATCAGTACCACTGCTCTCCCCTCACAATTTCTCACCCCCATGATAGCCAGACCCCACCTGTATCTAACCCACCATAAAACTTCATCTCTTTGTAGGTAACATGGACTAAGTTCTTAGATCTCAGCCAACCAGATATAGCATCTCCTTATGTAATTTATGGCCCTCAGGGTCCAGCAAGGAGAAAAAAGGGGAAACCAGTACCACTGCTCTCCCCTCAACATTTCTCACCCCCATGATACCCAACCCCCACCTGTATCTAACCCACCATAAAACTTATCTCTTTGTAGGTAGCATGGACTAAGTTCTTAGATCTCAGCCAACCAGAAATAGCATCTCCTTATGTAATTTATGGCCCTCAGGGTCCAGCAAGGAGAACAAAGGGTAAACCAGTACCACTGCTCTCCCCTCAACATTTCTCACCTCCATGTCATGTTATGTAATGTATAGCACACATGGCTTATCAGGGGAAAACATTTAGGCAGATTAGTTAGTACCACCCCTTTTTACATACAAGAATGTTAACTCTGGACAGCTACACACTAGTATACTAGCTACACACTAGGCATACTAATGTGCCTACTGTAAACTACTAGACTGTAGGCCCTATGTACACCTGCAATTGTATCAATTGTAGACTGGGCCCATTGGGATCTAGTGATAGCTAGTATCAGTTAAAGTGTGTGTACACAGCATTTACTATTTTGGAGTTAGAAATTAATTATTTTTATTGCGGAGTTAGTCTAAACTAGGAGATAATACTTATCGCCCCATTGTCCGGCTCCTATCACCCCAAATGCTGATTTCGGGGGTATGACAATAAATGTTCAATTAAACCCATTTAAAGTATATTCAATAGACTTTGTTATTATTTTTATATTGTGTAAGATATGTTAGAATAATTTTTCCATATTTTCAATAATAAACATTTTTTAGATTAGTAGAAATCTTTAAAAATGTACAGGTGCTAAAAAGTGTGGCTCTTAACGCCCTCCTTTACCCTACAAAGTGAATGTTATTTTTAAATAGAAATTAGTATACATAGCTATCTTTAATTTTATTATTTTGATTACTCAATAAACAACATACCTGAAGCTTTGGCACGCTTTATTGCAGTCTTTGACCATTTATTTGGTGTAGATTTTCTTTTTTTCCCAGTTTTGTTTTCACTTTTCTCAACTACGTTGTCAGCCATTGTTGTAGAAAGTAACAGGAAGGGTGTGCCTTTTTGGTGCATTCTTATTGGCTGGCAGTAATTTTGTGATTGGTTGGTAACAGTTAAGAACTTTTTCCCCTAAAGATCAGCACTTAAGAACTTTTTCTTCAAAATTTTACCAAAACAGCTGATGCAGAGTATTCAAATTAAGCTACTTCGGTACTCTTTCCATGGCCCAAATTTACAGGGATGGTTAAGGGGAGGTAATCAAATAATATACCGGTCTTAACTCATTTTTGAAAAAATGTAACTTAAGTACTTTTTCCACTGAGCCCTTCATATGGCTAAGCTCGTGGCGTAGTTGGGGTATTTGTTGACTAGTGCTGACAGAGGCGTAGCGACGGGATGGGGGGGGGCATAATAAGCTCATTTTAGATGCTATTTTGAATTATAAATACAAAAAAATATATGAGGGGGGCACCAAATTGAAAGTTTGTACCCGGGCGCCGGGAGGGGTCGCTACGCCTCTGGTGCTGACCTGTTTTAGATGCCACTAAAGTAAACGAAAAAGGCAACAACAAAACTGGTGCCTGATGCGGAGGCGTAGCGACGGGGGGTGGGGGGCGGACCGCACCGGGTGACACCATCTTGGGGGGGGGGGTGACACCATGGCAAAAATAGCAAAATATATTCAGAAAAATGATAGTCCCACTTAATTAAGTGATTAATGAGAGTGTTAAATAGTCTTTTAAGAGCAAAGTTGACAAATCTCGACATGGGGGGGGTGACACCATTAAGTGCCGCACCGGGTGACACTTGACCTCGCTACGCCACTGGCCTGATGCTCGTTACGTAAAAAAGATTGCCATGCCCAATGTCGCCTGCACTAACAACAATAATCTTGTTATCCGACTGATACAAACTCTTTTTCTCTGTTTTCCTATTTGGTAAATGTATTTATTAAAAAAAAAACTAATGACATCAAGTTTCTATTTCAGGTAGCAAATCGCCCGCAACTTGAAAGTAGGTTGTCTAAACGTGATTACTATGAGGCGAATCATTCTCCAGGTAAGTTGTAAATAAGCTCACCTTGCCAGAACAATTTTCGTAGGAAACCGTATAAATATTACAAGAAGCAGAATCAACCTCCCGGAAATTTGTAATTAATAAACTCAACTATCCAGAATGATCTTTATAGGAAAACAAAAGAAACTCACGGGAAGCTGACTCACCAAAGAACCAAAAAAAATATTTTTAGAAAATATTAGTAGTATTTTATTGTGTATATCTTTTAAGATACATAGCAAAATATAATACAACAACAAAAAATTATTTTTGTTTTGGAATTATCATGCTTACATTTTAATTAACTGTCGGCACAACATATTATGTCGAGATAAGAAAATAAATGCTTTAAGATATTTGAAAAAAATCCTAAAATTAGCTACGATAAATAGCTTAAGGAAAATATTTTTTTTTCTAAAAGACGAAACTTCTAGTAATGTGTAATGAACAGAAATTATTATTTCAGGTGAATTCCGCATCGAAACATTGCAGATCACAAAAGTAAATAAAGAACACTCTCTAATGTTCACAGTACCGCAAGATTTGAAAAATGAACTGAAAAAAATCAACTTTAATTTAGACCGCGATTATTCAATTCAACCCAATTTAGTTACAGAAGATACATTTCATCTTTTAAAACTAGGAATCACGATTATAGAAGGATTTATATCCAAAGAAGACAATGAACTTTTAACAAATCTGGAACTACTGAAGCTACGATGCGCCCACTTATCAATACCAGAGATGAAATTTTTCGGAGATTTTATGTCGGACATCGGTTTTGTTGAAAAAAGTTTCATCAAGTACAAATCTGTGCTGAGGAAGGCGGGTCTGGAACATCTGAATGTCAATTTTTTGGAGAAAATTTCTTTCGACGAGAGGCAGACGCTGGAGCTGGTCAGGGAATTCTGGGCCAGTTTGTCACGTGCCAGTAGCAAGGTGGCAGGTCAGCTGGATAAAGATGGCGTCGTGCAGGAGTTGTACCAGGATCTGGTTAACTTGATCGACAAAACTGAGCAGGATCTGGTAGGGAGAAATGATTTCACTAACTTAAAGTGATACATGTCCTATAGGGAAGTTTTAAAACAATTTAATTGACAAGACTGAGCAGGATCTGGTAGGGGGAAATGATTTCAGTTGTTAAAATAAATAATTGTCCTTTAGGGAAGTTTTGATTTAAAACAATTTAATTAATAAGACTGAGCAGGCCTGGTAGGGAGAAATGATTTCAGTTGTTAAAATAAATGTCGTATAGAGCATAGGCGTAGCGACCCTTCCCGGCGCCCGGCGACAGACTTTCAATTTGGCGCCCCCCTCGGGAACAACCTTTCAATTTTCAATTTGCACCCCCCCCCCCCATATATTGTTTTATATTTATAATGCAAAACTGCAGCTAAAATGAGATTTTAATTTGTTTTTTTAACCCATTTTGGCGCCCCCTAAGGTCTGCGCCCGGGGACATATGTGACGTCCCCCCCCCCTCGCTACGCCTCTGGTATAGAGAAGTTTTGATTAAAATAATTTAATTGACAAGACTGAGCAAGATCTGGTAGGGAGAAATGATTTCAGTTGTTAAAATTAAATAAATTTCCTATAGGGAAGTTTTAATCTAAGTAATTCGGATGATTATAGATACCGGTGTCGATATTAGAATATTCTTTAAAAAAGTGGTGTTGGGTTGCTAGTAGTATTGCAATCTCGACTAATTTTATGTTTAAAAATTAGGGTTAGGCGTATGGTAGGACCAGGGTTGGGGTTAGGGACAGGGTTAGCATTGACATTAGCCAGCCATGTGTGTATTTAGTTAACTACCAGTAACTTAACAACCCTTTTTAAAGAAGATTCCATTATCGGATACCGGTGTAAACATTCTCCCCCTCCCTTAAAGTGATACATGGCGTATAGGGAAGTTGTTCTTAAAACATTAAATTGACAAGATTGAGCAGGAACTAGTCGCGAAAAAAGTTTCAATTTTGTCATTTAAAGAGATAAATGTCCTAGAGAGTATTAATGAGATTTTTGTTAGTAAGAGATGTAAAGTCCCTTAACGAGATGAAGTTCTTTTGCGAAAAAAGTATTTAAAAAGTTAAGTTGCTTTTTAGACCTAATTAACTATGTAGAAGCACTAAGCTGGAAGTGGAAGCCCTACTGACTCAACTCCGGATCGAGATGCAAACTCGAGACTTTCTGGCAGAGGCGTAGCGAGGACGGGGCGGGGAGTGCGGACCGCACCGGGTACACCATTTAGAGGGGTGACACCAATATAAATAATTGCAAAATGTACAGAAGAAAAATGCCTTTTTGCCAGTTCCATTAACGATTAATTAAAGTAAAATAGTCTTTTAAGTACAAATTGATGATTATTACAAGAGGGTTTGGGTGACACCATATTGTAAACGCGCGAACTATAGAGAAAAAAAATGCTATATCCAACTAAAATTTTAACTTACTTTTGATAAACATCATTATTATTACGTCTGCAGTGATTAAATCTTATTCATACACATGTACGTATGTGTAGCATTCAAATTATAGGTCTATGTAGGCCGATACACACGCATACACAAATATATGTAATTATATAGCATATATATATACTTTATTTCTTTGGGGTGGTGGGGGGGGGTGATACCATGAAGTGCCGCACCGGGTGACACCCGAACTAGCGACGACACTGCTGTCGGGTATTCTTCAAGTTGACAGTCATGTACTCTACCACTCAACCACACCGTTCCCAACCCAGCCTTGTATGGACCATATGTGTCTCTCATCCACAGGACGATTCCTTCTTGTTTTCTTCGAGTCTGACGACCATCTACAACATAGCAAGGTCAAGGTTGGACGAAGACAGGAAAACCATGGGGAAGTTGGTGGACGTTCTGGGCAACTTTCTCTCGCTGAAGCCTGGTAAACTTTTACTGAACATTTCCGTCTTTATGTTTCAGTCTTGTGTTAGGCTTCATCATTTTTTGGGATGTTTGTCGGTGTTGTGTTAGGCTTCATCATTTCTTGGGATGTTAGTCAAACAACCTGTTGAATCAGTTTCTTTTTATAATGCCATTTCTATATTTGTTTACGTTAAAGACATTCCCATATTTTTTTCGTTATAGACATTTCTATTTTTTTTTTTCGTTATTGACATTCATATTTTTTTTTCGTTATAGATACTCCTGTATTTTTTCGTTATAGACATTCCTATATTTGTTTTCGCTATAGACATTCCTATATTTTATTTCGTTATATAGACCTACATTCCTATATTTGTTTTCGTTATAGACATTCCTTTATTTGTTTCGTTATAAACATTCCTATATTTTTTCTTTATATACATTCCTATATTTTTTTCGTTATAGACATTCCTATATTTGTTTTCGTTATAGACATTCCTATAATTTATTCGTTATAGACATATTTTTTTTGGTTATAGACATTCCTATATTTTTTGGTTATAGACATTCCTATTTTTTTTTCATAGACATTCCTATATTTTTTGGTTATAGACATTCCTATATTTTTTTTCATAGACATTCCTGTATTTTTTGTAATAGAAATTCCTATATTTGTTCGTTATAGACATTCCTATATTTTTTTTCATTATAGACATTCCTATATTTGTTTCGTTATAGACATTCATATATTTGTTTCGTTATAAACATTCCTATATTGTTTTCTTTATAGTTATTTCTACAATAGTTTCTTTAGAGACATCGTTTTTTCGTTATAGAAATTTAATTTTATTTTTTCGTTATAGTCATTTTTTACGTTATAGACATTCCTATAATTGTTTCGTTACATACATTCCTATATTTGTTTTCGTTACATACATTCCTATATTTGTTTCGTTACATACATTACTATATTTTCCCCCTAGAGCTGAGTTTGAGGGTACTGCTGACGTTGGCCTATATGGTAGACAAAAGCCAGATCCATCTCTTGACTTTAAACCACTCGGCGTTCACCATCATCCCGGCCACGAGAGATGAGTGGGAGGATACGAGACACAGAGTGGCTGACATCAGGTGAGTCATGACATGAGGCAGGTGATATCAGGTGAGTCGTGACATCAAACAGGTGACATCAGGTAAGTTGTGACATCAAGCAGGTGACATCAGGTGACTCGTGACATGAGGCAGTTGACATCATTTAAGTCTTGCAAGCAAGCAGGTAATGTTAGTCCAGGTGACGTTAGATATGCCCATGCATTGAGTAAGTGATCTCTATTCGACTGAATCCGAAAGTCGGAAAATCATAATCGATCTCCTTTTGTAAAAATTACATATTTAATTTTTAAAAATATACAATTATTCTTTTCTTATAACAGTTAGCATTGGTTAAATACGGCTTTAGTAATGTCGCATATACCAAATACATTTTACCACTATATGATTTTTAGTGTCTTTTGATACTATTGTCATAGTTTGTTTTCTATAAACAGTCTTATAAACCCTAAGGTTATTAGTATATATATATATATATATATATATATATATATATATATATATATATATATATATATATATATATATATATATATAGGCCTATATACCTCTAGACAGTGGCGTAGCGAGGTTGGGTGTCACCCGGTGCGGCACTTAATGGTGTAACCCCCCCCCCCCCCCCACAGAGGCGCAGCGACGCTTCCCGTGGACAAATTTTCGATTTGCACCCCCTCCCCTCAAACTTTCGATTTGCTACCCCCCCCCCCCCCCCCTTCAAACTTTCGATTTGCACCCCCATCCAAACTTTCGATTTGCACCCCCCTGTCAAGTTTTTTTCTATATATTTTGCTATTTTTTGCGTTGGTGTCACCCCCCCCCCCCTAAATGGTGTCACCCGGTGCGGTCCGCACCCCACCACCCCCCCCCTCGCTACGCCTCTGCCTCTAGAACAGTCAGGTTAGTCCATAATCTCATCTGTCCACAGTGCCTGTGAGATACTAGAGGCCCTGTACAAGATCTGTCTGGACAGGAAGATCCAGAGCGTGCTGGAGAAGGAGCGTGTGGACCTGGTCTCCCTGGCCCTGGACGTGCTTAAGTACGGGGACGAGGCTGAGAAGAAGATCGCCGGACACACGGTGCTTCGTCTCTCTGTGGACGAGTTCATGTGGAGCCGTATAAAGGTAAAGCAGGATGGGTCTATTTTTAGGCGGTTAGATAGCCCGAATGAGTGTTAAACAGAAAGTTCGTTCCTCCGAATTTCGGGCAGTTTACGAAATGTTCGGTTGTCAGATCTTTAGGCAGTTTGCGAAAAGTTCGGTTGTCAGGTCATTGGGCAGTTTGCGAAATGTTCAGTTGTCAGGTCATTGGGCAGTTTGCGAAATGTTCAGTTGTCAGGTCATTGGGCAGTTTGCGACTTGTGACCTGGAGGCAGTTACGAGAGAAAACTCCATAACATCAAAATTAAATCTATCTTTATGTCGTGAAAGTAGGTTATGGAAACATATCCAGAGAGAAAATCAGGCTAAGTCAACTATTTGATATAATTGAGAACGAATAAAAGAAATAACTGAGTGCGTCACTAGGTGTCTTTAGAGTAAAGAAGAATACGTTTTTTTCATCTTTATAACTAAGTCACATAATATAAAATACGTATTATATGTGTATAAAGATCGATGTATACTTTATTTTGAGAAGGGGAAGTTGAGTGGGGGGGGGGGGCGTTTGTTAAAGTCTTACAAACAATAACTTCTAAATTCATGTAAATTTACTTAGAATGATTTTACTAAAAACGATACAAAGTACTGCTCGACGTACCTCTAAATTAAATTATATATTATATTTCAATTATAGAAAAGTAAGCAGATACAGGAGTATATAGCGTCCTATGCCAACACATTTGAAACGACGCAGGATTTTTCCAACCTTGTGGCTTGTACTCTGAAACAGAAGATGGCCGATTCCACACTTACAAGTAACGTATTTTCTTTTTAAATTACTGACTTAGATTAGGGCACAGCTAGACGGTTTGTCAACTGCGGAAATTCCAACAAAATACAAACACAATATAAGTAACTGACAACACTATAATTAGAAACAGATTTTCGTTATTAGATGAGAAGATGCAATTAAATTATAACAGTGAGATTAAAAAGTTACTAAATTTTAGTTATCATGCTCCTTCCTATCAAACTTTTAAAAAAAAATTGTTCGATCTTCTTCGTTCTTAATTTTAGTATCGGAAGGGATCCCCCTCCAACACAATTAAGGATACGTGTCAACTGGTTATGCGCCATTGAGGCCATTGACTCCGATTTCCGCCTGGATTATATCAAGAACAAACTACAAGTTGTCTCTCCTAGAATAGTGGCTGTCCCCAGATAACGAGCCTCATCTGCCCGAGGGTTCTACTCGAGACTCTTCGGTTTAGCAACCTTGAGCTTAACCGACTCGACCACGCTGACACTTATCGTTCGATCAAATTTGAACACAACATTAGAAGCTGAAAGGGTGGGGGATGAATGCCGACAGGACTATTATGTTCTCAACATTGGAAACAAGAAAAACACCTAGGGGCTGAGGGGTCGGCGTAATGTGGTCCCGAGTGCAAACCCCCCTGCGAGTGAGGCTCGATAACTGGGGATAGCATCCCATTTTGGAGAGACAATTCTAAAATCGAACAACTGCTGCAATGGAAGCAAATCCAGAACGAAAAGCATCCTGAAATAATAATCTGTAACAATAATCATATTATCATGTTTGTGCAAAAGACACACGGGGCAGATGAAGTAGAGTTCATCTGTTTCTATGACCGAGGAATACAAAGAGTAAATGTGGTCAGCTTTTTTCCGTAACTTAAGTCAGTTACTTATCAGAGCTGGGTCGACTCAGGACGTTCCACTTATTTGAACCTGGATTTGAGCTCGGGACGCTCGGGTTAGTAGTCTAGCTCTCTACCGCTAGGCTACGTCGTACCAAAGTGTGTAACAATAACTGTTTGTTAAAAATAGTGTTCAAACTAAACAGAAGTTATGTATATTTTTGAGTTATTTGTTGAATACTAACCAGTAGCATTGTTTTATTTTCTCAGCACAAAAGATTTCCAAAGTTCAAACCAAAATCGACGTCTTCATCGTTTATTCAGAGGTTGATACTGCACCAGTTCAGAAGGCAAGGAATTAGTCTTTTTTTTTTAAATTATTTCTTATACGTTCTTATAAGCTATTTCAATTCTTATATTCAAACCAAAATTTTAGCAATAATTAGATTTTTGTGTTAACTAGTTTTGCAAACTCGCCAGGATGTGTTTTTTTTTTACATTTGTTTTATTTAACTTTTAATAAGACATTTATTAAGATATGAACAAATTGTTTTTGTCAAACTTAAACTTCATTTTTGTTGGCTGAAATACAATTTCTAAAGCTGTGGTGATGGTCGTCACTGTTTGATTGAAACCTTCGGGGGGGGGGGGGTGATGCGGGGAGGGGAATGGGGGGAATGGGGGGGGTCCATTCCCCCGAAGAGATGCCTGGAAGAAACTCTGCTGTTTAGGAGCAACTGCAGCAACTTAAATCATGTTTCTATTTTTTTTTAATCTGCCTGACTCAACAACTGGTACCTTGTCATGTTTGACTGTACCAACACGCAGGGGCGTAGCGAGGGGGGGGGGGGCGGGGGGTGCGGACCGCACCGGGTGACACCATTTAGGGGGGTGACACCAAGGCAAAAAATAGCAAAATATATAGAGAAAAACTTGATGGGGGGGGGGTGCAAATCGAAAGTTTGAAGGGGGGGTGTAAATCAAAAACTTGAGAGGGGGGGTGCAAATCGAAAGTTTGAGGGGGGGGTGCAAATCGAAAACATGAAAGTTTGTCCCCGGGAAGGGTCGCAGCGCCTCTGGGGGGGGGGTGACACCATTAAGTGCCGCACCGGGTGACACCCGACCTCGCTACGCCACTGCCAACACGAATATTTTTTTGGTTAATCTCCCAAACTCCTGCTCTGCAAGTTTAGGTCTGATTCATTTTGGAATCAAATTAGCCGACTCAAGGTGATGTCTTATTTCAACTTTACCATTTCTTCTCTTCTTCTTCTTCTTAATCCCGTTCATGCCCACGACACATGGGGCAGATGAAGTAGAGTTCATCTCATTCATTGACCTCGGCATATGAAGGGATAGCTATAACATTTGGGTTTCTCATAGTGAAGACAGTCATGAATAATATCTTTTGAACTTCTTTTTTAATCTTTAATTTTTTTTAATTAGTATATTCTTTCTTTGACGCGGAAACCAATGGTTTGAATTATTAAAAATAACGTAAATCGCAATTTAAAAAGTTTGGTGTTCAAAATTACTCACAGTTTTCTAATTTGCCTTACACATATAATTATTCTAAATTCTGTAAAATATAAATATTAGATTAAATAGACTATATTATTTATACAATCACCTATTTAATTTAGTTAAAGTTTTTAAATTTTATTAAATTTTAGTTACAACAGAGTTTTTATTGATTTTAACTACAGTTTGTAACAAAGTTATAGGTTATTTCCCTTGATTATTTAAAGTTGTAAAAGGGGAGTAAATATCGTTATGTGTGTTGACGTGGCTAAACACACGACAGCTAAACCGAAATAAACATACCTGGACAGTCTGAGAAAATAAAATGTATACATTATAAGTGGGTAAAATTGAGTTTAAAATATTTAACATAAACCCACAAATAACCACATGGTCTGAACTAAGTAAAAGCTTGTAGAAATTCATCAAGTTCACCAATGTGTTTGGATGTGTGCTACAGTCGTCTCCCCTTAATCGGGACACCCAGTGAAGGCGTTTTATCCCAATTAAATAAATGGATGAACCTTATATGGGCAATTATAAGTATAATTAATTATTTGCATGTAAAAAAACAATAGGTATAGTGCACCATAAATAATCGTTTATTTAAAAAAAAACGTCTTGAAATAGTATGAAATTAAAATAAACTTCACCTTTCGCAGAGGCGTCGCGAGGTGGGGGCGGGTGGTGACCGGGTAACACCATATATGGGGGTGACATCAAGAAACATTTTTTTAAGTACAAATGTATTATCCCGACAAGGGCGGGGGTGAGACTATGAGGTAAACATGCAAAATATAGAGAAAGACAAAGTTACAACCTGGTGTATTGACAGCCGACTATTAAATGCGAACACTTTAATACTTTTTTAGGGGGGGGGGGGTAGAGAGTGAAAGTTCCCTTTCAAACCTGACGGTCTATGGGGCAAGTGAAGTAGAGTTCACTTGTTTATGTGACCTCGGCATATGAAGATAAAATGTGGTCGGCTCTATGCCCAGCCGCCTTTAGAGTGAAAACAACTGCAACATTTATAGTGAAAATAAAAGGGAGTGACACCAAGAGGTGGCGCACCGGGTGATACCCGATCTAGCGACGCCACTGACTTTCGAAGGTGATCGTCCATGGTGCAGAAATAGAGTTACCCTGTTTCTGTGAATTTATCATATAAAGGCATAAAATAGTCAGCACTATGCCCAGCCGGCTTTACTTTACCTTGAGTTTCGTACCCATAAGAGCTAAGCAGACTCAGGGACTAGAGAATTTTGGTAGCAGTCGAGCGCTCTACCTGCCGGCCACGCCGCTCCCTGTGGTACCCATTTCAATTGTTTTGACCAAAGGACTCGAACCCTTGAACTGAATCTGAGAAGTCCAGGTTAGCAATAGCAGTCATATGCTCTATACCTGTGGTTCTTAACCTGGGTTCAGTCGAACCCCAGGGATTCGATGAGTCAGACTCAGGGTTTCGGTGAGGCAGAGGCGTAGCGAGGGGGGCGGGGAGGGGGGTATATATGTCCCCGGGCGCCGACCCTAGGGGGCGCCAAAATGGATTTGAAAAAAAATTAAAACCTCATTTTAGCTGCAGTTTTGCATTACAAATAATAAAAAATATGGTGGAGGGTGGGGCGTCAAATTGAAAGTTTGTCCTGGGTGGGGGGTGCAAATTGAAAATTGAAAGGTTGTTCCCAAGAGGGTCGCCAAATTGAAAGTCTGTCCCCGGGTGCCGGGAAGGGTCGCTACTCCTCTGCTCTGAAAGTAGGTTTCCGGGGGAGGGGGGTGCCAAATTGAAAGTAGGTTTCCTGGGGAGGGGGCGCCAAATTGAAAATCCATGCGGACGTTGAAACTATAAAGAGCGATTTGGTGAATGCGGAAATGAAACTGATGAGTTTCGGTACCTCCGAAAAGATGAAGAACCACTGCTCTAAACATTTCATTCAAGACTTATTTGTTTTTATTTTGTTTCAAATTCCAGTTGTCGGTGCTCCTAAGACCACACGTGAATGTGGTCCACAAAAGCCAAAGTTATGAACTGCTGACCAAAACCACATTTGATGCAGCGGATATTATCATGATATACCTCACTCAACAATCCAGGCCGGACATGATATTTTACTGCGGTGAGTTGCTTAAAAGAGACGAGCTGACCCGCGACGTAGCATACGCCGCTATCTAGTTGTTTTATTTTCTACTTATCAACAATTCATAATTCGTGAATCGACACTCCCCCACCCCCCACCCCCTCTGCTTCCCCACCCCACCTCTATCCCTACCCCACCCCACCCTGCCCAGTGAAAGCAGCCGTTTACAGACGACAATCAAAATATCAATCAAAACTTATTATCTACCCTTAGTTTCAAATCGTTTAAAAACTAAATTACCTGCCCCTAATAGCCGTCACTTATTTGAACCGGCTCTACTAACATTCGGGGTGAACCATAGCTCACCTGACAGGTGGGGATGAGGGTGGTGGCTATGCTGAGTGGTGTCTCGTATGGTCCCAACGAAGAGAATTATATATATATATATATATATATATATATATATATATATATATATATAGATATAGATATTTGATTACATCACTATAGGCAATTGAGAGTTGTTTTAAGCCCAGGCTCCTGTTGTATAATACCCATTGATTTCTGATCAACCTATTTGCTAACTAGACAAACTAAGTCAAGAGAAGGTACACAAAACTCCATTTATTAGTCTTTTTTAAGAAGCAAAATTGCAAGTGTGTAACATCTCATTTCTTAAACCCACCCAGTACCATTTCAACCATATCCACTAACTCGACTAATTATACTTTAATGAAACAGATTAAATAACGTTTTAGATCGTCCAGTTGGAATTCCCAGAACTGTTGATCACTCTGTATTTAACACTTTATTTATTGTTTGCAAAGTGTTATGTAACACATCATCATTTTTTTCCCGTTTGTCCACAAGACACATGGGCCAGATGAAGTAGAGTTCATCTGTTTCAAGAATCTAGACATCAAGGGATAGTGTGTCCAGTACTATGCCTAGCGGTCTTTAGTTTTCCTGACGAGATTCAAGTATCCATTAGAGCTGGGTGAACTTAGGGACGTGCTACAGACTCGACCCGGTATTCGAGCCTGAGACTTTCGGGTTAGCAGTCGTAAGCTCTACTTTCCGGCCAAGCCGTCCCTCCCTATAGGGCTGGTAAGTAGGTCACCAACCAGTTCTACGGCTCAATAAAACCTGCATGAGCCATAGATGACCTACTTACCAGCCCTATATAAAAAAGTTGTTTATAAACACGAATATAATATTATAATTTATTATTCTCAGAGTTCCTGCCCAACTTCACAGACAGACCCATCATCCTGTTGACGGATGAAACGGTCAGCAACATTCCCCCGTCCATCACCCAGTTCGTCTTCCATACCAAAGGTAACATTACGGTATTTAAAGGGTGTGGCTGTTTTTAGTAGCATCGCAAGAAGGAGGTCAAGCGAGGGAAAAATAGGGCTGGTAAGTAGGTCACCAACCTTTTATTGAGCCGTAGAACTGGTTGGTGACCTACTTACCAGCCCTATTGCTTGACTTCATTCATAAACGATATAATTAGCATGGCGTCGTACATTGGACATTGGTTTCTTGTAGATGTTACTCACTACACACGCGCGTATACACACATACACACGAACATATACAGACACACACGCGCGCACGCTGGAACATGCACACACAAACATACGCACACGCAGGCACATATATACAATAGTGTACGTCTGTATATTTATACACTAATTATTTTTTTATTTATCCGTACAATATCACAGAATTTGAGAACCAAAATATCGAGGACATCATCATTGAAATTAGAACACAATGTAAATGGAAATTCTATGCCAAACAGGTTAGTTAAATAATAGATTAGAAAACAATGTAATTGGAATTTCTATGCCAAACAGGAAAATTAAATTTTAAAGTAGAAAACAATGTAAATGGAATTTCTATGCCAAACAGGTACGTTAAATGTTAATGAATATTACATGACCGCTCGGCACTGACACTTTGGTTTACACAATTATATTCATTTAAGCATTGCTTGCTTTCTAAACATTCGTTGACAATATATTTATTTTTCTTTGACGGAAAAAAAAGTCGAAGTCAACTGCTTATATTTAGCAGAACAAGGTGTCACGTAATTCTTAATTGTATTAGAGAGAGGGAATCTCTTCCAACAAAATAATTAAGAAAAAGACTTCCATCGAGCAGATTGAAAGACAGCCTCTTTCAATTGTTGCACAAAGCCAAAGTCATGTATAACAATAGACTGAATTACTTTAATTCGCTTTAAATTTATTCTGACTTCAAATTTTGTTCTAGAGGATGGCTGAGAGAGAGAACTTTGGAGGACGAGAAGGGTTCCCATTGGATGCTTTTAGCTCATTATCTGAGGTCAGTTCACACTGTTGTATTTCCTTTCATATAACTCTACTTCACCATTTAACTTGTCTTGTCTGTCAACGTTATGCCCACACTCAGTTAGTTCCTGATGCCTTCACCTCATTATCTGAGGTCAGTTCACACTGTTGTATTTCCTTTCATATAACTCTACTTCACCATTTAACTTGTCTTGTCTGTCAACGTTATGCCCACACTCAGTTAGTTCCTGATGCCTTCACCTCATTATCTGAGTCAGTTCACACTTTTGTATTTCCTTTCATATAACTACTTCACCATTTAACCTCTTTTGTCTATCAATGTTATGCCCACATTCAGTTAATTCCTGATGCTTTCTCCTCATTATCTGATGTTAGTTTACACAGTTGTATTTGCTTTCATATAACTCTACTTCACCATCTAACCAGTGTTCTCTATCAACGTTATGTCCATATTAAGCTACTTCTGTATTCATTGTTGCTTCATCATTTTCATGATAGTAGGCCTATATTTAATTAATGGCACGGCGTGACCTAAGCAATGGAGCGCTAGGCTGCTAACCCGAAAGTCTTGAGTTCGAATCCGGGTCCAAGTCAGTAGAAAGTTCATTTTACGAGGTTTTGAAACATGAATGTGTGTTTTTCTGTTATCTCTGTTCTCCAAAAATCCATACCCCCCTCCATCTCCCCACGGAGAAAAATGACTGCTAGAAACCTTGATTATAAACGTAATTATAACACCCAAAATGGCTACAAAGTGCCACAATGTTGTTTTTTTAATATTTAATAGCGATACTAACATTGAAAACTAACAATTTAGTATCCGTATTGTCAGGGTTTCTTTCAGACAGTTTTCTCCGCGGGGGGGGGGGGGGGGGGGAAAGAGGGCGGATGAAATTTCCGAGGATGCACTGAAATTTACGGTGGGGGGGGGGGGGGCGGACGAAGGACACTGATTAAAAAAATAAATCTCCTGTATAAATTATACACTTTTTTTTTAAATTTCATACGGGAGGGGGATGGACGTGCTACGGGCGAAGGTGAGGGGGGGGGGGGGGTGGCAGTATCCTGAAAGAAACTCAGCATAATATCTTTCTTAAACTGGAACACAGCGACATTAAAAAACCAATTGCTCGCAACTTCTTGTCTCCCCAGACATCCGCGTGGAAAGAAATCGAAAAAGCTCTGCTCTCTCTGGAAACCCCAGCCAACAAAGTCAGCGACGTCCATAAGACCTTCCAAGACAACGCTCGTCTCTTCAACGTTCTCAAACTAGCCGTGCAGTGTTGTACGGGGCTGAAGTATTCCTCACATTACGCTTGTTACAATCTGCTGAATTTGTTGCATCGGAGAGTGCAGTGTGAGAGAGAGAAAGAGAAAATTATCATTTGCCGGATACTTTGCGATGCTCAGTTCTGTAAGTTGAGTTTTGAGCGGTATAAAGGTAATCTACGCAAGGCGAATTTGGATCATGCAGACGATAGTATAGATCAGCAGGAGAGAGAGGCAGACGCTGATTACGTCAAGAGTGTCGTCAGCACGTTGAGGCGGTGTTGGCAGGCGTTTTCCCGCGCGAGTGTGGATTTGGCGCGCGAGTTGGTAACCAATCAAATCGTAGACGAGCTGGTTCATGACGTGGTGGAGCGCATCGGCAGGAGTAAGGAGATTTTGGTGAGTAGGACATTTTGGTGAGTAGGACATTTTTGGGATTGTTGTAGGACATTTGGTAAGTGTTGTAGGACATTTTAGTGAGTGTTATAGGACATTGTGGTGAGTTGTGTAGGACATTTTGGTGAGTGTTGTAGGACATTTGGTGAGTTGTGTAGGACATTGTTGTGAGTTGTGTAGGACATTTGGTGAGTTTTTATGACATTTCAGTGAGTGGTGGAGGACATTTGGGTGAGTTTTGTAGGACATTGTGGTGAGTTGTGTAGGACATTGTTGTGAGTTGTGTAGGACATTTGGTGAGTGTTGTAGGACATTTGGTGAGTTGTGTAGGACATTGTTGTGAGTTGTGTAGGACATTTGGTGAGTGTTGTAGGACATTTGGTGAGTTGTGTAGGACATTGTTGTGAGTTGTGTAGGACATTTGGTGAGTTTTGTAGGACATTTTGTTGAGTGTTATAGTACATTTTGGTGAGTGGTGTAGGAAACTTTGCAGACTGTTGTAGGATATGTTGGTAAGTTTTATTGGACGCTATGGTAATATAGCTTGTAAGTCTCTTTGCTTCTCTTACTTAAAATTTGAAATCCCGTTAGCCAGGGTCAGGTGAATTCTCAAGGTATCATTATCAGTTTTTACGGTTTTAAATAACTTAACAATAGCATAAGTAACTTGTATTGCTTTCTTTTATCGATTTAATAAACATATTTACAATTGGTTCGAAAAATACTAGCTGGCTAGTATAAAAAGTTGGTGACCTACTTACAAGCCCTATTGTTCTAGCATATTTTAGAGTGTTTTATGGGACATTTTGGTGAGTGTAATATCAGACGTGCCCGGACCTTTTTACTTTCTCGTATATACGAAGTATAGAGAAAGTCTTGTAATCGTGCAAAAAAAAAATAGAGATTTTTACAAATCTCGACGTTTTACACCTCACTGATTCGGAAAAACTTAATTTTGCAATCTTGTCCGTATGTCTGTGTGTGTGTAAACACGATAACTTGAGTACCGTTACAGCTAGGTTGATGAAATTTCATATATAAGTATTTTATCAAAATCGTAGATCCTGATCAACTTTTGAGCGATTTCCGATAACCTGAAGTGGTACTTTTTCTACTTTGAATTTTCGCTATTTCCGATCTCTCAAAAAACGCATGTAAATTTATAGAGTACTAATAATTTTGCGCACTATTATGCAAATTTTGTTTTGGCGTTCGCTTGGTGCGCAATTCTTTTTTTCTACGAGATTCTATTCTATTTTTAAAAGTTTAAGTAATTAAAAATCATGTCTATATTCCGAGTTATATAAGAATACTCGAGAAAGTTTAGGGGAGATCACTCCCGGTTTATTGTATTTTATATTACACTACCCGCATTTTTAAGCCCTGGTAATAAGGAATTCGTGGCGAGCTTTATCGATTAAACGTATCCACATTTTTATTGAGGAGGTTTGTAATTTACTTTTAACGAATTTTACTGTTTAGATTAGCGTTAAGCCTAAAGCTAGGTCTAAAAGATTGTAGCACTGTTATCCACAAATGCTGGGCATCGAAATGGTAGCACTCCATAGGTTGAAGTTTTGTTTCTTTCTGTGCAGTTATTATTAGTTACGCCGAGGGTAAGCGAGAGAGTATTCGCCCCTGACGTCAATATTTGTAGTATTTATTAGAAAGGGAGGTGAATCCGAAATGTACACGGAAATTTTCATGTTATACCGTATACTTCTCATTATTACTATTATTCAACACAATATTTTCTTTTGACATTTTAAATTCACAAAAAAATATTAGTATTTTTCGTAAACTTCAAGGACACGTCCCTGACCTTCAGCACCAGTGTGCTGACCTTGTACCACCTCGCCATTCAGCCAGACTTGAGGCAGACTTTGAAGGACAGACAAATTGTCTACGCGCTGGGAAATTTTCTTACCTACGATGGAGAGCTAGGTAAGGATGTCCTTTGTCTGTATGATCATATGGGTCCTATAATGTCCTTCATCTGCTTATTCATGTGTTATACATTCTTTAATTTTTTGTTTGTTTTTTTATTTCCTGTATTGTCCTTTTTCAGCTAGTTATATTCAAAACTATCGTTCATTTGCTATTTTAGTCTTAAATTGAGTTTCATTTCTTAATAAGTTTCATAAGTTGTGATTTATTCAATATTTATGTAAATTCCTTCATTTGTTTAGTAAAAAAATTGTCATACAACTTTTTATATTCTAAACTGTCCGTCAATAGCTTTCTTATATACCAAATAGAGCTGACGGCCATTTCGTTGGTGAACTTCTTCTTCTTCGTTCTTAATTTTTAGTGTTGGGAGGGATCGTTGGTGACCAGTGTTTATCTATTACTGATTGTGTATCTATTACTGACTGTATATCCCCACAGAACTGACGACCATCTTGTTGGTTACCATGGCAATGATCGTGGATGAGTACCAGACTCACCTGCTGACGTCACACGAAGGATTTCTACAACGTCTGCTGCCAAGTTCCAAGTGCGAATGGCAAACCACGTCTTCATCAGTCAGGTAAAATAATATGTATCTGTACGTAGGAGAGGGGGGTCCGTAATTTTGTGACGGTGTGTGATTAAGGGGAGTTCAGATGGTGTGACGTCACTTTTTTGCATTATAAAAAAGCAATGTTAGTAAACGAGTTTCAGTCGTTATTTCGCGTTGTAAATAACGGTTTTAATAAATTGTAATAGGAATTGATTAAAAATACTCTATGTTGACTGAATTCTGACGAGATTTTAGAAAAAATATCGATGTTTTAAGAAAAATTCAATGGCAATTGCGAGAGGGGTTGTAGGCTGAGGTGTGACTTCATTTTAGGGGGGGGTCTAGCTTTTTGTGACGACATGTGACGGAGGGGAGGGGGAAGGTAAAAATCGTCAAAAAAGCGTGACGTCAATTATGACGTGGGTCGGGCAGATTTATGATTAAAGCGAAAAGCACACAACACACGAATTTTGGAAATTTGATGGTGAACGTACCCACGTTTTTGTCATCACATGTATGAACAGTCATCACAAGAACCTGCACAGCTCGAGGAAGCACAAAATCTACGAGCATTCATTGGTAGATCCCCTAGGGTCGGAAGAAAAATTTATTTTCTACTTTTTGTTCCACAAGAAAAACGTGGTTTTTTTTTAAAGTTTTTTTTAAGTATTTTATTATTTTATTGTAAGAGAGAACGGGAGCGTGAACTGAATTTGAATGTTAGTGGTGCACACCTTACCCACCGTAGGACACTCTTTTTCTCTTTCTCTCTATCACTCTTTTCCTTGTCTTCTCTTTCACTATCACTCTTCCTTTTTAACACGTTTTTCTTAACTCAGCTTCGCGTTTGTGGATGTGTGGATTTGTTTGTTGTTAAAATTGACATCGAAAATTAGCCCACTTCTGATTGCTCTACAGATCTGAAATTTGGCATACAGGCTACTTTCGCCTAACAATTTCAGATGCAATCATAAAACTAGCAATTAGAGACCGTAATTAGCTTAATTTAATTACGCCCCAAGGACCATAAAATTGAGGACATGATTTCTAAAGATACCGACAAGACTGGAGGCTTATAGACACAGTTACTTCGGCCCCAATCGATGTGAGCGCGCTGGCCGTGATCGTATAGTGGTTAGTACTTCGCGTTGTGGCCGCGACAACCCAGGTTCGAATCCTGGTCGCTCAAGATTTTTTTAGTCCGTGTATTTATAAACACTTAGTCAAGTCATACTTAATCAAGTCATTAGATAAAGTAGAAAATAAACTATATAAACAACTTTTTTAAAAACCACGTTTTTCATGTGTAGCAACGGACTAAAAAGGAGAAAATAAAATACTTAAAAAAAACTTTTTAAAAAACCACGTTTTTCTTGTGGACTAAAAAGTAGAAAATAACTATTTACATACATTTGATGACAAAAAACGTGGGTACGTTCACCATCAAATTTCCCGACCCATCTGCCCGACCCACGTTTTTTGTCATCAAATGTATGTAAATAGTTATTTTCTACTTTTTAGTCCACAAGAAAAACGTGGTTTTTTAAAAAGTTTTTTTAAGTATTTTATTTCTCTCTATCACACTTCCTGTTTTTCTCTCTTTCTCTCTCTCTTTCTCTCTTACTCTCTCTTTCTCTCTATCACTCTTCCTTTCTCTCTCTCTCTCTCTCTTTCCCCAGTTCTAGTAATGTTCGAAACACTGCAACATCACGAGTAACCTAATATTTCTTGCAACCTTGCGGTGGAATCTAACTATATAACGACTTACACCTCAAGCCCGGGTACCGAACTGATGATTTCGGGTCAGCACGCATGTTCTACTGCTAGACCTGCTAAGTGTTTCTTTCAATCTTTTTTCTCAAGGAGTGGGGGGGTCACATGAATCTTTCGGGGAGGTAGGCGGACTAAATATTCCGGAGTGGTGGAGGGTGGACACTGTTAAAAGTATAGTATAGTTTCTACGTAAATTTTATTTCGTTGTTTTGGAGGGATGCTCCCCCCCCCCCCTTCTCAAAGAAATGCATAAAAGTAACACGGGGCCTGCCTAGGCAATGTTATTTTTTAAAATCTGTACACCATATATATATATATATATATATATATATATATATATATATATATATATATATATATATATATATATATATATATATATATATATATATATATATGGTGTTCCAGTTTCAAAGAGTTACTCGTGGCATTAACTGAGCTGAGTAGACGGGACAAGGTGAAAAATCTTTTGGTCAACAAAAACGTCCTTGACCTAATTACTGACGTCTTCACGTCTGGAGACCTGGAGGAGAAAGAGAAAGCAGCCAAACTTCTGATGGAGTTGTCTTTCTCTGAAGGAAACCGTGCTAGGATTAAGGTTGGTCTTGTTTAGTTTTAAACTTTTTCTTAGGTAACACTATCTGTTTTTTTTTAACTTTTTCTTAAGTAATACTATCTGTTTGTTTCTTTGTTTTTAAGTTTTTTCTTAAGTTACACTAATGTTTATTTGGTGGGTACGTTTGTGGAAAAATTCTGAAGCTAAATGTTCGCTGATTTCTAATAAAACGAGTTCTTACAAACTTTCAAAGTGCAGTGATGAGAAGAACACAAGATTATCTAATTTTAAGTCTCGTTTGATATTAAATTTGTGACTAATATATGTTTAAAAGATTGTGATTTTCAATTTTAGGGTTTATCTATAAATGTAGTCATGCTTTTTTTGGACAATGTTTTATCTTCCTTTCTCTTTGTCACAAAATGTCTATAAAAAACTGACCCCCACCCCACCCACTAAAAGGACATCATACAGAAACTTCAAAATAGCTAAATTAAAACAAAATACATTGATTTATTTCTAAAATATTCTCTTTAAATCGGTCATCATTCAGGACATCAATTAAATTCAATTATGATTGGGAAAAAAAACGAAAACATTAGTTGTTTTTTTTTAACGAGTAATGAAGGCAAATTCAGATACTAACATTACTTCTTAAAATACAAGTGTGTCATCCCATTTTCAGCATGGAAGTTAATTAATTGAGGGTACAAAAAAAGGACAGACATCCCCCTTCCCCCCTTTCCCAAATCAAAATCCTGTCTACGCCACTATATAACACACAACCACTCGTGTAAAAATCTTGAGCACGCAGAACGTTAAGTAGCCAGGAGTCCCAGAGTTATATTGGCTGCCTGGGTCAGTTCATGGTAAGCTAAAGCAGCTGGGGATAGTACTGGGTGTACAAAACTAGATAATAACAGATGAGCTCTACTTCACCTGGTTCGTTGGTGATAGAACTATGAATGATGTGATATCTTTGACTTGCAGGAGAAGGAGCCCTTGGTCCAGTGTCTGAACACATTGGTGGACAAGGCTAACACGGAGACGAGGAAAGCTGCCAACAGGATACTGTGGTGGATCAACACGGACATTCAGAGGGAACATGTTCATACAGGTAAGGTGACATGGGCATTCAGAGGGAACATGTTCATACAGGTAAGGTGACACGGACATTCAGAGGGAACATGTTCATACAGGTAAGGTGACATGGGCATTCAGAGGGAACATGTTCATACAGGTAAGGTGACACGGACATTCAGAGGGAACATGTTCAGACAGGTAAGGTGACATGGGCATTCAGAGGGAACATGTTCATACAGGTGAGGTGACACGGACATTCAGAGGGAACATGTTCATACAGGTGAGGTGAAACGGGCATTCAGAGGGAACAGGTGAGGTGACACAGACATTCAGAGGGAACAGGTGAGGTGACACGGACATTCAGAGGGAACATGTTCATACAGGTGAGGTGAAACGGGCATTCAGAGGGAACAGGTGAGGTGACACAGACATTCAGAGGGAACAGGTGAGGTGACACGGGCATTCAGAGGGAACAGGTGAGGTGACATGGGCATTCAGAGGGAACAGGTGAGTTGACACGGACATTCAGAGGGAACATGTTCATACAGGTGAGGTGTACAGACAATCAGATGGAACATGCGAAGTGACATGGACATTCATAGGGAACATGTTTAGACAGGTAAGGTGACATGGGCATTCAGAGGGAACAGGTGAAGTGACACGGACATTCATAGGGAACAGGTGAGGTGACACGGACATTCAGAGGGAACATGTTCATACAGGTAACACAGGCATTCAGAGTGAACATGTTCAGACAGGTGAGGTGACATGGACATTCAGAGGGAACATGTTCAGACAGGTGAGGTGACATGGACATTCAGAGGGAACGTGTCAGGTGAAACTGACATTCAGGGGAAACGGGTGAGGTGACATGGACATTCAGAGGGAACAGGTGAGGTTACATGGACATTCAGAGGGAACAGGTGTTGTGACGTTGCTTGGTAGATAGATATGTTCAAACCGGTGAGGTAGTATGGTCGCTCAAATGGTTATTTTCAAAGGAATTTGGTATGAATAATTACTTTATTTGTTTTTCTTGCCTCAGAGATGTAGTTTCAAGCGTCCGTTTGTTCTAGTTGTGATAATAGGTGAAGGCGACTATGTACAAATTAATAAAATTTAGCTTTCCACGTTTATTTACAAAATAGATTCTTAATACGGCTCAGCTTTTAAATTTTAGATTGGAGAAATATTTTTATTTGAATTTTTGAAAAAATATAAATATTTGACTTCACATTATATATAAGTTTTAATAATAATGTTTTGTGAAATAATAAAATAAACAAATCACATTTTCTGTTTTATTACCGTTAGCTTTTAAATTTCGCAACAAAAGATTAGTTATTTCCCTTGATTATATAAAAAAAATTTTAAAGGTGATAAATACACATTAATTTTAAACGAATGAGTTTTTCTACATTGCAATACATTAGATATGAAATCTAAAAAATATTAACATTTACGTTAAACTTTTTGCCTCTCCCTACATTCCGTAGCTCTCCGTGGAGTCTCGCTAGCTCCTTTTAAAATAAATCATTGCGTAAACACCCTATTCATAATGTCTATGTTTATAATTTAACAAACTCTCCTAATGTCATGTACAGATGTAATAAATGGCCACATCATGATCAGTTACAACTCTGGTGATAGAGAAACGCTGAGAAAGGTAAGTGCATTCCATTCATTTGAGTTTGTATTCTACTTCAGTTAATAGTAGGGGCGGTGTGGTTGAATGGTAGAACTTTCCACTGCTAACCCGAACGTCTCGAGTTCGGATCCTTGAGTCCACACAAATCTGATGGATTCCTGTCTCACGTTAAGGAAAGTAAAAACGGCTGTACAGAGTGATGACTACACTAACCCTTTATATGTCGTGATCAACGAAATAGCTGAACTCTACTTGTAGTTTGTTCTTGGTTGGACGAAGGCTATAGAGGCAAAAACAGGCTGAAATCAGTCAACGGTCTATGAGGCGCATAACCAGTTGACACGTATGCTTAATTGTGTTTGAGGGAATCCCTTGTAACATTGGAATATTTAAAAATGTTTCTGCAACTATTTTCCTTTCCTTTCTTTTTACTTTCTGTAATTCTTCTTCTTCTATTTCGTTCTTAATTTTAGTGTTGGAAGTGATCCCCCTCCAACACAATTAAGGATACGTGTCAACTGGTTATGCTCTATTGAGGCCATTGACTCCGATTTCAGCCTGCTTTTCTTTTTGGATTTGCTTTCATCGCTTTTGTCCAACCAAGAGCAACTAAAAGGCAGCAGTTGTTTGATTTTGGGGTTGTCTCTGTTAGAAGAGTGGCTGTCCCCAGCTAACAAGCCTCGTCTGCCCGAGGATTCGAACTTTATGTAATTCAATTGACATATTTTTTTCAGTTTCTTCCCTTTGAATACAAACAATAAACATATTCCATAAGCTCAGATTTTTTATTTTTACCTCCCTTGAACTGTAGAATTAAATTATTTCTGCAACTCATTTTATTAAATTACTTTTTGCTACTTCAATGAGTCTATTAAACAAAACTGTCCCTTTATTCAATTGTACTTTTTTTTACTCATTGAACGTACTAATTCACACGCCTATAAACCATACAAATTAAACATTGCTAGGTGTACGACACATTGAAAGCCGCGGGTTATCGGACCTGGATGGACATCTACGACATCAAAGGCTCGACACTGGACGCTATGGCCAAGGCGGTGGAGAGCTCTGATGTTGTCCTGATCTGTATGTCCAAGAAATACATGGACAGCACCAACTGTAGATTAGGTCAGTTCATATGGTACAGCACCAACTGTAGATTAGGTCAGTTCATATGGTACAGCACCAACTGTAGATTAGGACAGTTCATAAGTTCATATGGTACAGCACCAACTGTAGATTAGGTCAGTTCATATGGTACAGCACCAACTGTAGATTAGGTCAGTTCATATGGTACAACACCAACTGTAGATTAGGACAGTTCACATGGTACAGCACCAACTGTAGATTAGGTCAGTTCATATGGTACAGCACCAACTGAAGATTTGGTCAGTTCATATGGTACAGCACCAACTGTAGATTAGGTCAGTTCATATGGTACAGCACCAACTGTAGATTAGGTCAGTTCATATGGTACAACACCAACTGTAGATTAGGTCAGTTCATATGGTACAGCACCAACTGTAGATTAGGTCAGTTCATATGGTACAACACCAACTGTAGATTAGGTCAGTTCATATGGTACATCACCAACTGTAGATTAGGTCAGTTTATATGGTACAGCACCAACTGTAGATTAGTTCAGTTCATATGGTACAGCACCAACTGTAGATTAGGTCAGTTCATATGGTACATCACCAACTGTAGATTAGGTCAGTTTATATGGTACAGCACCAACTGTAGATTAGGTCAGTTCATATGGTACAGCACCAACTGTATATTAGGTCAGTTCATATGGTACAGCACCAACTGTAGATTAGGTCAGTTCATATGGTACAGCATCAACTGTAGATTAGGTCAGTTCATATGGTACAGCATCAACTGTATATTAGGTCAGTTCATATGGTACAGCACCAACTATAGATTAGGTCAGTTCATATGGTACATTTAGACCTTCAGACCAGGCGGTCAAATTAGGTTAAGTATACCGGACCGTCAGAGTTTCTTTAAGGCAACTAACTGCAAACCCGAAGATTCCCCTCCCCCAGAACAAATACAAAGTGCATAATTTTTATAGGAAATATATATTTTAACCTGAGTCTGGCCAAATAAATTATAAGCACGCCCCCCCCCCCCCCCCCCCACATACACACACATCCCTCTAAGAAAATTAGCTGAAAGACACCCTGCTGATCCTAAAGTCAGTTAAAACGCCAGCCAGCAGGTCAGATAGCCGGATATATATATATATATATATATATATATATATATATATATATATATATATATATATATATATATATATATATATATATATATATATATATATATATATATATATATATATATATATATATATATATATATATATATATATATATATATATATATATATATATATATATATATATATATATATATATATATATATATATATATATATATATATATATATATATATATATATATATATATATATATATATATATATATAAAATATGTTCCAGAGGCTGAGTATGCTGCTAATCTCCACAAACCTATTATACCATTGCTAATGGAACATTCCTACAAACCAAGTGGATGGCTAGGAATCTTGCTGGGCTCTAAGATGTTTTACGACTTCTCCGGTAAGAAAAATATATTTCAATATTTTTATATACTTAACTACAGAAAATAAACTCAACTCCATTGTGAAAATTTTTCGAATGTACAGTACGAGTAGTTTCCCTTTTCCTGTGTAAACACGGTTGCTGTTTTTGTTTTCAGGAGAGAAGTATTCGTTCGATGAAAAGATCAAAGATTTGATCAGAGATATTGGTGATAGGGGTAAAGCTGTCAAGTAGGCGGCGTAAAGCAAAGAAGATATGAAACAGGAAGTGTAAAGTGTTGAACGTTTCAATACAAAACAATGTTTTTGTGCCAAATATATACATGAATTATATTTTAAAGTATAAAAATATGTTCAGTGTTTAATTTGTTACAATCATAATCTATCATACAGAAATTTACCTCATATAGTATTAAAAGATGTTTACATTTATTTAGATTTATGACTATGTAATAATTGTATTTTGTTGAACATTGGAATTCATATTATATTTTAAGATAATACAAATAAAATAATGCAAACATTAAAAACAATAAAACACATTGTAAGACTTATACATATTATAAAATACACCAATAATGACACACTTTTTTGCTTTTATTTATTTATTTTTATAATTGTGATTTTTAACACACAAAAAATTGTATTCTTTGGATGCTGTTGATATTTTATTTTTAATCTCAAACTACCGTTAAAATCTCTTCACGATCGACCCCAAACGACATTTTCCGTTCCATGTTTTTGGGGTGTATAGTTGTGATACTACTACAGCATTAGTTTTGTATATCACTATTCCCAGTGGCGTCGCGAGGTCGGGTGTCGCCCGGTCAGTCCGCACCCCCCTCACTTCCGCCTCGCGACGCCTCTGACTATACCACCCTTTATTTTAATCTTGAATAAGATTTTAATGATTTAAATATTCAAACACAAGTCAAAATGTCCATTGCTCTTTGATGATTAGCAAAACAATAATTAGTTATATTTGTTACAATTATGTACTTATTAATAAAGGCCTTATGTATATAATATTGTGTTTTTTTGTTTGTTTTTTTTTTGTTCTTTTTATATTCGAAGTTTTGTAAATATAAACACATAGCGACATAAGCGTACAATCGGTAATATATGTACCTTGACGTGAGACTACTCTCATTTCACCTTCTCCCCCCCCCCCCCCCACACACGCACACACACACGCTCACTCCCAATCGCAGGCACCACAGTTCATTAACCTAGACATTTTGAACCCTGTACTCACAATCAAATATAAAGTACGAGTTATTTAAGTTAGATTGATTCGGTTTGCTGTTAGATTGAAAGCCGCGTGTAATTTGCAAGCAACGAACCGATGTTTTATGGCCGGCGTAATTGTTACAAAATGATTCTTTTCACTTAATACGGGATACTTTATTACATAAGTCCTTAGTTACAATCCAGTTATAGGGCAAATGAATAAATTCGTTAAGTAGTTCTAAATTAATTTTTAAAATTAACTAAACTTTTGTTATTAAAGAGCTTATAGCTTCAGCTTTACTGTAATCATCAAAACTGTTCTACACTACACCATATTTTCTAGATAAAACATATAAACGTCAGTAGGATAAACTTTAACAAATGTTGTCTTATGGTCAGACATTAACATAATTTTAATCAACAAAATTAAGTGTGAAAAATGCGCATATTGATACAAGTCTTGTTACAATATTTAATTTTTTCCAAAGTACTTTAAATTGCGTAATAAACTTAAGTATTTTCTCTTTAAAAAAAACGTAATGCTTTGTGTTAAATATTAAAACAGCATCACTCAAACTCCTTTGTTTTTGAAACACCCCTCCTAATGGTACTTTAGGCTAGTTATTAAATAAGTTACATGTATTATGTACCCCTATAAACCATTCTTTAGCTTCTGGGGTTTCATTTATCGCATAAGATTCCATTCTCATGTTTACATTGTATGTAGTTGTGCTGAAGTATTGATTTTTAACTGCTGGCTCTAGCTTCTATAAACGACGTTGTTAAGGACGCACTTGTTCGTGTGCTGCGCGGTTATCAGAGCATACAATCTAGTGTGTTCATGGCTCAATGTTTGAGATCTATAACAGTGTGTATTCTAGAACTGACTGGTATTCAGTGCTATGGGTAGTGATTTTGTTTACTCCTGTGTAACTTGAGTATATATATATATATATATATATATATATATATATATATATATATATATATATATATATATATATATATATATATGTATATATATATATTTTTTTTTTCGGGCAAACGGCCTTCGGGCAAGTGTCCATTCGGGCATTTGTCGTATTCGGGCAAGTGTCCATTCGGGCATTAGTCGTATTCGGACAAGTGTCCATTCGGGAATTCGGCCTTCGGGCAAGTGTCCGTTCGGGCATTTGTCGTATTCGGGCAAGTGTCCATTCGGGAATTCGGCCTTCGGGCAAGAGTCTTTCGGGAAAACGTCCGGCTCCCTATATATATATATATATATATATATATATATATATATATATATATATATATATATATATATATATATATATATATATATATATATATATATATATATATATATATAATGTTTCTTGTGAAACAAACACATTCACATATCTGGGGAAGCGTGATCAATAAGGACGGGGAGGAGACGAGGACATAAAATTTAAAATGTCGTATCAACAAGGCTAGATGTGCCTTCAACTCACTGCGCCCGATGTGGAGGTGCACGGCCTTTCAACACAAATGTCAAGGCAGTGCCGCTCTATGGCTCGGACACTTGGAGGGTTACGAAGAAAAATATTAATAGGCTACAGGCATTCGTAAACAAATGCTTACTACATATACTTAAAATAAGATGGCCAGACAAAATATCAAACAAAGACATGTGGCAAATTTTAAAGTAACAGCCAAAAGAGAAAGATATCAAGGCCCGTAAATGGGGATGGATCGAACACACGTTAAGAAGAGAAAAAGAAACTATTGCAAAACATGCTATGGACTGGAATCCCCAGGGAAAAGGGAGGGTGGGTCGGCCAAAGAAAACATGGAAAAGAACGACTGAAGAAGAGGCGAAAACAGCTGGGCTCACATGGGCACAGATTAAGGAAGCAGCCCAAAACCGAGTCCGCTGGAAATATATAGTTGCAGCCCTTTGCTCCCCAGGGGCCACAAAGGAATGATGATGGATGATGATGATGTTTCTTGTGGAGGAGGTGACACCAAGAAGTGCCGCATCGGGTGACACCCGACCTAGCGACGCCACTGCCAATAACTATTTAATAAAATATTTTTCTCAAACAAATTATATCATTAAAATACACAGGTCTATAATTCACGAGTAACCGGTACCGATGGCTAGATGTTGCAAAGGGAATCGATTTACATGTAATATTTCATTTGTTTCCCATTTCAAAATTCAGAGCAGCTAGGGGAAGCAACAAATATTTATGAATTTTTGCACAAGGACAAAAGTAATAATTCAATAATAACTAAAATGATTGTTTTATTTATCATATTAAATATTGCAATTAATATGTTCTACCGTAATATTGTGTCTATTCTTTATACATTTTGGAGTTTTTAATATTAATTTGCTCTAAAATATGTAGAAACCCATTAAATCAATGACCGGCTGAATTTTTTAAAATGGGAAACTACCGATGGTATCCATAATATTCTACAATTCTAAATATTAAAATTTTGGATCCCTTGAAATCAAGGGACACGATCAAAGTGTTTGAGTATGTGAGGAGAGTGGAGGGCTGGGTAGTCCCAAATCTCTTGAGTCTCGGGATGACGAGTTGAAAGTAAATAATATTAGCGTGGCCGAGAGTTGATTCGTTTTTGATTGGTAGATGGGGTTGAGTAATCATGTGTTGAAAATCGCATGTTGAGAATGTCGAGTATTAGCGTTTTTGTAGAATAGCTTATTGCGATTATGTTATTTAAGTAGTCGAGAGATGAATAATCGTAGGTTGGGAAATTTGAGTAGTCGAGTTGATCGTTGAGTATAGTTCGTCGAGATTATCGTAAGTTCGATGGTGTCGTGACGGATCATCCTACCTAGGATCGCTCCTAGATAGCGTCGTCTAGCTGAAAAATCGAAAATAGTTCCAAGCTACACTTCCTAGGATCAAACCTACCACCAACGACAAAGACTACAGCTATCTAGGATACCTCAACAGCCCGCTAAATCATCATTATGATACCAGCTCAGCAACACTAGTTCCATAACCCCCCTCCCCCACTTCAGACAGAACTACAAACCAAATGACACCACTTCAAGACTTCAGAACAACCCAGCTACAACTACCAACGAAGATCAACCACTACTCACTAAAGATTGTTCAAATGCAAGAATCGGCATAAGAATACAAAGACGCGAAACGACAATGTACTGTTTAGTGATGTTATGTACTTTATAGGAAATGTAAGACCAAAGTACATCTAGTAATAGAAAAGTTGAAGTAACGATTGTACGTGGTAGATAGTTGACAACAGTCCGAAACACGGAATTCAAAACGCAATTAAGCAAATTGATCAATGAACAAAGCATTGAGATGGATAGCACATTGAATTTATATGGGGACGCTAATCTATCGTTCACGGTGATTAAGTCCAACAATAATTGCTCATAGCAGATTTTGTCGCCCTATAACGACTAAGAGTGAAAAAAGCGCAAAGATTGCTAACTATTGAAGTGAAACTTATCAGCGAATAAAACCATATAAAAGGAACTCGTAGATGTCATTTGATCATGGAGCTGTAGAATTATCAATTATAGATTTCACTAGACTACCCGTCATCCGTTGGATAACTGTAGGTTTCGGGGGTCATCCATCAAAAAGCATCACGTCTGTCACTCAGAGGCGTAGCGACCCTTCCCGGCGCCCGGGGACAAACTTTCCGATTTGAACCCCCCCCCCCCCCCCGCAAGATTTCGATTTGCAACCCCCCACCCCTCCCCTCAAACTTTTGATGTGCATCCCCCCCCCCCTCAAGATTTCGATTTGCACCCCCCCCCCACCTCAAACTTTCGATTTGCACCCCGTCAACCCTTCAATTTATTTTTCCTACCCATTTTAGCCCCCCCTAAGGTCGGCGTCCGGGGACATATGTATCCTCCCCCCCCCGCCCCGCCCCCCCCCCCTCCCCCCCCTATGCTACTGCAGTGTCACTTATCGTCACAAAAAACAGACCCCACATTCAAAGATATGTTTTTTTATCTTTTAAAAAACACCGAAAACACCGATTTCGAACTATCCCTTCATATACTGACGTCACAGGTGACCTACTCAACTCTACTTCACCTGCCCAAGGTCCCGTCAAGTCTGAGACAACATGTTTTTATCGTTTAAAAAACGATTCCAGCCGAGCATGTCTCTGACCACACTACCCCTTAATATGCTTAAGACAAAGAAACAGATGAACTCTACTTCTCCTGCCCTGTATCCCGCCAAGTACAGATAGGTAACAGAACACTGTTGTAAAAAAAAAAACTGTCAACTATTACTATAGTCAATGTTCTAAACTTTGATAATAAATGTGGTTAATCTACCTATGAATATATCATTAAATTAATTAACGGCTTTAAATTAGTTAGTAATTAACAGTGTGTTCAAGAAAGAACAATATTTACCACCCAAAATCTTATTTTACAACTCTACACATAATGCAGATTCTCCCCAATAACAAATAAAAAAAAGAGTTATTAAACGCCACTATTCAGTCAAAATTAAGCCATTGTTCTAAAACTTTAAAAAAAAATGTGGTTAATCTACCTATGAATAAATCAATAAATTAATTAACGTCTTTAAATAAGTGTGTAATTAACAGTCTGTCTGCAATAAAAAAAATTGTTCTCTACCTACGTACTATTTTACAGCCCCCCCCCCCCCCATATAAAGCAGTTTACTTACAGTATGAAATCAGACAAACAAATAAATATTCAAACATGTAAACAAACTTGAGTTTTAGTAGTATACTAGACTACCCGTTATCTAGTTAGATAACTGTGGTTTTTTTTTAATTAGTTAGTAATTAACAGTGTGTTCAAGAAAGAACAATATTTACCACCCAAAATCCTATTTTACAGCTCTACACATAATGCAGATTCTCCCCAATAACAAATCAAAAAAACAAACAAACAAAAAAATGAGTTATCAATCGTCACTATTCAGTCAAAATTAAGATATTTGTTCTAAAACTTAAAAAAAAATGTGGTTAATCTATCTATGAATAAATCAATAAATTAATTGACGTCTTTAAATAAATGTGTGATTAACAGTCTGTCTGCAATAAAAAATTGTTCTCTACATACATATTATTTTACAGCCCCCCATATAGAGCAGTTTCCTTACAGTATGAAATCAGACAAACAAATAAATATTCAAACATGTAAACAAAGTTGAGTTTTAGTAGTATATAGATAGATAGATAGATGGTGGCATACAATTAATCGACAGAAAATTTATTGCGACGGAATAGAGACAACATAACATATTGGACGATAATCGACGGGTTCCTTGCGATTTTTGACGGCAGCCGAACACAATTGGTAACCTCAGTTCAAAGAGGGAATAAACGAAAAATGACAACAAACAAGTAAGTAACATCACCCGACGCAAATCAACAATCCTTGACGTCCTGTTCTAGTATATGTAAATGACTGCGAATGAAAGTATTGGTCAGAAATAAATATTATTGTAAAAAATATCAGTTAACGAAAATAGTAATACATAAGCAAACAAGGTGACAAACTAGCTTACGCTAAAAAATCACGTCTGTCACTCAGAGGCGTAGCGACCCTTCCCGGCAGGATGCGATTTGGCGCCCTGGTCTTTCCCGTGAGCACTATGGTGACTACGTTCGGTCTAAACAGTGTGATAGACAATAGATAGGATGGGGCGTTACAAACGCTTACTAAATTGAATCAGGCGTGTCCTCTGGCGCCCTGGTAGGGTGCGATTAGGCTGCAAATACAAATGTCTTTTTCGGCCTCAAAGGCTCACATGGGCCGCTGAGGGCCATGTAATACGTTTTATTTTATTAATCAGAATAATTAACCAAGGTTAGATTATTAACTGGGATGTTTCCTTTATGTCCATAAAAAAATCCAGTTTCGTCAATTTGCGAATGATGCAATTAGCATATATTTTTAGATAAACCAATCAGAAATTTAGATCGAGCATCTTATATCTAAGAATAGACCATTAGTAACGCTAACATATTGCATCGGTCACACTGATTTTTAAAACACGTCAAATAATTTTTACGTGTTAAATAACGAATCGTATTCATGTGTGTCACTTCAGCGAATGACGCAATCTGCACCATCGTTAACAGGATGCTATGTGGCACGATGGCGCCTGTTAGTTTTAAAGGAGCCAGGTGTGGTACGCCGCGCCTATGTTGTAGTGTAATCCGGAGGGGGGGGGGGACTCCTGAGGGCGCCCATCTACGTCTCTGACACATGGGCGGTCACCGAAATGTGTTCTACCATATTATTTCGGTAATTGATTAATGTACACTCAAGGTTTTCATGCCCGTGTCCCGATATTTATGATCCAAGAGCAGGCATTTTTTACATTTAAATAACTCACTTTTAGAAAACAAGGTCATGAGTCTAATAATATAGGATTGGTAACGCATGGATGAAACCCTTCTTATATATTTCTTCGGACTTTCTTCTATTCCCGCGGCAACACGCGGGGACCGGTACGCTAGTTTTATATAAATCTTTGTTTGTTTAGCTATGGAATATGCTAATTTGGAAATGCTCGATCTAGGGCCTATTTGCGTAACTTAAGATTCATACGGGGATTCTATACCGCTAATTTTGCAAAAATAGAATTAACGTAAATTCTACTTCTAGATTTAACGTAAATTCTAGATCTAGCTCTATCTAGATGTACTAAACTATTTCACGCCCTAATATTTTACTTTATATAAATCTTTGTTTGTTTAGCTATGGAATATGCTAATTTAGGATAATATTAAATTTGAAATGCTCGATCTAGGGCCAATTTGCGTAGCTTAAGTTTCATACAAGGATTCTATACCGCTAAATTTGCTAATAATTGTAATTTTCCAGGTAGGTGAGTTGATAGTGTAATCGCTAACCGTGTGTGTGGTACGGGTCTTGTAGATGTGAATGATAAAGTTGTCTATCGGGACTTGGCAGGACATGGGGCAGGTGAAGTAGAGTTCACCTGTTTCTGTGTTCTTGGCATATGAAGGGATAGTGTGGTCAGAGCCATGTCAGCCGAAATAAATGTTTTTAAAAGACAAAAATGTCTGAGGTGTGACGTCTTTTTGAATGTGGGGTCTGGTTATTTTGTGAGGATAAGTTACAGAGGTGATGTTTTTTATGGATGACCCCCGAAACCCACAGTTATCCAAGGGATGACGGGAAGTCTAGTACTCAATTATTGTAAATGAATTTTTTTTTTTAAATATGAACCGAAACAAAAAATACTGAAATAAAATAAATATTTTTATTCGATTTTTTTAATTAACAAAAACTGAAATCATCATTTATAAACAGAGGTAAGGACATGTTTACAAGCTTTTATTTGACTTGATTCCTCGTGCTTTTTCTGTCATGTCTGGGTCAGGGTTTCTTTCAGGCATCATTATATAGAAAACATACTTTTACCAGTGTCCGGATGGGGGGGGGGGGTCCAAAATGAAACAACTGCAGCTTAAGTCTTTCTTTTCTTCAAATTGATAATTTTTATGCTGTTTTAAAAAAATGAAATGTTTATTCATAAAATTGTTATGTGTGGTAGTTAATATCTAAATTCTATAGCCTATATGAATATGTGAAGAAAATTATTTTGTACTCTTTTTAAACACATTGCATGTAGAGAGGTGTCTGAGGTTTGGCATAAAATTAATATTGAGAAGGAGTGCAGAATGATAAAAATCTATAGGCCTATACAACACGTTACAAATACATTTAATTGAATTGAATAAAAAAACATTCATCTAGCAAAAGTAAGAAAGTGACCATAAGCCGTAGAAATGATTGGATCAACTTGACACATGAACAGGGGCGGAACTACAGTGCCGCCAGACCCCGCAATGCGGGGGGGGGGGGGGCCCGGGCCGTTTAGGGGCCCACAGCCGACCAAAATCAATTTTTTACAGTTAAAAAAAAAGTAATATTCTTGCATTTTGGACTTAATGGTTGTTTTGTAAAAAGAATATTGTAGCTGCGGTTGGATTATCTTTATTCTATAGACACCAGCCCCAGTCCTCTTTCTCCTACAATAAAACACACGCTGTTGTCGGCAAAATTCTTTGAAAATAAATCCAACGCGTGAAAGACAGGCAAACGTTCAAACCACTTCCATGACTTATTTCCCTTTTTTAAATAATCAAATATGTGTGCACTTAAGCACCTTTTAATAGATTTGCACTAAACAAATTAAAAAGCAATTTTTTCTCTTCATTATTATTTTTTTAAAAATGCATAATAAAGAATGACAATGCATTAAAAGGAAATGTATTTAAAACTAATAATATAAATACAAAAAAAACATAAAAATAAACATAACGCGAGAAACCATTACACACACACAACTTTCATACTTAATATTATTTTTACCGACTAACAGACAGGAGGCATTGCAGCAAATATGCATTAAAACAGAGATTTTCAATAGCACTCACACAAATGACGTATTGTTGAAACTTGTTTTAATTTAAAAAAAAAAAAGAGGTATTTCTAAATGTTTTTTTCTGAAACTCGAACAAGCCCGAAACGAGTATTCTATGTTGGTATTTTCGTATTTTGTTTATATATATATATATATATATATATATATGGGGCCCAAAAAATTTCTTTGCGGGGTGGCCCTTTTTTTCTAGTTCCGCCACTGCACATGAAGTTAGTTCCATAAGACATATAAATGATGGGAGGAAGGAGGAGGGTTACCATTTAAATTTCAATCTCAATTCAAATTACAAAAAATTCAATAATATCTGCATTAGTGATGACAATACATACATTTCAAGGACAAACATTAGGGAAAAAATATATTTTTGGGGCAGTAAGTTTTTACATACGGTCTGTATGAGTTATACATTGCAGACAGTAGAGTTTGATCATATGATTTAAGATTCTATACCTCTCAATATAATGATTAAGGACAGTTTGCAAAAGATGAAAAAGTGTTTATAAAAAAAGATTGTCTGCTCAGAAGTTTTGATGTCACTGTAGGCCTACCTGTTGGCCAGATGGCACTGTGGCTGCCAGCCTGATGTCATTGTACTTGTCTAGTGCAGGTTGTTTTACCTGTCAACCTGATATTCTGTCATGTTGCTGTATGTCTGACTGAGCTGTTTGTGAATAGTGTAAATGTGTAAAGTTAAGAATGAGAATTGTGTAACAGTAGGGCCTACATATATTGTAAACATCTAGTAAATGTAAATGAATTGAACTTTGTGTTTTATTTTAGTTAGCTTCTGTTATCTATATATATAATTCTCTTCTGGGGGACGCTAGAAAACAAGCTGCAAACGCGCTCCCTACCACCCCCACCCCTACATGGTCTGGTGGGCTGTGGTTCACTCTAAATGTTAACAAACAGATCCGGGTTTAGGGGCAGAAAATTTAGTTTGAAACGATTTTAAATGTAGTGGGGGGGGGGGGGGGACTAAGTGGAGCTTACTTTAACGGAGGGGGGGGGGGGGGGGAAGGAGGGGGGAGGGTTATCGTCCTTAACGAGCTACTTATAGTGTTTAAAAGAAATATTTTCAGTGGCAGCGTTGGTAGTGTCGAATTCACAAATTATGAATTACTAAAAAGTAGAAAAAAACAACTAAATAGCGGCGTATGTTATGCTGCGGGTCGGCTCATTGTTAATAATGTAAACAAAACCATGCGGGTCTAAAAATAAAACCCTGGGTTTCTAAAAGTTATAGCTTACTTCTCCTATCATACACATTTACAGATAACACCCATAAAAAGTAGGCTACATAGAGAAAAAATGGTACACATGTAGCTGACATAATAGAATATAATTTCCTTTTACAGTCAGAATACAATTTCTTTTTAGAGTATGTATAATAATTGACAAGGCATACTCTTTGACAAAAGAACCTTTTTCATAATACCAATATTAAAATTAATACACTATGGACCACTGTTTGGATGACTACTAGTTAAAGTTATGTGAAATAAAAAAATTAAAACAAGATATTCAATAATAATTTGCTCTAGAATTATTTATGTTAAAAATGACATTAAATTAAATTGGTTTTTAGTCATGATGAACTTCCTGGTTTACCTCTAGAATGAATTTTTATGAGTATTTAAATTAGATATTTGACAAAACATTTTGTGATTAACATCACATTCATGTGGCATATCTCCTGAATGAAATCTTGTATACATACATATGGCTTACAAAATGTAAAAACACATATATCATAACAAATTATTATTCAACTTTTTGTGACAAATATAACATTTATGTGGCTTCACTCTTTAATGAATTTTTTTTTTTGTAAAAATAAATAAGAAATTATTTGAGAAAACCTTGGATGTCAAACATTACATTCTTGTAGCCTTTCTCCTGAATGAACCTTTTTATGTGTTTTTAATGTAGAACTTTGAGAAAACCTTTTATGACAAACATCACATTCATGTGGCCTTTCTCCAGAATGAACCTTTTTATGTGTTTTCAAAGTAGAATTTTGAGAAAAAATTTTATGACAAACATCACATTCATATGGCTTATCTCCTGAATGAACATTTTTATGTGCTTTCAAAGTAGAATTTTGAGAAAACTTTTTATGACAAACATCACATTCATATGGCTTTACTCCTGTATGAATTTTTTTGTGATCACTTAAACCAGAACATTGAGTAAACCTTTTATGACAAACATCACATTCATATGGCTTATCTCCTGAATGAACATTTTTGTGTTGTAATAAATGTATCTTCTGACCAAACTTTTTATGACAAACATTACATTCCTATGGCTTATATCCTGAATGAAGATTTTTGTGTCGTAATAAATTTTTCTTCTGACCAAACTTTTTATGACAAACATCACATTCATGTGGCTTAACTCCTGAATGAACATTTTTGTGTTGTAATAAATGTATCTTCTGACCAAACTTTTTATGACAAACATCACATTCATATGGCTTATATCCTGAATGAAGATTTTTGTGTCGTAATAAATTTTGCTTCTGACCAAACTTTTTATGACAAACATCACATTCATGTGGCTTAACTCCTGAATGAACATTTTTGTGTTGTAATAAATGTATCTTCTGACCAAACTTTTTATGACAAACATCACATTCATATGGCTTATCTCCAGAATGAACCTTTTTATGTTTTGTCAAAGTAGAATTTTGAGAAAACTTTTTATGACAAACATCACATTCATATGGCTTATCTCCTGAATGAACATTTTTATGTTGTAATAAATTTTTATTCCGACTAAACTTTTTATGACAAACATCACATTCATGTGGCTTATCTCCTGAATGCATTTTCAGATGTGTATATAATTTACATTGATGAGAGAACCTTTTATTACAAACATTACTTGTGTATTGCTTATCTCTTGAGTGCTCTTTTTTATTTTGACTGAAATTACAACTTTGAGAAAGATTCTCATGGCCACCATCATATTCAACTTGCTCATTTCCTTCTTGACCTGTTTTATGTTTTTTTGAGTTAGAACTTTGATAAAGCCCTTTGTGTTTTTGACTAGAAACAATCTGATATCTTTTGTCTCTAGAAAACTGGAGATTTTCTTCAACTTGAAGTTCGAGCCCTTTTTGTTGTTTATCCTCAAAAAATAAATGTCCTGTCAATAAATCTGGCTTTAAATCCTTACTACTTGATATAGTTGTGACTTCTAATTTGTTATCTTCAGATGTCGATAATGTTGATACAGCAGGCTTTTTATTTTTATCTTTACAAATTAAAAACTCAGTTGTAACATCAGGTTTAACATCTTGCAAGTTTATAAATGTTTTGTTGGGTGTAAATTTATCAAAAGATGAAAAAATTGAAAATTCTGTTTCTGTGCCTTTAGAAGATGAAAATTCTGTTGTAGTATAGGGTTTAACATCTTGAGAAGCTGAGAATGTCATGTTGGGTTTTGCATCAACAATAGATGAAAATGTTGTTAATTCTGTTTTTATGTCTTGAGAAGATGAAAATATTGTTGATAGATCTGGTTTCAAATCTTCAGAGTTTAAAAATTCTGTTAATTTGTGTGACTGTTCATCTACAATAGATAACATTGCAGCTAAATGCTCTGTTTCCTCTTCCATTCTTGAGTGCTTTTTATAAATCAGCTGATGATTAAAAATCTTATAAATGTTAAATTGAAAAGTGATTATTAAGTCAGAAAAAAGTATTATTATTAAAATGGCAAAATTAATGGCAGAAGGTCTGTTAATCTTTTCACTCAGCCTGATGGGATCTAAAAACAGATTGCCTGTAATGCCAAGGCTATCATTGGATTAGGACTGTATATTAATATTCTTAAAATATTTTTAACCCAGGCCCAAACCTAATTTCACTTACCTGTTTCTAGCTTTGCCTTTTACTTTTGTATTGTTTGAGATAATCAAACGACATTTGATATCAAGGCTCAGTATCAAACAACAATTCAGTAAGATTCTGAAATTCTTTTTTTTTTTACAAAGTATGAACATAACAATGTTTATAAGACAAACACAGCCGTCTGGTGTGATCTAAAAATAGATTGCCAGTAATGCCAAGGCTATCAATAGAATAGGACTGCATATTAATATTCTTTTAAATATTCTTAAAAAACACAAATTTGTAATCCAGTACTGCTTATTTTGGCTAACTATTGAGGAATTACCAAGTGTGCTTAGATCCTCTCACATCCAGTTGAGGTTATATAGATCTAGATCTATATATTGTCACCTGGTTGGCAGGAAATGAGAACAGTGTTTGTCTTTGAAAGAATGAAATAAGATATTGCATTTTTCTTCGAACATAAGACTTAATTGCTAATTGGCAGATGAAAAAAAAAATGACATATTTTATATGTCAAAATATACTTATTTATGTTAATTCAGCTAAAATTCTTAATATTTGTATTGAAAAATAAATTAATACTATTTTCTTAGACTATTTCTAGTTTCTAGCCTTGTTGACCTTTTAAAGCCATTAACCCTCAACTCAAACCTTGACCCTAAACTTTACTGATGTTTTTTTTTTTTAATTAGTAGTAAAAATGTGCTTAATCTTACCCAAATAATAAATAAGTAGGCTAATAAAAATGTTAAAATTAATTTTTATTACTGCTGTAAATTTAGATAAACAGTAAGATGCCACGAAAATGAATCAAAGCGTTGAATCGAACTGCCTACTGGTAGAGTTATCAAAATACACATGACATTGCTAACCCTGTCCTTAACCCAAACCCCAACCCTAGAAACTAGTTAGTCTAAGTTAGTCGTTAGTCCTACCGTACGCATACGCCTAACATTTTTAATAAAACTAGATCTAGATCTAGCCGAGATTCCAGTGAGGTAAAACCTTAGTTTAGTGTCGGTTATTATTCCGGAATCGTATAGCAGTAAAAAACAGTAAAACAATGCCAAAGTCTGTCACACACTTCCGGAATTCACCGGAAGTACTGTAAACCATACTTTATTTGGCGTCATCTTTTATTTTTATACAGAATGTTTAAAATTTGGATAGATTTATTTTTGTAATCATTTTTACATTTTGTAATCATTTTTACTATTTTCGTAATCTAGATTTTTTTACTTGGCCTAGCAGCTAGATATCTATCTAGATCTAATTAATTATGAATTAATGGTCGAAATCCGCTGCAAGCCAAAAACATTAAATATTACATTTGACTTCATATTCATTATTTATATTAATATATGTTGTTTTTTTTTTTTTAGATCTACTATTTTAAATCTACTATTATATTTATTCTTGTTTCCTTTTGTCGATTAAACTTAAAAAATTAAAACATTAATTTACTACAATCGACTTTCAATTTATTTATATTTCAATGGTCAAATAAACCATGGTTTACCGTAACTCTAGTTACCGAAACTCAACAAACATTACCCGATAATTTCCGACGCTAAACTAAGGTTTTACCTACAATGATACTAGTACTACTTAAGTACTAGATCTAGATCTACATCTAACAACGCAACACACCTATTTTATGGATGAGTCTTTGGTATTACATTCCAAACATGTTTTAATGAAATAAAGTAATGTCTAAGGCATTAAAATGTTGCCTTAAACAAGTTTAGGTGTTAATTACGAAAATAATAATTAATTAAAAAATATAATTTAACCAAATTTATCTCCAATTTTTCCTTGACTAATATTTTGTTTTAAGTGTATCAACATATTTTCAGTTTCCGTCTGACATAAATAAATCTTTAGGCCCACCCACCGGAATGTGGATCACACATAATCAACTAACTAAAAAAAACAGGCAAATAAAAAAAGTCATAGGCTATAATTATTTAGGTTTAAAATGGGACATAATTAACATAAAGAAACGAAGTGGGGTGGGGGGATGTCATAGGCCCTACTCTAAAAACTAGATCTACTTTTATTCTTAATAATAGACTCAGTATAGTTATAACATGATCTCACCCCGTTTAATGAACTTGGCAGATGCACGTTTTCAGAGAAATCGGGCCTTTCAGCAAACAAATATTTAGCCCTGTATATTGGAAGCTGTTTCTGAAGGATATAATAGACAAGCAATTAAAGAAGCTGGGGCAATGGATACCATGCGGTTGGGGTGGAAGGGGTGATTGTACTGCGGGATGGGAGGGAGGAGTTATAACAGGTGGGTAATGTCTACGACCCGTGGTATTATATACAGCATTATATTTATAAAACTGTCTAGCTCCAGTAGCTGGCACTCCAATAAAATTTATAAAATCTTGCATGTTCTCTAATTTTTTAGATAATTCATTGTTGAATCGCAAGCACCGTGGCTACAACATTTTCCTTTTTTAAAAAAAAATAAAGCTGTGTGCCCACTATCAACGTGTTTTTTTTTTTTTTTACTTTGATTTGGGGCCTACTCTTTATTTTAAATGCCTGGGTCTATATAGCAGACGCTCCATGTCAAAGGTCATGCTTGTTTTATAAATGTTCTATAACATGTTCTGTAAGTGTAAACGCTAAAGTATACATGTTCTGTGGAGAAAAATTGTTCCAGATAAAAATAACTTTTGGCGGGCTTTGTGTTCTGGAAATGTATAGTATACATGTCGTAAGTGTATCTCCCAGGCATGATACTATAAATAAACATTATGAACTTACAATGACCCCAAAACTGAGGCCAACACAATTTCAAACAGCTATTGCCCGAGTTATGACGAATGCTGATAATTGTTTAATTATTAATTAAAGTCAATGTGAAGGATTTTTCTCATCGATCACACGATATTTAATTGGAACAGTTCTAATGCTTTTTTATGTATATGGATGACATTTCATTTAGTTTATACTAGCCGTCCCGGCCAGGCCCTGCTCTGGCTTCTGTGAAAAACCTTTCTGTTAAAGACCATCACCTGTGTGTTTAGTAATCATCATAAACCCGGCATTGCCCACCCAAACCACAACCAACCAAAACCAAAACAACAAAACGCAAACATAACGCTAACACAATTACAAATACAAACGAAAACAAAAATCTAACAACAAACCCAACCACAACCACAAACACCAATACAAACACAAAGAAAAAACAAACAAAAAAGCAAACGAAAACAAAAACCTAACAACAAACCCAACCACAACCACAAACACCAATACCAACACAAAAAAAAACAACGAAAAAGCAAACGAAAACAAACCAAATCCAAACGCAAAACCAACCAAAAACACAAATACAAACCCAAAGAAAAAAACACAAACAAAAACGAAAAAAGAAAGAACAAAAACGAACCAAATCAAAACGCAACCACTAACGCAAACCCACCTAAACACAAAGAAAACACTAACGCGAACATAAACGCCCGGGGCGGAATCACCTGTTTTAGCTTAATGAACGACTATAGTACCCCAACTTATTCATAGTCTTTTGCACTCACTTAAACGAACGCGCCTGTTTCAATTTAATGAACAATTATAATACTCTAAGCTTATCCGTAAAATACCTACAACATTTGCACTTGATCAATCCCCGCTAATTATGTAATTATTTTTTTTCCCAACACCAAAACAAAGTAATAAAAAGTAAATTATTTTCCACTAATGCAATGGTTTTATAAAGGGAAGTAATTGTGTTTTCCTAATTTATCAAAGGGAAGTAAGTGCTATAGGACTAAATAAAGACATAATTAGAATTTTTTGTAAAAGATGTGTTTAATGAACATGCCGAAAATTATTACTTTCAGTTTGATAAATGAAAATTATTTCCCAAAACTTTCAATATTAATTTTTTAACTCATAAATTTAGACCATAATGACTTTAATTATCTAACACTTAAATCCATCGAAGTATGTCAACGACAAACTTATTACATACAAAATTGAGCTTTATATATTAGATTTACTAATTAGGGGTCATCCATAAATGACGTCACACTCGTAGGGGGGAGGGGGGTCCGTAATTTTATGACGATGTGTGATTAGGGGGAGGGTGGGGGGTTCAGATGTTGCGACGTCTCATTTTTGCATTATAAAAAAGCAATGTTAGAAAACGAATTTTAGACGTTATTTCGCGTTTTAGATAACTGTTTTAATAAATTGTAATAGTTTAGACCAGGGGTCGGCAACCTGCGGCTCGCGAGCCGCATGCGGCTCTTTTGATATCAAGATGCGGCTCTCTAGCTCTTTGCACAAATACTAATAATCTTAAGAAAAAAATAAAATATTTGAAATAAAACAATGTTAGTGGCTCTTTAAAACCAGGGAAATTTTGAAAATTGTAACTTTTGGCTCTTCCGCTTCAAAAGGTTGCCGACCCCTGGTTTAGACAAGATTTTGGAAAAATATCGATGTTTAAAAAAAATTCAACTGCAATTTTGAGGGGGGGTTGTAGGTTGAGGTGTGACGTCATTTTAGGGGGGGGGGGGTCTGACTTTTTGTGACGACGTGTGACGGAGGGGAGGGGGGGGAGGTAAAAATCGTCAAAAAAAGCGTGACGTCATTTATGGATGACCCCTTAGGCCTAAATCGTTTTATTTATTTATTACTAGAACTCTAGGCCTATACATGATTATAAATTAACGTGCATAAGAAGTGACGTTATATTTTTGCTATTTCCAAAAGAAAACCTAGATCTAGTAGATCTAGGGACAAATGCGTTTTTTTTTTAATGATCTTAAAATTAATTAAGATTTATAACTTTATTAAAAACGAAAATATCTTTGAATTAGACCTAATACGTCATCGGACGAAGGGAGCATACTCTAAGTCTTATTTACAAAATTTTCCCAGAGGCGTGAGAAGTCTACCTTTCTTACGGTTTTAAAAATTGATGAGTGGTCCTAGATTTATTTATTATTAAATAGCCTATGCAAAATTATTTTTTAAAATGAGTAGCTTTGAATTACAGTATAGTGTTGTGTGCAATGGTAAAATTCCTGTATCAAAGTATCGTTCCAAAGATACTGGCTTAACAGTGTGCATAGCCGAAGTTGAAGGTCCAATCATAAATGGATATTTTTGTCTAGGTATGGTAAATTATGGTTTTGTAAAGTATTTTTTGGTAAGACAAGAAATTACCAATGAGACTGATTTCGCTAATGTTTTCGTTTATAACTTAGCCATGATGAAAATAAATAGAAATGTAGCCTTAAACTACTCAACAAATTATTTTCAAGTTCTCTGGCTTTGCAACTTTTAAAGTTTAAAGTTTAAAGCATTTATTCTAAAAATATAAAATTTCTAAATTAATTTTAGGCTTAAGTTTTTATTTTTTATTAGGCCTATTTTAAACTATTTTTACAGTCTCAATCTAAAAAAAATACATTTTTATTCCATGTTAACAACATAATGGAAGGATTCTTGTCAACTCACTCGCCTCCATTTATGGCACTGAAAGAAAATGGTGGCTGAATGTTTTAAAACTGGTTCTTCTGAAATTTTATTAGCCTAAAATAAAAAATAAAATACCCAGAAATAGGCCTGTCTTATTCTTATAGGCCTTTATAAATGATAAGTTATATAGTACTATATAGTGGCCTATCATCATTTCCTTTGTGGCCCCTGGGGAGCAAAGGACTGCAACCACACATCTCCATCAGACTCGGTTTTGGGCTGCTCCCTTTATCTGTGCCCATGTGAGCCCAGCTGTTTTCGCCTCTTCTACAACCGTTTTTCTCCATGTCTTCCTTGGCCGGCCCACCCTCCTTTTTCCCTGGGCCTATAGGCCCTAAATAATTCTTATATTAAGCTAATAGATAAATAATACATTTATTATGCTTAGCCATATTTAATTTATATTAGGCAGGTTAATGCTAAAACAAAATAGTAAATATTCAGGCCTACACGTGTGCAGTAGAAAGAAAATATTGCTTTCCTTCATCCTAACCTTAAAAAAAAAAAACATCCAACCTGGTGGTAGGCATTTTACTTGGTGCAAACACTTAGGCCTAGCTAAGTACAATAAAAATGTAGCCTAATCAGACTAATCTAAAATTACTACTAAACACAATTGAAAAACTCCACAACCGAGTGAGCAAACATCACACAATTCTGGCACAGATTATTTTATTTTGCAGACCTGCTAAAGTTTTAAATTTAGCTTAATAAGAATTAATAATGGTTCTTCACAAAATACAAACTTAATTCAGAAACCCCTAAGAATGTACTAAAAAAAACTGTAGCTAGGCTTATACAATTCTACGAGACCTATGTTACTAAGTTTTTTATAGCAATTTTTTTAGATTTGAAAGACAAAATTTGTAACATTAACCTGTACAGCAACACCATCTAAAGCCTATTTGTAGTGCTCTTGTTTAGTAATTTTAAAAAAAAATCTCTAAAACTGAGTGTGAAAATGCAACATGTACACATATGAGACTTATTCATACTTGGCTTATTTAACATCTGCACACTCTGTCATATTAGCAATCACATTGCTTCACTTACTTCATTATTCTACTTTAAAACTTGTACAAATGTGGCCCCAAACACAGATTCAGCACTGAATCACACATGCTAGACGAGTGTTAAGTTTTATTCTTTATTTCAGCCACTGAGGCACACGATGATGATGGACTTCCACACACCCTGGAACATCTTGTTTTTCTTGGAAGTGAAGACTATCCTTATAAGGTGGAGATATAAGGCTAGACTTTATGTAACACTAAATCGTTATATACTTACGTACAAAGTTTTATTCCATAATCCAATGTTAGCTGCTGATTTTGAGTTAAGAGCTGTTTTATTTATATTTCTCACAAAAATTATTTTAGGGAGCACACTATATTTATAAAAAGTTAAAAAAGGGCCACATTTAATAATTTTAATCAAATAGCCATAGAATAGATGGCCTAAGCTCTTCAGGTTATGACCCAAAACATGTATGGGCCTATTTAGTCATTAAATGAAAATTGATTCCATAACCACAGAGTTAAGTGCAGTTATAACATGGGCTGGAATGGAATTCATTTTTCAACTTATTCAATTCTGTATTTAAATTATTTGTGCATCCAGTTTTATACTGTATTAATGAACAGACATATACTGCAGACTGAAGCATATCTATTTTGTACTTATATGTCTTGATATCAGAAAGTCTATAAATATGTGGTCAGCTCCCTTTGTCAGACCAACGCTATGTATGCAGTTCTACAGTAGTATTTTGTACTGATCTGCTTTTTTTTGTGTAAATGTGAATAGGGAATATTGGACCAGTTTGCCAACAGATGCCTGGCCTCAGGAACCAATGCTTGGACAGAGACAGATCACACCTGCTACACTATGACAAATGCCGGAGATGTTGGATTCCTTACACTGCTGCCCATATACATGGACCACATTCTCTACCCAACCTTGACTGTAAGTAACATTCATGTCAGTGTTGTTGTCCCTGGTAGATGAGGATTATTATCTGGGTACAGCTACCCATCTAAGAGACAGTACTCCAAAATCAAACAACTGCTGCCTTGCTGATTGTTCTTTAGTGGACAGAGGCTATGGAAGCAAATCCTGAAAGAAATTCAGGTTGAGTCAATGGGGGATAAGGCACAAAATTATGTTTACATGCAATGCTAAATTGTGTTGGATGAAATTCCTTTCAACATTACAATTAAGAACAAAAAAAGAAATGATACTGTCACTTACATGTAGGGCAAAGGGTTTGTTTAAATTTAATAATTTGAATTTAGTAACTCTTTTTCCAGAGATTGTAGATGATAGAACAAACAGGAATATACAACAGATATTTGAAAAATCATGTGACCTGCCAAATAATATGTTCTCATCTCCCCATAAGCATTGTTTGCAAACGTACACGATGTCTTCTTTCATTCATGGACAATTTGTTTTTCCCATCTGTTTCTGTGTATATTCTGTTGGTGATATTAATAATGAGACTTGTTACTTGAAGTCTTTTTCCCTTTTTGATGTTGTTAATAATGTAAGCGGCTAATAATATATTTGTTCTAATTTAAATGTTAATAGTTGTAAATATAAAACCATTCTTTCGTATATGTTGTTGTTTTTATTTATCAATAGGAGTCTGGTTTTTTGACTGAAGTTCACCACATTGATGGCAATGGTGAAGATGCTGGCATAGTCTACTGTGAGATGCAGGCCAGAGAAAACAGTGGTGAGAGCAGGACAAACCGTGCCCTGCTCAGGGGACTGTACCCACCAGAGTGTGGATACAGGTATGAGACTGGGGGCATCATGAAGAACCTACGGGAGAGCACATCCCATGATAAGGTGAAACGGTATCACCAGGAGTTTTACCGGCCTGACAACCTGTGCCTTATCATTTGCGGTATGGTCAGTGCTCAGGATGTTTTTAAAGCATTGGAACCAATGGAGAAGAAAATTATCAGCAAGGTGGGTCTAAATTTTGCTTTTTAAGGAATTAACCTATGTTTAGAATATTAATTAGACGTAATTAGTTTAAGGAAATATCCTGTTTAGAATATTAATCAGGCATAATTAATTTAAGGAAATGTCCTGTTTTAGAATATTAATTAGATGTGATTAATTTAAGGAAATATATGTTTAGAATATTAATACTACGTTATTAATTTAAATAAAAATTTTAAGTAAAAAATAAGTCGTCATGCAAAATTTATTAATTTTTGACATTATGGTGTTAAACAGCTCTAGTGTCACTTCAATTGTTTGTTTGTTGTAGCTGTAATATTTGCTAGTTGCTACAATTATTATTTTACAATGTCTACACTTTGTCCAAGCTATTTGTTATTATCAAAATTAAACCGTTAGCATTGTGATGTACATTACAGAAGATGTTTAAACAATGTAAATAGTTAGTTTAAAAAACCATCACCAGGGACCAAGGAAAGCATTCAACAGACCTTGGGAAGACCCTATTCCTCCACTTACAGAAAGTAGCAAAGAAACTGTTCTTTACCCATCTGAAGATGATGAATATGGAATGGTTCATATAGGGTTTAGGGGCCCTCCCTCTAAAGTGAGATTTTCTTTTAACTACATTTACAAAGACGTTTGGCTTTTAATATCTTATTACAACTTCACATTAGATATGAATAATTTTCATATATATGAGGTCACTTAAAATAATTTTCACAGTTCATTATAAGAACTTTTTTTTTAAATTTTAAAAATTGCAGTAACAGTGTGATGGGCAAGAATACTGTAATTAACATGTAGGGATTAACAAATGTAGTGACATTTGTTTTGCAGGAATTGTATGAACACCTGTGCTTAAGTGTACTGACAGATTATCTAGACGGATCAGCTATTTCACCTATACAACGTGATATGGTAGAAATCCATCGACCTTTTGCTGGGGATGTAAGTGATTGTTGATAAGATCTTTAGATTTATGGCCGCTATACAGAGATTGAATAATTTTAAAATATATTTTTTAAAATCCCATAAAACCATCAGCTACAGGACATTACCCCACCCCCATCAACTACCTCTTCCCCCCCCCCCCTCCGTATTTACACCCCCCCCCCCCCCACCTCAAGTTAGAATCCTAACTTTAACTCAAATTCTATACCTAGATCTATATGTTACCTTAATCCTAACTTTAAGAAAAAGACCAAAACCTAAGCATTCACCTTAACCTAAAACTTAATACAAAACCAAAACCAACTCTAGACATTGGTTTAAGCCTAACCCTGACCATAACACTAACCCTAATCCTAGCACTTACCCTAATCCTAACCCTAAATCTCACCCTAGCCAAAGCTCTAGCCATAACCATATCCCTAACCTTACCCCTAACTCTTGCTGTACCTTAAGCTGTGTCCAGGGGGGGGGGGGGGGGTAATTGACAAGGGTAATTACTCGGGGGGGGGGGGGGTAATGCCCTGTTCCCGAAACCATCAGTTTAGCTTTGGCTCATTCTCTACTCATCCGTGTTGTCAATTGTCTCTTGTCTTTCTATACCACTAGTATCAAACATGCTTACATTGCCTCTTAGGACTAAGACAAAATTATTCATTTTGCAGGTGGATTTTAACATTATAGAAAATTCTATATTGGCTGTGTATATCACTTTTCAAAATGCTGAAATCCCAAAGCTGGAAGCTATTGAATCAAAGTAATACTGAATTTTTAAAAATTGCTTTATAATATAAATATCAATGTAAAGCTATTTATATTTTATTTTTATTATTTTGCTATCTTAGGACTTTTTAATTGTAACGTATCTTGGTTTTAGATACTACAGTTCAGCTGCTACTGAACCTTAAAAACATGAACAAGCTTTGAAAATGGTTTACTATAATCATACAATTATTTCCACTCAACAAAATGTTTTTATCAAATCAGTTATGTGGTTTTCATTTGATAGAAATTGTAAAATCTTGTACAATTTTTAAAATCAGATTTATGAGCATCCTCAAGAAAATAGCCAGTGGAGAGGAACAGATTGATATGAAGAGAATGGCAGCCGTGATTCATAGGAGAAAACTTGATGCATTGAGCAGTGTAAGGGAAATAATTTCAACTGATATATTTTATTTTATTTGTAACTATTGTTTGTTATTTGGGGGACTTGACTTATTAATTTGTTAGCCTTCCGAGTGTAACAGTACAGATTATTACATACATGAACTGATATAGTACTGAAGGGCAGCAGAAATAAAATCATAATCATCAGAAAAATAAGCGAAGAATTATTACCTGTAACTATAGATATAGTTTTGTTACATTGTTGCTGTAAAGTCTTTTGTTTTGTTTTAGCTGGAGTATGTGCCCAGTGACTCCATTGCATTTTTCATCATTGGACATTTTCTATATGGGGATGATGAAACTGATGTGAGTACTTGGATCAGTTTTAAAATATTTTTTAGTTTTAAAAATTTGTTATACACAGATTTTATTCAAAATACAGGTAGATTAATATTCATTTGTTGAAAATTTGTTTTTTAAAAATCTGTTTTGTTTACAATATTTTTTGACATAAGATGACGTTTTAACCCATGAAAAACTTCAAAAGCATCTCATTTTATAGGGCAAATACATCATAAATTCTATTTTACTTGGAAAAGTTGGAGATCTTATTTGCCCAGTGATCTTATAAGTCAGAAAACATTGTGTATTGCTTGACATTGTGTATTGCTTGACATTGTGTATTGCTTAATAATTCAGCATGAGTTTTCAGTATATATAAATATGTAGTACCTCTTAGATTAGTGGTCTATAGATTAAAATTATAAATGCATATTTTGTGCATACAATTCTGATTAAAGAATTTGTTGATAAATACAAAGCTACTACAGACTTTAAGTATAGACCCAGGATGTGTTGCTAATGATGGGATGTGTTATGTGTTTCAGCTGTCAAACAGGTTGAACACTGTTGACTTGTGTAATAAAATGCAGGATGAGCCAGTGGAGTACTGGGTGAATTTGCTGAAAAAATATTTCTTGAACACACCCACTGTCACTGTAAGTAGCAGTAAAGCACTTGAACCTTGTCTTTAATTTTAAATTCCCTGTTATTAGTAATTACAGTTGGGTTATTTTGAGAGGAGAATATTGTGTATTCTAGAAAAAATGCTTTATCTGCATGTGTTGTGATCATGTGATTTAGGATGTGTTGTGTCCATGTGACTATTTGAAGTGTCATGTGATTCCATGTTCTGTGGTCATGTGACTGTACATGTGCCATGGTCATGTGACTTCATAGGCTGTGGTCATTAAACTTTACGTGTTGTGGTCATGTAACTGTATGCTATGTGGTCATGTGACTGAACATGCGCTGTGGTCATGTGACTCTAGAAAAGGGACGGCTAGGCGCTAGACTGCTAACCCAATAGTTTCGAGTTAGAATCCGGGTTCATGCTAGTGGAATGTCCCTGAGTCCACCCAACCCTGATGAGTACCTAACTCACTTTAGGGAAACAACGGTGGCTGGGCATAGTGCTGACCACATTATCCCTTTATATGTCGAGGTCAAGAAACATATGCTCCACTTCATCTGCCCAATGGATCGTTCTTCTTCTTCTTCGTTCTTAATTATTAGTGTTGAAGGGGATCGAGATTTATCTGCCAGAGGGTATTAACTCGAGACTTTGTTCGAATTTATTAACCATGAACTTTTTTGCCGACTCGACCACGCCTCCAACACAATTAAGCGTTACGTGTCAACTGGTTATGCGCCATTGAGGCCATTGACTCCGATTTCAGCCTGCTTTTCTTTTTGAATTTGCTTCCATAGCCTTTGTCCAACCAAGAACAAACTACAAGGCAGCAGTTGTTTAATTTTGGAGTTGTCTCTCCTAGAAGAGTGGCTGTCCCCAGCTAACGAGCCTCATTTCCCCGAGGGTTCGAACTCGAGACTTTTCGGTTTAGCAACCATGAGCTTTACCGACTCGACCATGCCGACCCCTAATGGATCGTTAAATCTAAAGAGGAATCTTTACTGTTTACTATGTGACTCTCGACATACTTTGGTCATTTAACTGAAAAATGTGTTTATAATTACTCTGTTATGCTATGGTTTTATGATCTTTTATTATAACAAATATCAAATTATCTACATTATACAAATATTATTTTAAAAAGCCACTTAAATACTTACTTAGATCATAGGCAAGCCAAGTATTGACCTAGCAGCTGATATGGGGGCTGAAGAAGAAGATAGACTGGGGCACCAGAAAGCTGAGCTGGGACCAGAAGGCTTGGCTGCTTGCAAGATGAGGATAGAGAAGGCTGAAGATGAGAACTCTGTAAGTTCAGAGATGTGACATTGTTTTGTGTGTGTTCTTGGTGTGGTGTTTTATTACATTTGGTAAATGCTTTGTTAATTAATACTTTGTTATGTCCAATTTTAAAATGCTTTGTTATATCCAACATTTAAAGCTTTGTTATGTTCAACATTTAATATATATTTATGTCCTACATTTACCGCTTTGTTATGTCCAACATTTAATGCTTTGTTATGTCCAACATTTAATTCTTTGTTATGTTTATCATTTAATGCTGTTATGCCCAAGATTTAATGGCTAGCCCTTACAGTGGTTCTTAGCCTAGCCCTGACAGTGGTTTTTAGCCTAGCCCTAACAGTGGTTCTTAGCCTAGCCTTAACAGTGGTTCTTAGCCTAGCCCTAACAGTGGTTCTTAGCCTAGCCCTAACAGTGGTTCTTAGCCTAGCCATAACAGTGGTTCTTAGACTAGCCCTGACAGCGGTTCTTAGCCTAACCTTAACAGTGTTTCTTAGCCTAGCCCTAACAGTAGCCGAGCCCTAACAGTAGCCTAGCCTTAAACAGCAATACAGATAGATAAAAAAGCAACTCAATGTTTGTTTTGTCTTATATTTTAATTTTATAAGAATTAAGATAATAATTTTTTCTGGTATTACTTTTTTGAGGTTAAAAATTTAAAAGATTTTCTTGTGTATTTTCTTATAGAAAAAGCCTCCGAGTGAGTTCCATGCCAAGATCCACCCCCCTAGCACAGACAGCATCAAGCTCCACACCATCTACCCCAGTACTAACATTGAGAGCCACCCCAACAGTGACAGCAACCCACTCTTCCAGCTTTCTTCTCTCCCCTTCAGGTTCATGCTGGATGACTTGCACACCAATTTTATTGAGGTGGGTATAGCTCTATTGCTACCTAGACACTGGTGTAGTGTGTTGTTGTTATTTGGACACTAGTGCAGTTAGTTGCTATTTGGACACTAGTGCAGTTAGTTGCTATTTGGACACTAGTGCAGTTAGTTGCTATTTGGACACTAGTGCAGTTAGTTGCTATTTGGACACTAGTGCAGTTAGTTGCTATTTGGACACTAGTGCAGTTAGTTGCTATTTGGACACTAGTGCAGTTAGTTGCTATTTGGACACTAGTGCAGTTAGTTGCTATTTGGACACTAGTGCAGTTAGTTGCTATTTGGACACTAGTGCAGTTAGTTGCTATTTGGACACTAGTGCAGTTAGTTGTTATTTGGACACAAGTGCAGTTAGTTGCTACTTGGTCACTAGTGCAGTATTTTGTTGTTTAGCATAGCTGTGTTGTCACTAATTGGTCTTCTAGTAGTGTGCTGTTACTTTTTGGTCCAATACTGTTACTATTTGGTTGGTCGGGTTTGTTAAACTCATGATTGCTGAACCAAAAAGTCCTGAGTTCAAAACCCCGGCCAGATGAGGCTCGTTAGCTGGGGACAGCAACCCATCTAGAAGAGTCAACTCTAAAATCAAACAACTGCTGCCGTGTAGTTGGACATGGGCAATGGAAGCAAATCCAAAAAGAAAAGCCGGCTGAAATCAGAGTCAACAGCCTATATGGTGCATAACAAGTTGACATGTAAAACTTAATTGTGTTGTAGGGAATCCCTTCCCACTCTAGAATTAAGAACAAATAAGACTACTTGGTCTGCTAGCACAGGTATCTCTGACTACTCAGTCTATTGAGCCGGTATGGATTTACTGATTACATGGCACAAAAATATATTTTGAATTCTCCCTTTTATTAGATAACATTTTCAGAGATAACCACCTGCCACCCTTGATAATTATGTGAACCGTAAATGTTTATAAATTTCTTTAACCTACATTGTAAGGCAATATGTTTTTTTTTCTTTCTCAGTTAAATGTTTTACTAGACACAAGCAAAATCCCTCAACACTTGAAGTATTACCTACCCTTATTTGCAGACACATTACATGAAATGTCAGTGGTTGTCAATGGAGGTAAGAGTTTCAAGCACTTCCTGTTCAATGTCATCTTTTGTGTTAAAAAATTAAATGTTAATTGCTGTAAGAAAAGAAAGAACTCCGAACATGGATGATGATGCAGGCCAAATGCATCTAAGTCATCATCACTCAAATACATATGATCCCTACACTGAAAGAAAGGTTGTTGCATATTTAAAGCAGTGACTTCAAAAGGGAAATGACTTTTTAAACTCCAGAACTGTAGAACATTGAAGAAGTTGTTGCATCTATTTATCCATAACCCTGAATAAGAAACATTGTTTTTCCATTCCCAGTGTTGAAGCCACATTAGGAAGTTGTTGCATGTATTTAGATTAGTGACCCTAATGTGATATGATTTTCTATTTCCAGTGCTGAAGCCGTATAAGAAAGATGTTTAGATCAGTGACCCTATGTGATATGTTTTTCTATTCCCAGTGCTAAAGCCATATGAGGAAGTTGTTGCATGTATTTAGATCAGTGACCCTAATGTGATATGATTTTCTATTCCCAGTGCTAAAGCCGTATGAGGAAGTTGCTTAGATCAGTGACCCTAATGTGATATGATTTTCTATTCCCAGTGCTGAAGCCGTATAAGGAAGTTGTAGCTTGTATTTAAATCAGTGACCCTAATGTGATATGTTTTTCTATTCCCATAACTGAAGCTGTATGAGGAAGTTGTTTAGGGCAGGAAACAGATTGGTACCGCAAAATGCATATTCGGTCTTCGCCGTTCATAAACTTTCTAACCAGACATCGTTCGGGGATTTTGTTTATACTGATAAATAGAGCAAGGTTTTTACAAGCTTCGTTAGCAACATTTTTGTGGAATTCGTTTTTTATGACATTTTGTGCCGCGGCGAAGGATGCGAAGTATGCAAATCTAGACGGAATGGATCTACTTGGAAAGTACGTGTACTGCACTAATGAGGTAAGAAATAATATTTTGTAAAAATAACTATTATTTTTTTATGGATTTTTCATTAGAAATGATTGCTGTAAATTATGAAAGTAAAAAAAAGTATATTTGAATGCGTTTTTTACTTTAATTTGAGCAAAATGACTGCCGAAAATTACGACACATCGGCGTCGCTGAAAGCGGGAATTTCAGTTAATTTTTTACGGATATAAAATTGTATTTTTTTACTCCGAAGCATGTATTTAAATAACAGTTAAGTTAAATCTATTTAATTCTGTAAAATATAATTATTATTTTGCCGTAGATACTTTTTTTTATTTTTAATGATTTTCTGTCGCGGAAAATCGGTATTCGCACCATGCACGCACACGTAGTAAAACTAGACTTATCTTTAAAACACGAGAATCTTGAGTACACTGCGAATAACAAAGTTTTTAAATGTTAGTTTACTTTTGACTTTAAGCCATTTGTTTTAAATCGAAATTAATTGATAATGTAATTATTTCAAAGTAAAAACTTTCCGTCTGAAATTGGCTTCTAACCTTCGCCACTGAACCAGCCTACGCACGACATTCGCGCGAGTCTGTTTCTTCGCAATAGTCTGTATAGTGTCGAGGGCTAATCCTAAAAAGAACCGAGTCCTCACTAATGTAATGTTTATTAAAATTAGGTACAATTGTTGGAACACATGAGAAATGACAAATTTAAATTTCTTCAAATCTATAGCCAAAAGAAAGTAGAACTTTATAACTCTGTAAATTATGAATCGAGTGACGGCTGTCGTGAAAACGGGAGCCATTGTACTCTTTTTTTTAGGGTGACCTACTTTTATTATATAAATTTAAAATTCGAAGATTTGATAAGCAGCTGAGTAGCTGAATATGCATGCGATATGGCTGGCACGTTTTGGGATAGGGATCGAGTACACCGTAGAAATTTTTTTTCTTAGAACTACGCGTATTTTTTTTTTAAATCAAAAGATACTTACATATTAGCTATGGATTTCAATTTCATTACAGAACTAATCACTAACTTTAGTTTTTAAAAGTGATTTTGCTTCTAGATCTAGCGTATTTTCAAAATTACGTAGATTCTAGATCTAGATCGATTTTACTAACTATTTGATTTGACAAACGTGTCAGTAAAATGAGCTCACCGCTTCCAGATTCTTAGGTTTTAATTATGTTTGTCATTTTGATCTATTATAAGTAGCATTAAAACTACTGCATCTATCATCAACATTGTTTTTATAGGCCAGTTCTAATGATACATTCTGTTCATTACCAATTCTAATGAAATCGTATCAGGCCCTAACTAACACCCTGTTCACTGACACCACACTATTTGAATGAGGCCACAGACAGTCGTAACTTTAAATTAATTTATAAAGTACTAAACAATTATAATTAGCCATGTAAATGCTGCAACTATAATAAAAATTGGCATATAGACATATTTTACTAATAATATTTTTTACATAGACCTTCTATATTTAACTCTGTTATTTTTTTCTTCCCCAGAGTGTTTTTAAAAGCCAGAATTTTGAACATTTTTTAAAGGGGATAGCGGTCGTTTTTTTTTTCAAGAATAATTATAGAAATAAGCTATAAACTGGTATATTTTGTAAAGTTTGACATAATTACAAATAAATTTATGCCTAAGTGACATTTCTGTGTAATTATATTGTTAATTTTGTGAATTTCGTGGATTTTAGACCTTACTACATTTAGATGTAAAAAAAAAATGTCATTTGAGTGAGTGTGGTTAATCTAAATTTTGAACGTGATGTAAATGTCTAGTGCTATTAATTTTTATATTTTTGAATTCCTCGATTGTTAAGCAACAAAATTGATATATAATATGTCAATATTTGAAAATTGGCGAAAATCGACCCTAAAAGTAGATGTTTGAGAGTTGAATCTGTTTCCTGCCTTAGATCAGTGACCCCTAATGTGACATCATTTTTTATTTCCAGTGCTGAAGCCATATGAGGAAGTTGTTGCATGTATTTAGATCAGTGACCCTAATGTGATATGTTGTTCTATTCCCAGTGCTGAAGCCGTATGAGGAAGTCGTAGCACTACTTGAGGAAGATACAGTCCATGTTGGGGCTGGTCTTGGCTTTCCTTCAGGGAATAACTTTCGTACTGGGGCTTTCCCTCAGCTCTTTACACTCACTATCAGGGTAAGTTTGGAGTGGTCAGTGTCTTAGTTTAAAGTGGTCAGTGTCTTAGTTTAGAGTGGTCAGTATCTTAATTTAGAGTGGTCAAGATCTTTGTCTAGAGTGGTCAGTATCTTCATTTGTAGTGGTCAGTATCTTTGTCAAGAGTGGTCAGTATCTTAGTTATTATTTTATTTTAGAGTTGCCAGTATCTAAGTTTAAAGTGGCTAAGTATTTTAAGTTTATGGAGCTCCATAATTATTGTGACTTGAGTTACTCACTGCTGCCACTGTTTTTTTAGAATGGTCAGTATTGAGATTTCAGCAGTTAACTGTTCACTAGTAATGTTGAGTAGCTTTATTTTGTAGTATTTATCTTCATTATCATTTATAATTTTTAGTATATTAAATCAATGTGGTAGTGAATGGTATTTTCTTGTATGATGGTTGTAGTAATTTGTTTCCTACATGGAGCTTATTCTTAAATTTTACCAATATTGAAACATTCATATTATTTTAATATGAATTTTTTTTTTATCTTTAAGATTCTGCCTGAATTATCACTGTCATTATAATGACTTGTCTATTCATTTTCATCCATTGTTGAATTATTTATTCACATATCTCCACCATGTCTTGTTAAAACCCTTACAACCCCCACCTATCCTACAACCCCCACCTATCCTACAACCCCCACCTATCCTACAACCCCCACCTATCCTACTACCCCCACCTATCCTACAACCCCCACCTATCCTACAACCCCCACCTATCCTACTACCCCCACCTATCCTACAACCCCCACCTATCCTACAACCCCCACCTATCCTACTACCCCCACCTATCCTACAACCCCCACCTATCCTACTACCCCCACCTATCCTACAACCTCCACCTATCCTACAACCCCCACCTATCCTACAACCCCCACCTATCCTACAACCCCCACCTATCCTACTACCCCCACCTATCCTACAACCCCCACCTATCCTACAACCCCCACCTATCCTACAACCCCCACCTATCCTACAACCCCCACCTATCCTACTACCCCCACCTATCCTACAACCCCCACCTATCCTACTACCCCCACCTATCCTACAACCTCCACCTATCCTACTACCCCCACCTATCCTACAACCCCCACCTATCCTACTACCCCCACCTATCCTACAACCTCCACCTATCCTAAAACCCCCACCTATCCTACAACCCCCACCTATCCTACAAACCTCCACATATCCTACAACCTTATCCTACAACCCTCCACCTAACCGACAACCCTCCACCTGACAACACTCCACCTATGCCACAACCTTATCCTACAACCCTCCACCTAACCGACAACCCTCCACCTGACAACACTCCACCTATGCCACAACCTCTTATCCTACAAACCTTCACCTATCCTACAACCTTATCCTAATCCCCCCCCCCCATCTATTCTACAACCCCCCCCCCCCCCCCAACCTATCCTCTATTTCCCTCTAGTGAAAGGACCACTTTATTTCCAGGCAGAGGAATGTAAATACAAGAGAGCAGTAGAATGGGCTAAAGACCTCTTATACAATGTTTCCTTTACAGCGGATAGAGTTAAGATCATAGCCCAGAAGAGGCTCAGCCTCACTGCCACAGCCAAGAGGAGTGGCACAAAGGTCATGAGGACACTCATGAGAGAGCTCTGCTTTTTACCTGGTGAGGATTGTTGACTTGTTTGTTGACTGACATTAATATTTTATCAAATAGTGTACTACATTTTCAATAGATGAAAATTGTCTGTTTTTTTTATAACTACTTTGTTACCCAATTGATCGTATTTTTTAGCTCTATTGTATTTCTTTCTACCTTTTTACTTGGTAATTATATTATTCCTCTTACTTTTAACCAAGGGAAATAAATTGTTTCCTACCATTTTATATTCCATTTTTCATTCCTTTTTTTTTATCTAGCAATAAAAAATAATTTTATCCTTTTTACTTAGTAATGCTAATTTTTTTTTTTCATTTTTATTATACTTAGTAATAATACTTGTCTTAATTGAATCTGTTTTTGATTGCTTTTTACAAGCTTTCAGTATACTTGATTCCTCATTATTGTGTTTTAATCATGATCAGCATACAGCTGAAAAATTGAATTATCATTTTAGTAATTCCAAGTTGTTTTTTTTTTCAATAATTCACTAATATTTGTATTATTATTTAGTTAAAACACAACAGTTCTTCATGGACTTTTATTAATACACACTTTTTAAATCACGTAACTTAAAATAGTCAATGCAGTCAGACTATTGACACTAAGCTAGTATTGACATCATTTAATCATCTTGTCTTTCAGAGAGTAATTTGCGTGTTATTTCAATGTTACGGCAAGCTAATTTTTTGGCTTCAATTATTAAACAGCTGGGCAAGGATCCAACACCAGTAAGTGAAGCTCTTCGCTTTGAAAGATTATATTAGTTATATAATTCACAGGAAGTACCTAAAATGTTATCTGGGTAACTCTTCTTTTTTTTAAATATTAAATTTGTTTTGTTGATCCAAAATGGGATGGCATGGTCAAATGGGCTTCAGGTCAATAACCCCCCCCCCCCCCTCCCCCCCATCCACCAAGATAGAATCCTGATTCTAACTCCAACTCTATGCCTATATATTACCTTAATCCTAACCTTAAGACAAAGACGAAAAACCTAAGAATTCACCTCACCCTAAAATTAACCCAAAACCAAACCCAACTCTAGACATTGATTTAAGCCTAACCCTGATCCTAACCCTAACCCTAGCGCTAACCCTAGACCTGTTCCCAGTCAAATGATAGATCTAACGTTTGCTAACTGCAAAGTGTTTAGGTCAGATTCTGGGCTCGAGTCTTTAGGCTCATGTTAGGGAAACAAAAGGAGTATGAGCTCTTTTTCATCTGCCCCATGTGTCTTGGGCACAAACAGGAAAAGATGATGATTAACTCAAAGGATCTAGTTAATAGAAAGTCACCCTTCTCGGTTTTTCTAAAAGATTTTGTTCGTTGTCCTTTTTTGTTGTTGTGTTGGTGTTGAGACTTTGGGCATGGGTTGCTATTTTTACAGGTAATAATGGTATGGAGAGCTGTGCTTGCATGCTTACTTCTCTGTACAGATTGCTTGAACAGTGACATAATAACTGTATGTTCATCCAGATTAAGAATATTAGTCTTCATTCACACATATAATAAAATGTCACGTCAACTGTTCAACTTGCATATACACACACAAAACAAGCTCGTTTTTTTTATATCAACAATTTATTTGACATTTCCCCTGTTGTTGTAGATCCTAGAAAACTTAGTGGAGATCCAGAAGATTCTGACCAGGCCTGAGAACGTACAAGTCCACCTTGCCTGTAATGTTAAGAGACTGCATCAGACAGAGCCGCCCATAAAGCCATGGCTAAATTTTCTACCTGTGAATGAAATCCAGAGACCAATAAGGTAAGTACCAGCTATTTTGTAGGAACCACTTTCAGACCTGGCAGTCCACATGTGTGCTTTTCAAAATTTGATGACTGGCTAATATGATTTGTACACTAAAATTAGTAAAAGATTGACTGATTAATTCAGATGGCACATGTAGAAGTAACTATGATTGACCAGTGCTTACTATGGCATCAGTTTCCCTTGACCACTGCTTACATTGAGGCTTCTTTTATTTCTCACAGCTTACTGACCACAGCTTACATTGACCACAGTCTCTAGTGACCACAGCTTACATTGATCAGTCTCTAGTGACCTCTGCACATTGACCACAGGTTACACTGACCACAGCTTACACTGACCACGGCTTACACTGACCGCATCTTACACTGACCACATCTTACACTGACCGCATCTTACACTGACCACCACTTACACTGACCACAGCTTACACTGACCACAGCTTACACTGACCACAGCTTACACTGACCACAGCTTACACTGTAAACACATCAGCTTAGACTGATCACTTACACTGACAACAGCTTACATTGACAAAAGCTTACACTGACCACAGCTTACACTGTAAACAACTTACATTGACCACAGCTTACATTGTAAACACAACAGCTTACACTGACCACAGCTTACACTGTAAACAACTTACATTGACCACAGCTTACACTGTAAACAACTTACATTGACCACAGCTTACACTGTAAACAACTTACATTGACCACAGCTTACACTGTAAACAACTTACATTGACCACAGCTTACACTGTAAACAACTTACATTGACCACAGCTTACACTGTAAACAACTTACATTGACCACAGCTTACACTGTAAACAACTTACATTGACCACAGCTTACACTGTAAACAACTTACATTGACCACTGCCCTCATGTCCCCAGCACCAGCATCATGACATCCTCCCAGCTGTCCATCCCCCTCTCTGACGTCAGCAGCTGTCACTGACCACCACTTACAATGATAACAACTGCCCTCATATGTCCCCAGCACCAGCATCATGACATCCTCCCAGCTGTCCATCCCCCTCTCTGACGTCAGCAGCTGTCACTGACCACCACTTACAATGATAACAACTGCCCTCATATGTCCCCAGCACCAGCATCATGACATCCTCCCAGCTGTCCATCCCCCTCTCTGACGTCAGCAGCTGTCACTGACCACCACTTACAATGATAACAACTGCCCTCATATGTCCCCAGCACCAGCATCATGACATCCTCCCAGCTGTCCATCCCCCTCTCTGACGTCAGCAGCTGTCACTGCATCATTGGGATGAAGGAGCTGGAGTCCTCCTACATGATCCAGGCTGTCCCTTGCCTGACAGACTGGCAACATGAGGACTACCCGCCCCTCATGGTGCTGCTGCAGTACCTCACGCAGTGTGAGGGTCCAATGTGGCGCAGGCTCCGGGGTCTGGGGCTTTGTTACAATTACAGGTAGGTCGTTACATAGTGACTGTTACAATTACAGGTAGGTTGTTACATAGTGACTGTTACAATTACAGGTAGGTTGTTACATAGTGACTGTTACAATTACAGGTAGGTTGTTACATAGTGACTGTTACAATTACAGGTAGGTTGTTACATAGTAACTGTTACAATTGCAGGTAGGCTGTTATATAGTAACTGTTACAATTACAGGTAGGTCGTTACATAGTAACTGTTACAATTACAGATAGGTCATTACATAGTAACTTACAATTACAGGTAGGTTGTTACATAGTAACTGTTACAATTACAGGTAGGTTTTTACATAGTAAATGTTACAATGGCAGGTAGGTCATTACATAGTCACTGTTACAATTACAGATAGGTCATTATATAGTAACTGTTACAATTATAGGTAGGTAGTTATGGATCTAGGACATTACCCCCCATCAAATTAGCTCCCCCCCCAGTAATTACCACCTGTGTAATTGCCCCCCCCCCCCCCCCCCCCCAATCCTCTCTCCCCAACCACAATCCTATAGTAACCCTAACCCCAAAATCAATCCTAACCCCAACTCTAAACCTACATCTGACCCTGACCTTCACTTGTTGCAAGTTTTCTTTTACTAGGCGTGTATAGTATTCATGTCGCAAGTGTGAATGTGGTGATAGGAGCTAGAACAATATTTATTAATTTATTATTTTAATTTTAAGTATGTTAATTGATCTTAATCAATAATTAGTTTAATTGTACTATTCTGTTTTAAAGTAATATATATATATATATATATATATATATATATATATATATATATAAATCTTTAAATAAATTTCCTCTAGCATGTATGTGGATATAGAATGTGGATTACTGTTTTTTCTACTGACTAAAGCAACATATATCCAAGACCCATACAAGGAGGCAAAAGCCATTGTGGTATGCTTACTCACTTATTTTAATTCAACATTTTTTTTAGAATCATGTTTTAACTATCACTTCTTTTACATTCTATTATGAAAAAATTCTATACAAAATTTTTTTCTAATAATAGTAAATTTAAAATTATTTTGTTGAAATTTTTGATTTAAGAAAGTTAGCTTTTTTTTAAATTTAAAAATACTTTGAGAATTTATGATTAGTGATGCTTTGTAATAATAGAAATATTTTAAAAATAAATGTAGACTTCAGCCATAACTAATACTTACCAAATATGAATTTAAAATCTTTTTTTAACATGAAGTAGAACATGATTGTATGATGACAAAGTATTACTGATGTTATGAAGTACTTTCTCATGTTATTTGTTCCTTGCCACAGCACGAGTTTTTAACTGGCCAGCAGAACTTCACCCAGAGGGAGCTGGAGGCAGCACAGTCCAGCCTGATATTTGAACTGGTGGAGGAGCAGAAAACTGTTCTCAAAAGTTCTGAACAGTCCCTCCTCACTTACTTCCAGAATGTTCCACACTCCTTTAACAAGTAAGTCTTCTCTTCTTAATCCAAAGACACATGGGGCAGATGAAGTAAAGTTAATCTGATTCATTGACCTTAGTATATGAAGAGAAAGTGGTGCGGTCAGCACTATGCCCAGCCGCCTTTGTTTCCCTAATGTGTGGACTCAGGGACGTTCCACTAATTTGAACCCGGATTTGAACTCCACTCTTGGGTTAGCAGTCTAGCTCTCTATTGCTAGGCCACTCCGTCCCTTAACAAGTAAGTGAAAGCTTGTTATCATCTTTTCCCTTGCCCTAGGCTGCCACAGAAGCTCATTACTTTTGCCAGTCTCTGGCAATTGTCTTGGCAGTCCACAAGATAGTACTGGTTTTTGTCAGTTGTTTTTCTGCTGTGTGCCTCCATTTCTCATTTAGCCTTCCCTGTTTGTTTTTTTCCTTGAGGCGTCCAGTTTAGTGTCACTCAGTGTAAGTTGTTTCATGTTAAACTTCATTGGTTGGTTGTGAAAAAAATGTATTCTAAAAAAAAATAAACTGAGATGACAAGGAAAAAAAAGTTTTCAGGAAGGGAGAAAATGATAGACTTGATTAGATGTTGAAATAACAGTTTATGTTTATAAAATGGTTTCTTTCTCAACACTGTATATTTATAATTTATTAAATAAAAAGAAATAGTTAAATTTTCATAGGGACATATTGAAATGTGTGTTTACAGTTATTGTTTAATTTTTATAGGGACATGCTGAAATGAGTGTCTACAGTAATTGTTTAATTTTTATAGGTCATGTTGAAATGTGTGTCTTCAGTAATTGTTTAATTTTTATAGGATCATGTTGAAATATGTGTCAACAGTAACTAATTTTCATAGTGTCATATTTAAATGTGTGTCTCAAGTGATTGTTTCATTTTTATAGGGACATGTTGAAACTTGTCTCCAAAGTGACGCTAGAAGACTTACAGAGAGTGGGAGAGAGCTATGTGCTCCCCCTCTTTGATACAGCCAAAACCAGATGTGTCATGTGTGTTAGTCCACCCAAGGTCAAGCTGACACAGGAAGCCTTTTTGGAGTAAGCTGCTTAAAATTTTATTCTTTTCAACTGTGCATTTATAATGTTAATCTCTTCAAACCACTATTTAGAATTCTATTCTCTTTTCAATTGTCTGTTTAGAATTTTATTGTCTTTCCAACAGTCTATTTAAAATTGTTTTCTCTTTTCAAATTTCTATGTATAATTTTATTCTTTTCAAAGCTCTGTTTAGAATTTATTCTTTTCAACTGTCTAGTTATAATTTTATTCTCTTTTAATCTGTTTATTTAGAGTTTGATCTGGCAGTCCAACTCTTGTAGTTCTCTATTCTCCCAACCCCACATTTTGTTTTGCCATGCACACACATTTATTTCCTATTTTATTGCTCTATTTTGGTTTGCAACAAATCATAAATGACATGAAGAAAAATAGTTGAGCAACTTTGAATAAAGTTATAGAAAATGTTAGAAATAAATGTACCTGTAGCTTAAATATTTTCTATTTTGTTTGGCATCTAGAGGCAGGGAATTAAATGGCCTGCACTAGCTGGATAATTGGTAGCCATTCAGTCCAATTTAGGTTATAAATATTCACACCTAGATTTAAACAGTCCACATTTAGCATTCTAAGCAATTATCATATTCTTCTAAATCTAATTAAACATAAAATTTTATTTAAACTTCTGCCTAAAAATTATATGCTATGTCTGTGTCTACCTATCTTAGCTGACATGACTCCTCCCACCTGCACTATCCCCATTTCTAAACTGAGTTTATTTACAATACATATATAATAATAAATTCCTGTATTACAGAAAACATGGCATGCAGCTGAAGGAAGTGCAATTGGAGGATAAAGATCTGACCACCCTTTGACCAGTTGATCACCAATAATGGATAGGATTTAGGGAACATCTGTTTTTCTTTTGTTTCTTTCTTTTTTTTTTATTAAACAAGTGCCTCTAAAATGGTAAAATGTTTACTTTTATGCAAACATGTCTTTAAAACTGTTCGCTATAGAATCTAATGAAATTATGTTTTATATTGAAATTTTTTATTTCATACTCTATTTAAATTTTTAAAGTAAAAGCTTTATAATCATTCGATTTTGCACTAGCTTTAGCTAAATGTGTTTTTTTTTAAAATGTTGGCACAACAATAATTTAAGATCAGAAGTCTTGTTAAACATATAGAAAAACAAATTTAATTACAGTTTAGTGTTTTATGCTACAACTGTTCAACATTCTAGACTACTCTTATATGTAGTTAAACAAAAATTAGTCAAAATGATGTGTATATGTGAGAATTTACTGATATTTTAGTGAAATACTTCCTCCACGTTGTACAGTGATTCAATATGATCTGTAAATATACAAGCACATTTAACATTCTACAAATTTACGGAGTGAATGTTGAGTGACAGGTAGAACCTCTGGGAAAATACAAAAATAAAATGCTTTAATGAAATACCGCATTGATTTTGTGTTGTTTTTTTTTTTTAAATTTTTATACCAACTTGTATGTGGGTGAATGCGGGATTGTGTGGTTCTTTTACATTTTTTAAACATTTTTTGTAATACTAAAAGTGTATGTGGGACTGAGGGGTCGAATGGTAGAAATACACCTGCTAACCCAAAAGTCTTGAGAGTTCAAAGCCAAGCTCAACTTGTTAAGTTTTAATGTTTCTTCATGCTTTATAATAAACAAACCAGCAGAAAAGCAGCTCAAAGTTTCCTAATTTTTATTGATTATAGATGAGTTACAAGGGCAGTGTGAGATCAACACTTATACAACTAAACAAATGAGAGCTGTTTGGACTAACATTCACTCCACATTTTAAGTTTCTACAACTAAAGCAGACATTATTTACTTAAAAAATCATCACTTTTTCCCTAACTACTAGAAATCTAACATTTCTGTTCTACAGATCAACAAAAAAAAAATTTAAAATTCATCCTTAGATATCTCGCATACACAACCTGCTTATAAGCAGGTGAACACTTGGATATAAAAAGATGCTTGAAAGAACAAAAAAAAAGAAACAGTGCTAATAGAAGTACTAATTAGCATGAAGGGAAACAACTAGATAGAACATAAAACACATTTGCAAATATTTTTTACTGTAAATAAAAAAAAAAAATCTTTGAGCCTAGAAAAGATGTAACTGATACATGGTGACATTTTATTTATGATTGATTGGTTTTAGAGATTTCCCTATTCTAAAATCTCAATTTTTAACAAACCAAAGTCTTCATGTTCCAAAATTGCATTACAAATCCAGTATTTTTTTTAAGATGAACTTTTTCAGGTTTACCATGAATATTTTCAAAATGGAGATAACTCTAAAAACAACAAGCATGTATAATTTGTCTGGACGGATTATCTGTATCACATGACTCTTCAAATAAAGTATAAAAAAATATAGATGCCAGGAAAAAAAAAAAGCTCTTTGTGAAAGAGCTTCGTGTTAACATGACAATCATCTCCTGTGTACAATGCATTAACATAATTTATGTTAGTACAGAAAATGTTCTCAAAAGAAAGCAACAACAACAGCTTATTTTGAGAGAGAAAATTTTTAAAAGGTTTGATTCAAAAATTTGAAAATTTAAAAAAAAAATGTGAGTGATGTATGATTTTAAAAAAATATTTTTTTTTGAAATTGAAAATGTCCAAGGCACTGAAACAAAAAATGATTTTCTTGGCATGATAGCACAATGAACTTTTTAAAGCTCTTCCCAGCTTTCACTAGTGAAAGCAAACTGGACCTGCCTCGAAGCCAAACTTCTGCTGGGGTTCACCATAGTCGGTTGGCTGGAAACTTACTATGGGCAGCCTGTCCAGCTTCTTGGTCGAAATTTCAAAAACTGTGAAGCTGTTTTCACCCAATTGCTAAATTGAAAAAAAAAAAACATTTTTAAAAAAATCATCGATGAACATAAATAAGGAAGAAAAAAAACAAGAATTTAATAAACGTTGAATAATGAAAATGGGGTGGCCGAATGATAGGGCATTTGATAGCTAACCCAAAAGTATCAAGTTTGGATCCTGGGCTAGAGTCAGTAGGATGTCCCTCAGCCCACCCATCTATGATGGGTACCTGACTAAAATTAGAATGCTGGGTATAGTACTGATTACACTATCCCTTCTCAGGCCAAGGCCACTGAAACAGGTGAATTCTACTTCATCTGCCCAATGGATTATAAGTTTTGAAACGGTACTTTATAATGAAACATAAAGAATAATATACAGTTGCTGTAATAATGGAAAAAAAAAATGTTATAATTTATTTTAGAAAAACCGAAGCTGTTTCCCAACTCTGTGCTGTTAAAAATCTCAAGTTATAGTTATTAAAATTTATTTTGTTTTCCTTTGCTTTATATGAATATAAACATATATCTTGTTAAAAAGTTAATAAAACATTAAAGTGTATTTTACATTTTATAGTTTTAACTATTTTTCAAAATATAACACTGCTGTGATTCTATTTAGTGATGTTCAAAACAAATATAGCGAATCCAAATTTTCATGTAACCAAAAACAACAAAACAATACCTTGCAGCCATCATCTATGATTTGCTTGGCATCGAATTTTGCTGTGTTAAATTCATAATCATTATCACCAAGTAGAGAGATGGCACTGCTTAAGTCTCCAGTTTTAGAGTTGAACCACGCAGCTGATCCTGAACAGTAGTACGTGAACCTTTGGGTGGCTCTCTCAGACAGCAGACGTAGAAGATTCATTTGAATACTTGAAACATAGCGTATCTAAGGAAAATAAACAGAAGTCGAAATAGTAAATTTGGTTTTAAAATTTAAAGAGTTCATTATTTTATTATCTTTGAATTGTTGAACTATTTTCATTTATTTTATATATGTGAAATTTTCAATGAATGACCTAGTATTAATGTTAAATGTTATTAATCTGGATATGTATTTTTATGTTTATTGTGTTTTATCAGAATGCAGTTTTTAAACAAAATTTTTAACCAAAACACATCTTGATATTAAGTTTTAAATGTTAAAACACTTTGATTTATATTATACTACTACTGTTATGACATTTGTCTGAAAATATTAAAAAAATCTGGCAAATGTTACTGCAGAACTTACAGGGAAGCCGCCTGTCATGTCTTTAAAGAACTGAGCCTTCTTGGTCTTGTCATAAAATCGCTCTGCCACCTAGAGATTTAAAAATATATTGATTTGAAAATATAAAAAAAAAAAAAACTGTGTTTCTGACAATGCAAATTTAAATGTAGGTTACATACTGCTAAATCAAAAAGTTTTTCCATTATTTTCTAAGATTTTAACAAATGTAGTTTTAAAAATTTAGATAAATTACAATCTGCATATATAAAAAGATTCTTAAAAGTTAATAAAAAGTAAATGATAAGGATTGATTCTTAAAGCTTACTTTATCTGAAGTTCGAGCGTTTCTAAATGTAAATGACAATATGAATTATGCTATGTCGATCAGAAAAGTAAAATAATTCTCACAGATTTTGTCTTCTGGGTTGGGTAAACACAGGTCTCAGGTACATCTGTCATGTTACACCAGACCTGAATGGCGTCATCAATGGAGCCCAAGTTGGGATCAACCCAGTACCAACCTGGCAGAGAAACATGGCCAGGTAATTTTTTTAATGTATAATAGATATGAAAGTTTTCTACCCGCTTAAACATACAGCCTTGGACAAGCACTTTTAAATTAATTAACAGATCTAGATATAAAGTAGCAATATAAAATTACTTCACATAGAACAACAGTTTTATAAATTTAACACCAGCCAGCTTTTTCAAACTACTTAACACATAAAATTAATAGATTCATGTTTTTATAATACTTAGCAGATACAATAATACAATATCAATTAGCTGTATCAAATTAATTTAGACCTACATAAAAAAATCACAGACTAACTCATCCAAAGCTAGATCACACAATAAAACAGAAACCATCAATATAGCCAAGCCTACTGACCATTTTCACTTGCTTAAAACTATTTATATAGGTTGGTCTACTGACCGGTTTTGAATAAAGGATGTCCCAGTTTGATTTCTCTGCATGATAGAGCAGGGTTCTCTCTCTTGCCTTCTGGGTACTTGAAGCTTTCAATATCTTTCTTCAGGATATCAATGTGGTTGAGCATGACGCGAGATACCTCTTGAATAACTTCTCCAACCTGTTTGATAAAAATAAAATAAAATTAATTTAATAAATAAATAATAAATAATTTTATAATAATTTAATATTTTTAAATAAGTCAAGAGATAAAAATAAAACCAGATAAAAAATATAGGCCAATAAATATTTTTAATTCAATGTTTAAATGGTGAAAGGAAAAATGCACAATGGTAAACTGGCATTTTCGTTTTTGGAAATTGAGTATTTATAGACATATCACAAAGAATAACCACATGTACATTGTAGCCTTATAAAACATTTTACCATTATACATGAATGAATTTAAGTGTTTAAGGATAATTAGTTTGTATTTGCAAATATTTTAGTTTGCATAGTTTTCAGATTGTGCATTTTTCTGGGAACCTGTTTAAACAAGAGTGTCTGATCTACCTCTTAGAAACAAATTACATTTTCTTTTTACAAACTGATGAGGATAAAAAATGACCTGGATTGCAGCCCCAGTCTCCTGCTTGGAAATCAGTTTGGCTCTCACACTGTCAAGGTCGTCATCAATGTCAGTTGGCTCAGCTGACCTCTTTCTCCTCTTCCTGCGCTTTCTCTTTCTCCTCTCAGATTCAGCCTCGTCCCCTTGTGGCCTGCCAAAACTGCTGGCCAGATTGGTCAAGAACTCTCCGGGTGGTCCTGGTGGGCCTGACTGACCCTGGAGGAATTAATTTGAAATAAAAGTACATTGCTTTTATTCCATTTTTTGCATAGTGTCTAATGGTGAATTAGTACTACTGTATTTTTAACTTGAAGCACTAAACCCTATTGGCGGGTATTTGAGCTATTTTTTTTAAAATTAAATTTGTTTAGGTAAGAAATTTTTATTGAATTTAAGTTTTGAAATTAAAAAACAAGTTAACAGGATTAGAGTTCTTGCATCGCTTTTTTATTTTTTTTTTTATTTTATTGAAACAAGCACAGATTTTGTTTGTAATTGAAAAAGTGGTGAACACACATTGCAGATGAAATATTATCGGTAAAGACTTATAACTGAGTTTGAAGTTAAAAAACAATTAACTGGATGGAAGTTTTTCATAGAGAATTTTGGTCAAGTAAACTCAAAACATTTGGTTTGTAAATCAAATGTATTTAAAACACAACACAGTGCTAAAGACTGCTGCTGTGGAACTTGGCCACTTTGAATGAAAGTTGTAAAAGTGAAAGTCATCTGGTAACATTTGTATCATTAAAAAATGTTACTTTCAGAATGAGCAGGAGATTTTAGAAATTCTGTACTTACAACAGGTCCCATTTCTCCCTTTGGTCCTGTGGTACCCTAAAATACATAAAAAATGTAAAATTTTAGTTTTCTTCAAATAACAAAAGAAATATTTAATTTGGTACTAAATGGTAAAATTTACTTTCATTAACATTATAATAAAATTTCCTAATAAAATAAAAATAACATATATATTGAAATAATCTATTTTTATATATAAAATTTACTTACACTTTCACCTTTAGGCCCTTGTGGACCTTCAGGTCCCTGTGGAAATATAAATATTGAATAAAGTAACGCTTGTTGTTGTTTTGTATAGAAATATAGTATTAAAAAATATATATCTTTCTGTTAATGACAAAATCCTTAACAATAAATGTACATATAAACATGCCTCTTAAATTTATACATATATTTATAAGGTTAGAAATGTAGTTTTTTTTTTAATTTAGTTAATCCTTAATTACCATTGGTCCTGGTGGTCCATCCGCACCTGGTGGGCCTGGTGGGCCATTGTTTCCCTAAAATAAGAAATAAGACAAGTAAGTCACAGTAAAAAATCTTGTACAAATTTAAAGTGTTAAGTAGCACCATACCTTTTTAAAAATAATCTGTTATTATTCTTAGACTCAGTATTACCTTTTCTTTTCTCAAAAAAAAAAACAAAAAAACAACAACAAAAAACAACTCACAATGGGACCAATATCTCCTTTAAGTCCCTCTGGTCCTCTAGGACCTGGTTCTCCTTTAGGACCTGGTTCACCTATTTGACCAATAGGACCTTGATCTCCTCTATTGCCCTAAAATATTTTTCAAAATGTGCACTTGTTTAGAAAAATGTGAAGGCTTTGGCAGTGTGTAATAAACTTATCAGCCTACTCTCCAACCAATTTAGTTTCAAAACAAAAAAATTGAAAATTTGATAAAAGTAGTTTTTAATATCATCAGTGATGATTCTATGGATATTTTAAATTAGGTATTGCTTGAGATTTAAAACTTCTCTATTGTTTAAAATTGCTCAATATAATTCACGACTATATCAATTTTTCTTACATTTCGTACTAAATTCAATTAATATTTTAAAAATTGGTAGAATAGAGAAATGTTCTAACAAGAAAATATACATTAATAATTTATTTATAATTGGCTACTTTGCAAAACCAATGCTCCTTTGTTAAGTCATATCACAATCTGCTTTCAAAATGTAGGCTGTAGGCTTATTATAAAAATAACCAAATCAAAATAAAAACAAAAAAAATTATTAACTAACCTTAACACCCTTAATTCCTTGGCTGCCTTTATTGCCCAATGGTCCTTGAGGTCCCTAAAATATTTACATACATTACAGTATTATAACATTTTCTTCTAAAAACAACTATAACATTTACACCATTAAGATGTTATTGATTTAATAAGTGTCACTCATTAGTTAAAAAGTCCATTGTTTAGAATATCTATCTAACACCACACTCATTGTCAGAGACGCAAAACCTGAGGTATAAACCCAGATCAGATATAAAAAGCATCATGTTGATTATATATCTGATTAATTAAGGTAATAAATTAATTACTGTAGGGCCCTGGTTGCCTGGTGTTCCTGATGGACCTGGTACTCCAGTCTCACCCTGTCAATACATTAAATTATATTTAGTAACATCAAATGGATGAATCTAATTTAGTAATATAAAAATATATAAAACAAAATTATATATATATATATATATATATATATATATATATATATATATATATATATATATATATATATATATATATATATATATATATATATATATATATATATACACATACATACATATATATATATATATATATATACATATATATATATATATATATATATACATACATATATATATCACTATAAAATATTGTATACAGGTAATATCAATAAATATATTACCACTGGTCCTGGCTGGCCTGGAGGTCCCTGTGGCCCTTGTTGGCCAGGTACACCCTAAAATTAATTGGTAAATATTTAATAGAACAAGTTATGCAGATTACAAAAAAAAATGAATACATAAAAAGGTATCATTAAGCATTTTTGTAGTATGGGCTTTTTTCAATACAGTTTGTGAAATAGTGTTGTTATTTTAATTTTTTACTCCGATCAAAATTATACTGATTCCGGCCTGCATAAAATAGAAGAAAACAAAAATACATTTTCAGGGGAGACAACACTTACTGGTGCTCCGGGTTGTCCTCTCTCTCCTCTGTTGCCTGTAAGACCTCTCTCACCTTTGTTACCTGGTGACCCACTGGAGCCTGGTAAACCAGGTGGGCCCATTTCACCCTGTCAATTATTTAGAATATATGTTAAGTTTAGTAAAGTTCCCTATTTGGAACATGGGTCTAATGGGTCAGAAAAAAATGCAGGGTAAACAATTGGCCAATGTTTAACCTATGCCACTGACACAAGCTGAACTTAAGAAATAGGACTTAGAAAATCTACATACTAGCTAACACATAACCAAAATATTTTGAACATGAATAGCTTGAATTTCTTTACATGTATATATAACAGCATTAAATGTAGGCCTTCAGAAAATATTATGTAACACATTAGGTCTCTGTACAATACAACAAAGTTTGCACATGCAGGTTAACAATTACCTGTTGTCCTGTGGTACCTGGCAAGCCTGGCTCACCTGGTGGCCCAACTGGTCCCTGTAATTACACATTAATTAATCTTACTTCATGACACATACTTGTATCAATGATTTAATTATTGTCATTTTTCTTCATTACTAAAATAAATGACTATTATAGTAATATTTTTATCTGATTTATTTATAGCCTACTTTAAAACACATGTGAAAGTTAAGAAAAAAATAAAATGTGAAAGTTTAATTAACATTGCAAAAATATCATTTAAAGAGATATTAAATCTGCAGATGGGCAAAAGTTAAAAATAAATAAATGAGTAGCCAGATAAATTGGTGGACTCACCTCAGCGCCAGGTACACCAGGTTCTCCATCTTTGCCAGGTGGTCCATCATCTCCCTAGTTACACAGTAAACAAAGTTCAGATTTTTTAAAAAATGTAGGTATACATTATTTTTGGAAAAGTATTGGCAGTACAGAAAAAATTTAACTCAATGACTATATTAAACAATCTTACATGATATATTTTGCCATAATAACATAGATAGTATGAAAAAGTCTTTAATGTCAATGTTAATAAATTATTAAAATAGGACTCATATTAATTTAATTTGTTAAACTAAGCAAGTGTGATATCACACTTCAGCAATTTAAAAAGTAAGTTTCATAAATAAATTTTTAGCTGGTTTTTTTTTTTATTTTAAAAATGTATTTTTGTAAATTATAAAATTCTAACATAAAATTTCAGAAAAAAATATCTGTTTAAAAAAAGGTTGAAATTCTAGGTTGTAGGTGATGTAGGATGAATTAGGATGAATGTAACATCAGTTTAGGGGTTCTGAATTTTCGTGCAGAAGTGTTGTAAGACCCCTAGTCTGTTTGTATTTATAGAGATACATTTCCCATCAACCCACAAACTCTCATAGATTTCTTTAACCATGGCTGACCTTTTGACCACTCTCTCCAGTCTCTCCAGCTGGTCCAGGAGGTCCCATTATGCCCTGTGAAAGTTTTTAAGAATTTAAGAAAAAAATATGAAACAATTTAAACATTTTATTTAATTACATCAACTTACCTTAGTCCTAGATTAATAGATTTATACTATAAATATTTTGAAAACTTATTTCCAACTAAAACACTTAGCATATTATTGTTACATTACTTAAATAGACACAGTTATTGGAGTTAATCTTAGTAACTTATTTACAGAGAGCTCAGACGACACATCCTTTCTCTGACTCTACCTTTCCTTAACTAACTCAATGTAAACATCATGGAAGATACAAGGGACGTAACCATGATATGCATAATATAAGGGACGTAAGGATAACTATCAAGACATAACGTAATTTGTAAAGTAATATATTTCCTAAACCGGGGCAATGTCAGTTATATGCTGCTTAATAAACACACAAGTTATGGTCCTTTACAGATGGGGTTTTCACGGAGGCCAGTGCAGGGCCTGGCTGGGACAGCTAGTATTAAATAAAGCTTAACAACAGAAGACTGAGAACGATTTAATCTTAAAATTGTCAACTTTTATAAATACCTCAACCAAGTTTATAGGCATATTTTGGTAATAAATATAGTCTTTCATACAAATTTTACAAATTTACTAAAAATGTAATTTACTAATGATAAAAGTGATATAACATCTATAATAAATTACCATTTCTCCCTTTTCTCCGTCCTCTCCCCTCTCTCCCCTAGGGCCAGGATCACCTGCAAGTCCAGGTCGTCCTTCATCACCTTTGGGTCCCTGTACACCTGGTCCACCCTGAAAGTATCGCATTCCACACTTTTAATGTTGAAATGGTTATAAGACTAAAAATATTTTAAAAACTGCTAAACTGTTGTAATGAATAACTGTGAAAAGGGATGGCATGGTCTAGTGGTAGAGAGCTAGATTGCTAACCCAAGAGTCTCGAGTTTGAATCCAGGTTCAAATAAGTGGAACGTCCCTGAGTTCCAACTCTGATGGGTACCTAACCCACATTATGCAAACAAAGACAGCTGGACATAGTGCTGACGACGCTATCACTTCATGTGCCGAGGTCTCTAAAGCAGATGAACTCTACTTCACCTCCCCCAAAGTGTCTTGGGCACGAACGGGAAATGATGATGATGAAACTTTGAAAACGACTTAAAATAAGAAGTGTTTCAGCCACAGGTCTTCTTAAGAGCAATCAACATATTTATTTTTAACTTTACTTAATGTACGCATATTCAAGAACTTTATAGCTGTGGTAAAAAAATCTTATATTGTAAGGACAACTACAAATAGGTAGTGTTTCATTTACAGGTCTTCTTCAGAACTATTGACATTTTTATTTTAAAATTTTATTTTATTATAGATATTAAAAATTATATTAATGTTAGAACTAATTCATATTGTGGGGGAAAACTAAAAATACGTAGCATTTTAACCATAGTTCTTCTTCAGAATAATTGAAATATTTATTTTAAACTTGACTCACTGGAGGGCCATCAGTTCCTGGTGTTCCTGGTGGGCCGGGTGGGCCGTAATCTCCCTTAGGACCTAGTGCACCATCAGCACCTAGGTTTCCTGGCTCACCGGGAGATCCCTAAGGAAGAATTTAAATTTTACAAATAAACTTTTGATGTTTATTTAAGAATTGAATTACACAAACTTGAAACGGAATAAAAAGCTAAATATGTGATCACAGTGGAAATAACTTAAATGTTGATATATGAATAGAATAATATAAACTTGAAATAGAATTGTAAGCTAAGTAAGTGATCACAATGAAAAATTTTAATTTTACAAATAAATATTGGTTGTTTTATAAGAATAGAAAAACACAAACTTGAAATGGAATAAAAAGCTAAATATTGGATCACAATGAAAATTTAAATTTTAGAAATAAATGTTGATGTATAAATAGAGTAATACAAACTTGAATTAAAATTGTAAGCTAAGTAAGTGATCACAATGAAAATTTTAAATTTTACAAATAAATATTTGTTGTTATATAAGAATAGGAAAACGCAAACTTGAAATGGAACAAAAAAACAAATATTGGATCACAAATTTTAAAAGAAATGAAGATAAATAACAAATAACAAATACAAAATAGAAAGAAAGAAAAAAACTAAATAAAATTAAAATAACCTATTGAGCAATATACGAATAAAATTTAAATAGTTAGACCAATAAATTTTGTAATCTTTATAATTAAAAAACGACAGTAAAGTAATGAACATTACAGATAAATTTACACACACAATCTGTAGGTTTCAATTAAAATAATACAATAACAACATATTCTACACATATCCTTGCACTTACAGAACTTCCTGGAATGCCAGGGCTGCCCATAGGTCCTGGTGCTCCTGGTGGTCCCTGTAGTAAAGAAATTATTTTAAAGTCAGCTGTTACAATATATAATATATGTGAAATCATTATATTATTACACAATATCTGACTTCCTGTTTAACTAAAATAGTATTTTGCTAGAAAAAGTTTTTTAAAGCAAATAACCATTTTTGCTATTTTAAAAAGTTTATGAAGGAAAATAGTTGCGTTGTTAAATTTTAAGATTTAAATCATTTAATTTGTTTGGAATTGGTAGGTTTAGTTTAGGTTAGCCTGTTATCCAGCTGAAGTATTGCATGCTGACAAAATGTTCCCAGGCAACAATTTTGATTTAAACTCTACATCTCCTTCCAGTGGTAACAATTCTGTCTTGTCTCATCCTCCTATTCACATTTCCAGGTTTTTCTGCCCTCTTATGATTTTGTCCATGTATTCCATCTGACAGCCTGACTTGATGTTCTGTTCACAGGTTGTTTTTTTTTTTTGTGTGTAGTCTAACCATAGCCCTTTTTTGGCAGGATTTCAGCAGATAATTCATTTTTGTTTTGTTGCTGCCATAGTTCTCCATATGTTATGATGTTCAGCAAAAATATCCAAGTATTCTTGTAAGACACATGTGTATAAATACCAGCAAGTTCTGTTCATCTGTTGTGTGACACCATGGCTAAACTCCATCAAGAATAACTGGCTAAAAACCCATAATTTAATCCCAAGAGATAGGTCATTGCAGCCCCTCATATTTTTAGCAGGAACGAATTAATTAAATCATTATTTCTGGTGGAAAAAATAGATCCAATTTTTTAAATACATTTCTTTAAATATTTCTATCATGTCATATAAAAGAAAAAAAAACAAAAAAAAAACCAATAATTTAGTAGTGTTTTAAGACTTTACCCCAGTTATTTGAGTACCTGTTTTCCTGGTTCTCCTGCAGTTCCTTTATCACCTGATGGCCCTGGAATTCCCTGTAATCCCGGCAAGCCCATAGGTCCCAATAATCCACGGGGGCCTTCAGAGCCCTATACAATAAAACAAGAAACCTTTTAAAAGCTTATAAAACAATGTGCCTTTATGACAGAGGGGTAGTGAGGGGGGGACATGGGTACATATGTCCCCGGGCGCCGACCTTAGGGGTGCCAAAATGGGTTGGAAAAACAAATTATAAATAGTTTGAGGGGGGTGCAAATCGAAATTTTGAGGGGGGGTGTAAATTGAAAGTTTGAGGGGGGGGGGGGGGGAGTGCAAATTGAAAATTTGCTCCTGATGGGGGCGCCAAATTGAAAGTTTGTCCCAGGGCTCCGGGAAGGGTCACTATGCCTCTGCTTTACGATACTAACAAAAGAAAATGCTGATAAGCTTTCAGAATTGACATTTATGACATTTAATGATGAAAATTTACCTTCATTCCAGGTATACCTTGTTCACCTCTAGGGCCAGGGTCACCACCAGGTCCCTGAGGAAAATAAAATCAAACATGAATAAACACTTTACCGACCAAATTTAATCTGTGAAGTATGTTATAGCCAGTTACTTGTGGAACTTATACCAACTAGCAAATGTTTATCAGGAATAGTAATTTGGTAAATTATGTATATAACAGGACCAGTAAATGCAACAAGAAGCAAAGACTTTAATTAAGATCAGTAATTCATACAAGGGATAGTAACTCATACCAGGAACAATAACTCATAGTAGGAAAAGAAACTCAAACCAAGAATAGTAACTCATACCAGGAACAGGAACTCATTCCAGGAACAGTAATTCATTCCAGGAACAGTAACTCATTCCAGGAACAGTAACTCATTCCAGGAACAGTAACTCATACGAAGAACAGTAACTTAATATAAATTATTAAATAAATTCTATTCATGATTAAATAAAAACAGAGGGAAAAACACTGGACTATATAAAAAGAATTAAACTTACTGGTGGGCCCTGCGGTCCTTGAATTCCTACTGGACCCTGTGGTCCTGGTGGTCCCTAAATTACAAGTTAATTACAATCAATTATTACAATGCAGGTATATTGACTATATTTGAAAACATTCTTTCCGGCAAAAAAACAGAAGAATTTTTTATGAAAATATATCTACTATCTGATAAACGAATAACAGATCAATAATTAAAATGAATAAAATATTAATAAAAACACTTAAGTTGAATAAAATTTGTTCTTTTTTTAAATAAGTGTATATAAATCTATATATCTATATCTATATATATATATCTATATCTATTTATATATATATATATATATATATATATATATATATATATATATATATATATATATATATATATATATATATATACATGTCAACTACATGTACATGATTATAAAAACTATGTAAATAAAAACACCACATACATCAGCTCCATCTTGTCCTCTTTCTCCCCTTTCACCTGGAGGTCCTTGGTCTCCCTAAAAAAAACAAGACAAAGAATTACATTCTGTTTGGTGTACAATAAACACCCTATGGTACATAAACCTTAGGGTGGTGTTATTTGTGTTATAACCTTAAGTTGTAAGAACTAAAACAGATACCTTGTCTCCGTTCATGCCTGGTGGCCCCACAGGTCCAGAAGGTCCACGGTAACCCTGAAAAAGTTAGCGGTCATGATTTGTAAGGCTCATTAGCATTAATTCTAAACAGGTGAATAGTAAATAATCAATGATAACTTACTGATAATGTTATTTAAATATTTATTAATTTGTATTGCTTTCTACACTGATGAAAATTTTAAAATTCATTTATTTTTCCATTATATAATCTAGATTAGAATTATATATTTATTAATTTTTATTGTTTCTACACTAATGAAATTTTTTTTTTTTTTACACAATATAATCTAGATATTCTATGTAGTTTAGAGAGTATTATTTTGGGGTGAACACATGAGTTATACATATTTGTAAACAACAAAGATATGAGGGTGGAATATGTCTAAGGCTTACCCTTGGTCCAGGTCCTCCCATTGGTCCTGGCTGACCCTGAGGTCCTTCAGGTCCCTGAAATTAATTAAATTCATAAACATATTTTTGCTGTTATAAGAGTTTACTAAGTATTATGTGTAGTTGGTATATCAATAATCTTCTTTTATATATCAGACACATTTCTTTAGGTATATCGTTTTAGCTTCATGATTCAGAATACTCAGCTTCAGGTTAGATAAAACACAATTTACGGAAAATTAAAAACCACTACTAGTCAGATATACTGCTAGTAAAATAAAAATTATTTTTTAAAATTTAAAATAAACAAGTAAAATAAAATTTAACATGTCCTAGTTTATTTGCTTTTCTTTGGTAAGTCTAATACTCATGTTCCAAATTAATTTCTACTAATTTTAATATTAATCCTTTAATTAATTTCCATCTGGAATATTTTTTATTATACTGCAATATTTAAGACAAATAATAGTTTAAATTTGTATTTCCAATCCATACTTACTTGATTTCCTTTCTCTCCTCTTTTGCCCATTTCTCCAGGTAATCCTGGTGGGCCCTGCAGAATAAAATAATTGGAAATATTTTCTAATATGGTGAATCAATTGAAAAATATCAGGATAAAATAATTTTCTAAGTTTCAATAAAATGAGGTGCAGGTGTTGAGTATTAAAATATTGACTTGGAGAGGAAATGAGAGAGAAATGAGTGACTAGCATTAGAGATTAAATGTAAGCCTCTTCTAAATTAAAGTTTAGCAAAGTTTCATGAATTAAAAAAAAAATTACAGAAGCTCCACTTGGTCCAGAAGCACCTGTTGGTCCTTGTGATCCTTTTTCTCCCTAAAAAAACAAACAAACCAATGATAACATCATTTAACAAACATCTATAATGATGTATTATGGTATCCTTATTTAACATTTATTTAAATTTTTAAATAAAGAAATAATAGTTTACTCATTTAGCATTCATTTTTAAATAATGTTATGTTAACAAACAAATCTAACTGATAAAATTGGTAAAATTAATAATATTTAACAAACATTTCTACATGAGTAGGCCCTATATATGATAAAATCAAGTTATCTGAAATAATAGCTAATCTGCTTGACTATTTCAAAATGAAAGGCAATTCAATGCATCAGTCATTAACACATGCAAATCAAATGGAAGGACTATTAATAATGAACTACTGAAAACTAAAATTTGAGCTCTGGATGTTCAAAGTCACTAATTATCTTCGATTTACCTTACAGGCTATATTCAGATTTATATAATGTTACACCTACTTTTACTTCTACATTTGAACATACAAATCATATAATAAGATACAATTTTAAAAAAAATGAAACAATTAATAAGATTGAGAGATTACTTACAGGGGCTCCAACACTACCTTCAGGTCCTTGAATGCCAGGTACACCATCTTTACCCTTAGAGATTTAAAAATAATTTGATGTACACAACTCCATTAATCAAAACTACGATGACGTTAGGTAAATGAATTGTTTTCATTACAAAGCATTAAAAAAACTTGGTTTATGAGGTGTTTGTGTTAAAAATGCATGATTTATAGTGAAGTGTTTCCAATTCATGTTTTAAGAATTCCTTTATGTAAAGCACCAACAGGTTATGAAACTTAGGGTAAAGGCAGTGAAGCCAGCTAATTAATATAGTAGTTTAAAATTGATTGTTTAAGAACATTGTCTAAAGATGATAAAAAATCCTTTTTGAAAATCAATCCTTGGGAACTAAAGAAATAAGTGAGGGTTTCAATTTTAAAGACATTTTAAAATTATTTTGATAAATATTTGTAGGAAATAAAATTTGAACTTCTTATCAAGTTTCAATGGATAGAACCCATATTTTACTTACAGGGGGTCCAGGGTAGCCTCTGTCACCTGGGCTACCAACTGGTCCAAGAGGTCCTGGGGCCCCAATGCCACCTGCGGGTCCAGCAGGTCCCTACGCAATAAAAACAAAACAAAATGTTAAACATATTGTCAGGTACCTTCTGGGTGGAGAAGATAAAACTACTTGACACAATTAAAACAAAATGTTCAAACATAATAGTGGAAAAGTACTATTTCACAAAAATAAAATGCATTTATAAAAAAAAATATTATCATGAAATATTTTAAAAATTTCCTTAAAACTAAACAGATTTTAAATGCATATAAAAAATAGAAACAAAACACCATACACAACAAAACAGAAATAAAATATAAATAAAGTTAACTTACAGGTGGACCAGTTTTTCCTGTAGCACCTGGTACTCCAGTATCACCTGGTGGGCCCTAAAAAATGACAAAATTTATACAATGAAAAAATATTCCAATGTCGTTTAGTAAAATTTAGTCTACAGCAATGAAGAACAGTACAACACTACATTAAAACAATCTCTTAAAAAGGCCATACGTCCGAAAATAGATCTTTCTAAAATATATTGTTGTGTTTATTACTTTGCTATTCATAATTTGATTTAATTCCTATCATGTTTTTATTTATTTTCTTAAATCTTGCTTTTAACAATAATATCTTTGGCTAGCTAGGGTGGATGCGCATTTCATTAGAAAACAATCCACTCACTAGTAATAATCAAGTTTAAAATGCATTTTCTATTTTAATTTAATGTGTATTAATAAGAAAAGGAAGCAATATAAATAAATATAAATATATAAATGATATAAAAATGATTGTTTTCATACTTACAGGATTGCCTGGTGCACCTCTATCTCCAGAAGCACCACTTTCTCCAGGGGGGCCCTGGAATTAAATTACATGTATTGAAATATTATTTCCCTTAATTATTACAAATTAGGGCTTATGTATTGCATGCACAAGTGAAAAATAAACCTATTTATTATAGTTTTTTAACTTAAAACCTGCTAATTTTATAACTTTAATTTAACAACGGTTCTAGTGTTGAAATATTATTGTCATTAGAGTAGCTTAATTTATTTTATGTAATTTACAGACAAATCATAATATTAGTGGCAAAGGGAAATAAGAATCATATACTTACAGAAGGTCCCATAACTCCTACAGGACCTGGCTGTCCAGGGCTACCAGGTATACCCTAAAAGTAAAAAAAAAACATTTTGAAGGACAAGTTTAACACATGGTGAATTATTAAATGCTAAAAAATTATTAGAGTCAATAGGCTACAAATTAAAATTGTTTGAATGTGCAGTAATTACAAAATATTTGAGCAGGACCTACTTAGGATTTCTAGGTATTATTTCTATCCAATTATGAAGGACTAATTACCACAAAAAAGGGGCATATAACTTCATATTTATTTATTGAATTAATGATTTTCATAGAAATGTCCTTTCTTGATCTCTAATGACTTTATTTATAAAAGTTTGTACATAGACTTTGTATTGTTTGTTAGCAACTACTATATAGCAGTCATCCAGTTAAAAACTTTATATCTGTTTCCCATTGGCAATTCGTATTTTTTTTTGACTTCATAAAATATTTGAAAGAAAAGTATTGAAAATAAAATGTTAACAACTGTTTTGAAAATCAGCTTTATTTTTTTTTTAACTTTCCAAGTAGGTCAAATAAATCAGTTTTGAAATACCATCTCAAATACCGAGTCTGGGAACCTGTTTTATAGTTTCAAAGTTCCTACATCTTGTAGTTTTAACAAAAGTTAAAGTTTTTAAATAACTCACAGGTTCACCACGATCACCAGATGGGCCAGGTTGTCCATCATTGCCAGGTACACCCTGCAAGTAAGGTAAAAAAAAAGCTACATAAATTTTAAAAATACTTTACATTAGAAAAGCTATTTTTAAACATTTGATCTGCTATAACAGAACAATCTTAAAAAAAAAATCTCATCATAATTACATTAGGTCCAGGGGGGCCCATTATTCCTGGTGGGCCTGGGGGTCCTTGGATACCCTGCTCTCCAGCAAATCCTGGGGGTCCTTGTGTGCCGGGATCACCTTTACTTCCTGGTGGCCCTGGGATTCCTTGTTTTCCCCTCTCACCTCGCTGACCCTATTAAACAAAATATAAAACAAATTATAACATTGAATTTTTTTTAATATGATCCTAATAGGACAAAATATAACACCAGTTATAAAATTGAATTTTATTTAGTATGGCCAAAATATAAAACGTATAGAACATATACAATTGAATTTTATTTAGTATGACCCTAATAGAACAAAATATAAAACCAGTTATAAGATTGAATTTTTATTTAGTATGACCCTAATAGAACAAAATATAAAACCAGTTATAAGATTGAATTATATTTAGTATGACCCTAATAGAACAAAATATAAAGCCAGTTATAAAATTGAATTTTATTTAGCATACCATGAATAACTACATTTAAAATGGTTGTTAAAAACAGCCATGTGTTTTGATTTAAAAAATTAAAAGTGTTCTACAATATACAGCAGTAACAGCTTATAACAGTAAGAAAGATAACATTGTATTTCAGTTAATAATTTATTAATAGTAACGTAGATATAGAAATATTAAAAAAAACTTACCCTGACACCAGCTTCTCCTTGTTCACCAGCTGGACCAATCAATCCCTAGAAATACAGAAGCAATTTAAATGTATATTTTATTTAACTCTTACATTTAACTACAGGGAAAAGTAACTGTTTAATGAAGAGAGTACATACATCTGACAGATTTATAAAAAGAATTGGCGTTTATATATTATATTGTGAATCCTGAATGAGTACTACTATCCCCAAATAAATTATAATAGCAATAGATTTAAAATACATGAACAGAGTGGTGTATAAATAACTCAATAAACTATAAATAAATCATATGATTTAGAGTTTTCATAAAACTATATGGCCAACATAAAAATTAAATGTTATATTCTTGAAAACTTACATCATCTTTTAATAGAGTTTATAATGTGTATGTGTATGATAAATAACAGTCATAATTGTAAATTTATATTTTTTTTTGTTTTAAAGACTAAGCCACAGTCATTATAACAAGAAGCAAGTTGTTTTAAAGCTTTGATTTTCATGTATGTATTTATAGGCCTACTTATAAAAAAAAAAAAAAAATTTTTAGAAATTTGGTTAACATAATAGAAGTTAGTAGTAAGCTAATGAGTGTATATACTAAAACTGATTTGAAAAAGACTAAATATTGCACATTTTTATTTTTAATAAAAATAAATTTCAATTTTTTTTTGTTTGTAATTTTAAGGCTAGTAACACTGATTATATTCTAAATTCAGGACCCACATTAATGGTGTCAATACAGCTAATACATTTACTTTTTCTAAAATGAGCCCCACAGGTATATTTTAAAACACAGTTATAATTTTACATGGATTAACTTACTGGTTTTCCTCTTAAGCCTCTTCGTCCTCGCCTTCCTAAGCGCCCTTGATCTCCCTAAATTTAAATAAAATATGTATGTGAATTGCTATAAACATCATTAGAAAAATCTAATAAAACATGCTCATGGCAAATTATAAAAAATGTTTCTTAAGATCTTTGTCATTGATATATATATAGCTTTCAGTATAATTTACATTTAAAATACACTTTAAAATTTGTATCATAAGTAAACCAAAGTATTCACCCATCTATCAATAACTATTATTGTTTAGGCTAAAATAAAACTATAACTAGTCTCATTTAGAATATTTATCTCATTAAACATTGACTTAGATACAATTATGGGTAGCTTACCTTTGGTCCTGGTGCTCCAGGATACCCAGGGAACCCAGGTACACCCACACGCCCCTAAAAACAAGACACATATTAGAGTTATCCAAAATAATTTAAGTAATAATTCTGTTGATACATTTCTGATAGTTATTCAGAATATAAAATATTTTACATCAAATGTGTTAATTTTATTTTCAAAAACCAATATTCAAGACATTAAACCTTCCAAATTTTATAATTTCAGGGTCTTGTAATTTGAATGTAAAGAACTAATTTTAAAAATTATATTCATAATCTTTGAATGTAAATGTATTCATTCATTTACGCAACAGTTTTAGTAGTATACAAATCTGAAGGTCTTATATGTTAATGTATTACTGAAATGTTAAAGTTTTTTATAGAACATATAAGTGAACAGATTTGAAGAGCTGATACCTTTTCACCTGCAGGTCCTGCTGAGCCGGCCTCACCTGGTGGACCATATTCACCCTAAAATTAAAAAAAAATCTCCTTACAATTATGGTGCTGGAATAATTAAATGGCTTAAGTAATTAATAGGAGTAACACATTTTTAATTACATCTAACATGGTTACTAAATATTTACATCAGTTAGAATGATAAGATAGAAATTCTCCAAGATTATTTTTATAATATATAAAAAATAAGTAAAATTACCTTTGGTCCTTCAATGCCTTCAGGTCCTGGCAATCCATTCAGACCTCTCAGACCTTTCTCTCCTTTTTCTCCAATATCACCAGGCATCCCATCATTTCCAGTGATTCCCTGCAAGATTTAACATGAATATTTAAAACAATACATCAGTCATTGCGATTGTTCTTTTAGAAAAATATATTTTACTGAAATTATTCTTTTTAATTATTGTCTTAATTAAATTAAAATACTTTATGAAAATATCAAGCCAAACAAAAACCAAATAGATAAAAATACTGTCTTTTGTTTGGTATTTGTTGAAATAAGTATTAAAAATATACTTTCATGTATTAAAAATGTAAAAGCAAAAAACAAATTAAATTTTAAAAAATACTAGTATGTGATATACATAGAAAACAGTAAAATATAAATGAAAAAATGTGCACACCTTGTCTCCTTTATCTCCAGATGGACCTCGTGCACCATTGTCACCTTTGACACCACGAGGTCCTGGATAGCCAACAGTACCTTGCTGACCAGGGGGACCCTGCATTACAAAAATGTGTCATTTTCTACATTGTTCATTTATGAGTCTAAATCCACAATTAAATAATGTATACTGGACCCTACAAAACAAAAATATGTTATTTCCTTAATATTCCATTTGTGAAACAAAAAATAATAAAAAATAGTCTATATTTTTAAAAGAATTGTGTTACAACTATTTAAGTTTCAAAAATTAAAAATAAATAGTCTACAATATAAAAAGAATTGTGTTACAACTGTTTGTTTCAAAAACCAAAATTAATAGTCTACAATTTAAAAAGAAGTGAGTTATAACTAAGGTGAAAAGAAAAATTTCAATACTGACCACGTCACCTTTAGCTCCAGCTGTTCCTGGAGAGCCTTGAATACCCTGTGGTCACAGAATTGTAGAAATCAATTTAAAAGACTTTTTGAATACTGATACTTAAATATTAAATTTATAGTTTGATAGTTAGTGAGGGGGTTTGTTTTATATATTCTAGTACAATAAAGTAAATCACATGAGTGTTTTTTGTAAAGTTAATTTTTGTATCAATAAAATTAGGCTTTATAATAGGCCTATATAACATCTAGAGAAATATTATTTTTCTATATTTTAAATTAATCTAATTTTTGCACAATAATGTTTACTTACACTTTAAATTAAAGAACTACAAACAAAAAATATACTTTGCTATTTAAACTAATATTAGAACAATTCTTTAAATAATTAAACTTGGTAATTGGTTAATAACCTGAAATTAATATAAAATATTTTGGAGAGCTATAATTAAGAGGTTTACAGCACAGCTGGTGATACTTACAGTTGGTCCCATGGGTCCAGGAATACCAGGCAGGCCAGGTTTTCCAGTAGCACCAGGGATTCCTGCAGGTCCTAGAGGTCCTGAAGGGCCAGGTGGACCCTATTAAGTAAATTAATTCAAAATTAAATAAACCATTGTTTTTTGTGCTCACATTAAGCATTTGTATTGTTTATATTATTATCAAAATAAATAAAGTAAATGCCAACAATATTTGAAAGAAAATTTGAAATATATTTTTAAAAGTTTTTTTTATTGTGTAATATAGATCTAGTAAACATAATTAAAAACAATTTTTTGCATGCAATATTTATTTGAAAAAAATATGAAATTCATTTTAAAATATTTTTTAATCTAATGCAATATTGTATACACTATTATCAAAATAATTTTCAACATGCCAACTTAATTTACAAAATAAATCTGAACTTAATTTTTTTTTAAATTTGTGTTTTTTCTAAATACATTAATATTACTAATATTACGCCTACCAGTTCATACTCAAATTATTGTCAATAAACACACGAGTAACTTACCACTTGTCCAGGTGGGCCTGTCTGACCAGGTGCACCAGGTGACCCCATAGCTCCCTAGTAAACATAAACCATATAATTAATAATTACTAATGAGCATTATATAATATTCTCTATAGCGTCATATTTAAAAAATCATAAATATTTTAGATTTCCGTATAGTCAGTTCAACAAATGTATTGAATTTTCAAAATATGAAACTGTGCTTACCACATCTCCTTTAGGACCGGCTGGACCTTCACCTCCTGGTAGACCCTGGAGAAAATTTGAAACAGGCATACACATTTGATCTGCATCATTTTATTACATCTTAAATAAAAATTGATACTATCTTAAAATTGAAAAATAAATGGCATGTATATTACAATTAAATTACGTCAGCATAAACACTAAAAATTTAATTTGAAATTCCTATAAAAAAAAATGAAATTCTTTTAAAATATTTTTTTCCAATATATACTTTGTACTGTGTGTGGTAAACTAAACTATTGAGAAAATTGTTTCAGATGGGCTTAAACCTGTTACTTACAGGGGCACCAATAGGTCCAGGTCTTCCTCTAGGTCCAATAAATCCACGAGGTCCCTAAAAATGTCATTAAATACATATTAAAATTAATTACCATTTTATTATTTTAAAAAATGTTTTTAAAGAGTTCAAACCTTATAAAAGGCATATTTAGCACAGAATATCTACAGTATAAAAAGTCTTACCATTTCTCCAGGTGCACCAACTGGCCCAATTTCTCCTGGATCTCCCTGAGCAAAAAATAATTCACGTTAGAATTAAAATCTGTTTGAAAAAATGCTCATTTATGTCTAGTTATCTTAGGCAATAATATTTCACTAAGTATTTTTTTATTCCAGATCTTGGACTTCACCCTGCCCTTTGTCAATTACCCCTCATCCACTGATTACGTACCCAATCTCTATTTCCCCCCCCCCCCCCAGGTATTCCCCCCCCCCCGTCATAGATGTTATCTGGGAAGGGAGAAACCCAGCATTCTAACCTTACAGACTTATAAAAAAAATAGTTCTTTATAAGTTGCCTGAACATTAAATAGAATGCCAAGCAGGAAAACTAGGAAAAGTAAAGAATAAGTTTATTCCATCAAAAAACATTTGCTAACCCTAACATTAACATCACCTTACTGTTATGATAAGGGTCAAATAATGTCCTAATCCAAACTTTGGATGAGTGGCAATATCCAGGGGGTAATGTAAAGAGGGTAATGGGCAGAGGGTAATATACCAGGCTGTAATTGACCAGAGGATAATTGACCAGAGGGTATTGGACCACAGGTTAATTGACCAGGGGGTAATTGAACAGGGGGTAATTGACCAGAGGGTAATTGACCAGAGGGTATTTGACCAGGGGGTAATTGACCAGGGGGTAATTGACCAGGGGGTAATTGACCAGAGGGTAATTGACCAGAGGGTAATTGACCAGGGGGTAATTGACCAGGGGGATAAAAGTCCTACTCTAAACTTTGGATGAGTGGCAATATCCAGGGGTTAATACACAGAGGGTAATTGACCAGATGGTAATTGACCAGAGGGTAATGGGCAGAGGGTAATTGACCAGGGGGTAGTTGACCAGGGGGTAGTTGACCAGTGGGTAATGGGCAGAGGGTAATTAACCAGGGTGGTAATTGACCAGAGGGATAATGTCCTACTCCAAACTTTGGATGAGTGGCAATATCCAGGGGGTAATGTAAAGAGGGTAATGGGCAGAGGGTAATGGGCAGAGGGTAATTGACCAGGGCCTAGTTGACCAGGTGGTAATTGACCAGAGGGTATTGGATCACAGGGTAATTGACCAGGGGGTAATTGACCAGAGGGTAATTAACCAGAAGTTAATTGTCCAGGGGGGATAATGTCTTGCTCCCTTTTATTTCAAACATCTTTAGAGATTTAAAAATTAAAAAAAAAATCAATTACTTGTTCACCATCTTGTCCAACAGCACCAGGTTCTCCAGGTGGGCCAGCATCTCCCTGGGAGAAGAGAAAGTTGTATGAGCCTATGTCTTATTTTTTGTAAAAAGTGTCTTAGATTTGAATAATTTTGTGGAGAAAATAATGTTTTATTTAATATGAATATATCATGTCAATTTTATTAAAGTAGATTAAATTTTTATAGTTTTGAAGAGAAAATAGAATGCTTTTTGTATGAGCATATGTTGTTTAAAAAATTTACTGATTTAATAATTTTATATAGATAGTAGAATGCTTGTTTTCTTATTTTTATAACTTAATTATACAAAAATCACCATTCCCTGATAGTTTTATTTTAAAATAGACTGTTTTGTTTAGAATATTTTAAACCTGATATTAAAAATGACTTACCCTTTGACCTTTTTCACCAATCATACCAGGGATTCCAGCAAAGCCAGGCAGACCCTAATTTGAAATTTAAACAAGTTTAATTAAAATCTGCCTTATAATGTGATCCTAAGGTAGGTGGTATGGTGTATTCTTCATAACAGTGGTAAAAAATGCCAAAATAATGGATAAATCTTAAAAAGGGGTGGTAGATTGTGAAATAGTAACCAAGATTACTGGATAATGTCATTGCTAAATCTATCCTATCTCTCACAGAACTAACCATTATACTAGCCCTAGAGTCCAATGTTCAGCATTGGATGCAGAAATACACAAATAATTTTTATAATGTTGATTTAACATTTGTTACTTTTATGTTTAAACATTTCAAACAGCCAAACTTAGCATCATTAAGACAGTTATTTATTTAATTAGTAATACCCTTTCACCAGGAGGTCCCATAATTCCTCGTTCTCCATCTTTGCCTGTTCGTCCCTGGAGATGCAAAAAATACATCATTATTTATTCACCTAATTATATTGTGTTATACAAACCTTTCTGCTTGCTTTTTTTCTTCTTTATTCTTAATTGTAATATATTGTAGGGGATTTAGCTCAGGCACAATTAAGCAATACGTGTCAGCATGTTATGTTGGGTATGGCCCATCAACCTTAGCCTGCTTTTCTTGCTGGTTTTGCTTCCATACTCTTTGTGCAGCCAAGAAAAATTTGCAAGTTGCAGTTGTTTGATTTTGGAATTTTCTCTCCCAGATGGGTTTGCTGTTCTCACCAAGCTAATGAGTTTCATCTAGCTGGGTTCTGAACTCGACACTTGTCATGTGAACTCATGCCTGACCAGTTTTTATTTTATTTTAATACTAATTTAAATTTCATTAGAAATAAATTATGAAATATAATACAATTTCAGACAAATAAAATATGCATCAATCTTAGAAACATGAATTAATAATTTCAAAGATGAAAGAAAGGAATAACATACACGTTTTCCAGATGGTCCGGGGAGTCCAGGCATGCCCATAGAACCCATGGGACCCTGAAAAAAATAAGGGAAGTCAATGAAAATATATGCAGCAGTTTAAAATATCATTGACTGCTTGTCATTGTAATTTCATTAATTTAAAAAAAAAATTTCTTAAATTTTATTAATTTTTAACAACAGGGAAACATAAATGAACACTCTAAATAGAAAAAAAGAAATCGCTGGAAACCTACCATTTCTCCACTGTTTCCAATGTCTCCCTTTTCACCAACAGGTCCAGGGGGTCCCTGTGTAGAAAAGAAAATCCCATTAGACATAATTTATATAAATCTATAGGTCTAGCCAAAATAACGCATAGGCTACATACATTTTTATTTTTTGCTTTATTTGAATCCAATAAAATAAAGCTTTTTTTTTATTTTACTTAAGTGGTATATGTTTAAGTGCATATGTTTAAATTGATTTTTGAATTTATTGTAATTAACATAACACTGAATCGGAATTAAAAATCAGAAATAAAGGAAAAGAGGACGTCTGAGAAGACCTGGAAATGAGACAATGAATAAGACAACAATAAGATTTGATAACCTGGTGATAGTTGGAGAGACTAGCCCAAGTAAGTGACAAATTGATTAGGGTCTTTAAAAAGGTTACTGGTACAAAAAACATAATGGTTAGAATGTAGAGTAGAAGATGACACAAACCATACATGATGGCTACAGACTAGGTCGACTTAACATTATGACTATTTATGACACTTAACAATTGTAGATCTAGTTATAGAGTAGGTCAGCCTAACACTAATACACATTGAACATAGTTATAGAGTATGTCAACTTAACATTATGACACTTATCAATTGTAGATTTAGTTATAGTAGGTCAGCCTAACACTGTAATAAACATCAAATATAGTTATAGAGTAGGTCAGCCTAACACTGTAATAAACATCAAATATAATTATAGAGTAGGTCAGCTTAACTCAAGGCCAACCATACTAGAAAATGGCTATAGACTTGATTAGTTTAACACTATGATATAAGACAGACAATTGTTATAGAGTAGATCAGTTTTAAACTATGATTTAAACTATGGTTTAACACTTTGATATAGACCAGACAATAGTTTAACACTTTGATACAGACCAGACAATGGTTTTACACTATGTCACAATTTAACAGATACAAGACAGTCAATGATTATAGACTGAACCATCTAACAATTTCACACAGAAAAATGGTTCAACACTCTGATACAGACCAGACAATGGGTACAGACTGGATGGGTTTAACAATTTGACACAAAACAATGGTTTAACAATTTGGCACAAACAATGGTTTAACAATTTGACACAAAACAATGGTTTAACAATTTGGCACAAAACAATGGTTTAACAATTTGACACAAAACAATGGTTTAACAATTTGACACAAAACAATAGTTTAACACTATGTCACCACTTAACACTCCAGACCTCACCATCAACAGCATGTTATTAAATTCATTTGTCGATGTTCGAATCCCTGAGGTCAGCGACATCATCTATCAGTCAACTTACCACTCGACCAGGTAGCCCGGACATTCCCTGAGGCCCTGGCGCTCCACGCATGGCCAGCATGTGTTGGTCAAGCATTGACCGGAACTGTTCCACATGGTTGCCTTGGGCATTGTCCCAGTTTACCTACAGAGAATTTTTTTTAAATTAAAATTATCGCATTTTAAATCAAACATTGATACTGAAAAATAAAGAAATACAATTTTAATGTTGTATGACAGGCAACAGTTGTGCATACATGGACATGCCTTTACGGCTGATCAAATGCATAGCGCAACATATAAAATAAACAGGCTACAAAACAAGACTATAGGCTCGTTAACACTAAACAGAATCTATTACTATCTACAGTGTAGACTAAACTATCTAAACAAACACTGGCTGTTTTACTGGGTAACACTAACAGTCATGAATAGCTTATATTTTCTGTATAATCATAGTATGTAGATAAGTATAATAAATAATAACGGCACTATCCCTTATACAACCTTAATTGGTTGTGCATATTAGAAGGATATAGACTATAGACTATTGTAAATAGAACAATATAGTATATGTATATAGATTATAGACCAATGCCATACAGCTGTTTGTTTTCTTTTAAAGTTAGATCTAGTCTAGAATCTAGATCTAGCTAGAGTCTAGGCCCTATATTTTATTTTTGTAAAATGTCTAATATTCCAAATGAATGACAAACTAAAAATTACTAATAGAGTCTACTACAATTCATTAATCATGATTAGACGTTTAGTAAAAAAAAGACTAGAAGACTAAATATTTAGTAAATAATACTTAAACTTAAACACATTGATTGATTCATTAGTGATTAGTAATTTAAATGATTAGTGAGTGATTGTCCACCCACCCCACCCCAAAATCTAAATATATGTAGCCTACTAAAAAATACTAGATCTAGATTTTCTAGATCTAGAATAATCTAGATCTATTTTAATATACTAGATCTAGATCTAGGCCTATATATTACTATATAATAGTGTTAACTGTTAGCATGATGTAAAGTGTGTAATAATTCTATTCATAGCAGTTTAAAACTAATTCGCGGTGTTTCACTGTTTACATAGGTCTGTGCCGGAATGAGATCCTAGTATCCGCCAACTGTGGTAAACCCGTGATGGTGAGTTATCTCATTGCCTGTTGGCCATCAGAAGAGTTTCTTCCAGGCATCTCTTTGGGGGGGGGGGGGGGGGGGTCGAAGTTCCCCCCCCCCCGAAAAAATTCTTACGCCCTCCCCCCGAACGAAATGAAATTTATATAATGTATATAGAAAATATATACTTTTAACAGTGTCCGCCCCCCCCCCCCCCCGAAAATTTCAAGTGCCCCCCCCCCCCCGGAGAAAAAAAGTCTGGAAGAAACACTGGCCATCAGACCACCAGTACTGACTGACCACTACTGAGGTGTTAGGAGACACGCTAGTTTTAGCATTAAGGTGTTAGGAGACACCCTAGTTTTAGCAAAGATGTGTAAGGAGACACGCTAGTTTTAGCACTGAGGTGTTAGGAAACACCCTAGTTATAGCACAAACTAGTGTAACGTCGATACTGAGGTGTAGATCATACAAATTCGCCCCCACTCGTCTCATATATAAAAATCCTGGAAACCCCATAATACAAAGAGAGATTTCTGGGCGTATAAGGGTAGAAAACAAAACTTAATATATGCTTGGTAATGTGCCAGTAAATAGCGATTACCAGTTATTTCCCTTGCACAAATAAAACATCAAATAAGGGAAACAACATAAAATAAATTGCCAGAAAATCTGAAAATAAAATACATTTCAAAATAAATTAATCTCTAAACATTACTTTATTACAGCACCAATTAAAATTATACTATCTGTTGTGTACTGATTTCTATATTTAGAAAAGTACACTTAAGTTTTACTATATGGCCTACACGAAAACTAAACACTTTCAAAGTTTTTCAACATGATTTTTTATCATAGCTGAGACACATCGCTTAAGTTATATCTGGGCTGATAAACAAATCCATTAAAAAATTTTGGATCCCTTAAATGGGCAATAAGAACAATATAATTGGATCAGCACCATTTATGCATAGTCTACAATGAAGGGGGGATTGTATAATTAATCAATGTATTGTTTAATAAACCGATTGTTTGAAATAACTGACAACATTGATACCTTGTGTGCTATACATTATGGATCAAGTTAATTATATTATATAAGTAAGAAAGGAACCAACAAAAACAATTTAATTGTTTAAAAAGAATAAACAGCTTATTAGGCCAATAATCAAGCTATTATTTATGTTACAAAAAAATAATCAAAACTGATGTGAAACCTATAGAAGGAAATAAATTATACTTGTTCCAAAAAAATAATCAAATTTGATATGAAACCTATTAAAGGAAATAAAATATACTTGTTTTTATATGGAACGTAAAATGTGTCTTGGTGTCTAAACATCTAGATTCTAATCCATTTAACTTCCTTATTCTTTAAAAAAAAAAAACAATAAAAAAACCAACGACCCATTACAAAACGGCGATCTTCTTCTTCATTCTTAATTTTAGTATTGGGAAAGATTCCCTCCAACACAATTGAGTGTTACGTGCCAACTTGTTATGCACCATATGGTCGTCGACTCCGATTTTAGCCTGCTTTTCAAACAGTTTCTCCCATGAATTTTTGGACGGGAAGAGGGGGGGGGGGGAGGTTTGGGTTGGAGCCCTCTCCCCCTCCCCGCCCCCCCCCCCCCCCGATAAAATTGGAATCTATATGAAAAAATGCATACTTTTCTCAATATCCGACGACTCTCCCTTCCGGAAAATTTGTCCCCCCCCCCCCAAAAATAATATAAAGATCAAGTGTGCCCCCCCCCCCCCCCCCCGGAGAAAGAAGTCTGGAAGAACACTTGCTTTAAATGGCGTTGATATTTAAATATTTTGAGTGCAGGGCAAATAAGATTTGCGGTCATAACTGATTTGATGTGCAAATTCTACTTAAGCCGCTGTATACACATTATGTAGGCTTCTACTTTATCGAGAACGATTGTAAGCCGTAAAACAGTGGTTCTTAACATTTTTGAAAATACCGAACCCCACCAGTTTCATACGCGCATTCAACGAATCCTTCTTCAAAGCTATATCTTCCACCAGAGACGTAGCAAGGGGGGGGGGGGGAGGCGGGGGGGGGGGGGGGGGAACATATGTCCCCGGGCGCCGACCTTAGGGGGGGGGGCGCCATATTGAAAGTTTGAGGGGGGGGGGGTGAAAATGAAAAGTTCGAGGTGGGGGGTGCAAATCGAAAATTTGCTCCCGAGGGGGGCGCCAAATTGAAAGTATGTCCCCGGGCGCCGGGAAGGGTCGCTACGCCTCTGTCTTCCACACAGACAAAATCCAATCGTGAATCACATGAGTTGGGTCTGTGTCTTGACCTCCGCCGGAACCCTGAGACTGTCTCACCGAACCCCTAGGGTTCGACCGAACCTAGGTTAAAAACACTGGCCAAAAAGCATGCAGTATAGCTGGTTACGATTCCTGTTTTCACCAGATGGTGTATAAAGTTTTAAACTGCTGAGCTTAATGGAAACACAAAGACGTGTATGGTGTATAAAGTTTTAAACTGCTGAGCTTACTAGAAACACAAAGACGTGTATGATGTATACAATTTTAAACTGCAGAGCTTACTGGAAACACAAAAACGGGTATGGTGTGTAAAATTTTAAACTGCTGAGCTTACTGGAAACACAAAGACGTGTATGGTGTATAAAGTTTTAAACTGCTGAGCTTACTGGAAACACAAAGACCTGTATGGTGTATACATTTTAAAACTGCTGAGCTTACTGGTTCACAAAGACGTGGAATGTGTATACAGTTTTAAACTGCTGAGCTTACTGGAAACACAAAGACGTGTATGGTATTTAAAATTTTAAACTGCTGAGCTTACTGAAAACACAAAGACGTGTATGGTGTGTAAAATTTTAAACTGCTGAGCTTACTGGAAACACAAAGACGTGTCCTGGAGGTCCAGCCACACCATTGGCACCTGGTATACCATCTCGGCCTCCAACACCCTGTAGAAGAATGGCACGGTTGTTTTAAAAATAGACAAACTCTTGCAAGTGATATCAAAATATATAAATAAATACATCGAAAAATGTGTAAAGTAAAGGCGAAAAAATGATCAAATAATAGAAGCTTATAATTAAAAAAAAAACAACAAAAAAAAATTAATAAGTTGGATTGAGTTGTTTTTAAATTTAATATTGTAAAGGCTGGTATTTGTTTTAAAAAATAAAACATGGTTTATTTTAATTTTACTATTGGTGCTATAAGATTCATTCTAACGCAACGTTGTGCTCAACAAACTTACTTTATAAAATTTGATATTTTTGATGAAGAACAAGTTTGTAAAACTTGTCGTTAGGTTTTTTTTTTTACACTATTCCATATTGAGGCACAAAATGAATGTGATTATATTTTGATGGTACGAACAGATTAGCTAGATTTTATATTATAGTTTAAAATACATATGAATATCTCCCCCCCCCTTTCCATCAGCCCACACATTCCAACCCCACCCGCTTCCTTGTAAATAAAATATAGTTGTGTGAATGGGCAATAATGAAACACTAAACAATGGATTCGACTGACCAGGAGGTATTTTGAATTGTTAAAATAATTTTGTAATGATAATTTTATTTTACCTGATCTCCTTTTAAGCCAGGTGGGCCAGGTGATCCACGCTGTCCCGGTGGTCCTGGTGGTCCCTGTAGAAAAATTACACAACCATTATATATATAAATAAATAAATATATATATATATATACATATATATACATATATATATACATATATATATACATATATATATATATATATATATATATATATATATATATATATATATATATATATATATATATATATATATATATATATGTATATATATATGTATATATATATGTATATATATATATGTATATATATATATATATATATATATATATATATATATATATATATATATATATATATATATATATATATATATACATATATATATATATATACATGTATATATATATGTATATACATATATATATATATATACATATATATATATATATATATATATATATATATATATATATATATATATATATATATATACTATATATATATATATATATATATATATATATATATATATATATATATATATATATATATATATATATATATATATATATATATATATATATATATATATATATATATATATATATATATATTACGAGTCCTAAGTTAAAGGCAATGGGATAATTTCTAAACTGAAGTTCATAATACTTTAAGCATATAAGCCTATAGCAATTGACTTTTTTCTCTTAAATGTCACCATATGATCAGTCAAGCATGAACATTCAGTGTACCGTGACAGCATGACAAGTACTTACAAATCTGTAGGTGACGGATGTCATTTCAGCTGAGCCATACTCCAACGCCACAGAGGACTGTAAGATTGGACACAAATTAAAACAAAATTTAAAATATAGGGAGAAATAAAAATATGAAACAAACAACAAGCTGAAATAAAAACACATTCGGCAGTACATAATTTTAAAGATTTGTAGATAATTAAAGATTATATTTAAAATTTTACAAAATAACACATTATTATAGAATTAAATCGACGTGAATAAATTAGCAATCTGAAAAATAAAACAAATTATTTAAAAAACACGTGTTTCAAAACAAGGTAATGAAATCAGAGCTGAACTTCATTTTCTGCGTTTCACAAACACGTAAATAACAAACCCTCCCCACTCCCCACCAAAAACTAATCGCCAAACTTACACCCTACTCCAGTACTAATTGATAATATAATTCTATAAAAACATTATTTTCTAACTACAAAACATAATATGAGTCGTATGCATTATCACGCACTCGCCACAAGCACCATTAACTGTCCGGAAAGTCAAAGTTTCCCCCAATTAAACGTAGATTATGGACCTCTTATACCTGTATGTACAGCTCAGAATAAGGCGTACAATTAACATCATACTTGAAAAAAAAAAAACCAAATACATGATAACCGCGTCTGAAACCAATAAAATCTTACGTATAAGGCATTTAAAAAAAAAGTATTTATTCTTCAATCAGATCAAGACTGAAATTCAATAGGGCGATATGCTAAAAGTCGTCATTTGACAATAGCAATTCACAAAACAATAGCAGATAAACTGGGATATTATAGCCAGCAAACGGTAATGGATCGGGCACGACATGAACTATTGTCTACATCTCCAGGCAAGAAGAACTGGAGCTTTCAATGAAAGAAAAGTGGGCCGGCCTAAGCAGCCTTGTAGAAAGACAATGAAAGGAGAAGCAAGGGCTGCTGGGCTTACGTGGGCTGAACTAAAGAGAGCTGGACAAGCGAGTGGAGAGGTGCAGCTGCAGATCTTTGCTCCTGATGGGCTTCAAGTAAGCGGAGTATTGTTATATTCTTGAAAACATATGAGAAAATACTTTTTTAAATATATGATTTTTTTTCCAGAAATTCCACGCTGCGTCCAAACTTTTATGAGAAAATACTTTTTAATACAAGATTTTAGAAATTCCAACAATGCAGCTTCCATGCCTTGTAATGTATATTCCATCTCCAAACTTTTATGAGAAAATACTTTTTAATACAAGATTTTAGAAATTCCAATAAGGCAGCGTTCATGCCTTGTAATGTATATTCCGCCTCCGCGCATCATTACTCTACATAAACGTATAGACTAAACGCAAGTATCGCCAACCCCTTCTCCACCTTGTATATTCCATTTCTACGCATCATTACTCAACATAAAATAAAGACTTAACACAAGTATTCCATCTCCACGCATCATTACTCAACATAAAGTAAAGACTTAACACAATTATTGCCTACCCCCTAATGCTTTGAAAATCCACGCATCAATACTCAACATAAAGACTTAACATAAGTTTTCCCTACCCCTTCTCAAACTTATATATTCCATCCCCCATGCATCATTACTCTACATAAAGACAACACAAATATTGCCTACCCCTTCTCCACCTTCACTAGTGGTGTAGTTGTGCACCTCAATCCCCGATGTTCTAGACGATGATGAGGACGACGATGAAGACGATGACCACGATGATGAAGATGATGATGAAGATGAACGTGCGTATTGATGTGATATCATATACGGCAAAGGCGTATCGCAGTTGGGTGTGTACTTCTCACAGTGTTCATAGGCGGCGCCTGGGTCGGGGATGATGAGTAAATCTTGAATGTCCAGCTAGAGAAATAGATAACGAAAGTTAAGATGCATTTCATTGTGTTTTGAATCAATATAGATTTAACTACAAACCAATTATAAAATTAAATTAATATTTTTATTATCGATACATTTAATTAATATTTAAAAAATATGTTTTAAGTAATTATGGGACGGTGTGGTCGGATGGTAGAGCGCATGGCTGCGCGCCCAAGGTATCTATTTCGGATCTCGGCCCGGACTCGAGACTGTAAAACATCCCTGAGTCCACCCAGCTCTGGAGTGTACTTGACTCAGTTAGGGAAACTAAAGCCGGCTGACCACTACACCTTCATATGCCTAGTCAAGAAACATCATTATGAACTCTACTTCATCTGCCCTATGGATCGTTCCGTATGAAAGGGGAACTCTAGTTATTTTCACTTTAAGTTATTTAAATTAAAAAGTGAATTTTTTGATAGATTAGGAGTTTTGTAAAGCTTATAAAAGAAATATTTGACGCAGCCCTTAAATTCAACAGAATACAATAGCTAGCAAAAGTTGCTTTTACGTGGATTTTCGTCAAATGCCTTATCACAATGTAAGCTTAAAGATTCGGTTTTTAAATCGTGTTTTGAAATGTATATGAATAAGTATAAAATGCATAAAAATAATCGACCCCGACGAGACTCGAACTCGCAATCTTCTGATCCGAAGTCAGACGCCTTATCCATTAGGCCACGGGGCCATCTATTCACAATAGAGTACAATATAACACGTATACAAAATTATGTACTAGGTACTGTATTACTGGGTGTGGTGCGCACCCTTGCACCAGACTGGTACCGTTTGTTGATGTTTAAAGTTTAGAGTCCATTGTCAATCATAACATTATTTCACAGATTATAACTAAATTTTCTTAAGAATATTTAATTAATTTTTTTAAAAGTAATATGGAATTTTTCTAAATTGAGCTTTATTTCAATTTAGTTTCAGCTGCGTTTGTTGGTTTGATAGTGTTTTTTTTTTTTGTAAAGTGGTAATAACTATGTTTTTGTTATACCTTATTATATCGCTATTGTTAAGTGGCTTCAATTTATTATTGAAATCTAATAGCCAGGATTTAAAAAGTAATTTTTTTCTTCTTCAATTTGAAGAAATGTAAAGAAAACGCTATTAGTAATAACAATACTAAATACATAGAACTAAATATAAGCCTATTGGCATTGCGTTATGTAGTAAGGTAGTGCAACGCTCGTATACTAGCTCTTCAGTCTAGACTCAAGTCCATTGAACCCAGAGTTTCTTCCAGGCATCTCCCCCACCCCCTGCCCCCGAAAAACGCCTACCTCTCCCCTTCATCCCCCCCACCCCAACGAAATAGAATTTATATAAAATATATATAGTTTTATCAGTGTCGTTCACCCCTCCCCCCCCCCCCCCGTAAATTTCAAATGCCCCCGCTAGAGAAAAATGTCTGGAAGAAACCTAGAACCTCATTGATTATACGCGAGACATATAGACAAGAGTTGGAATAAGTAAAAACCCCCGCGTATTGTTCTAACCAATCAAATCTTTTCATTGACCAAGGTCAAGGAAACAATCTTTAATTTTATTTACTCTGAACCGCCATGTCTAATTTAGCATTATTTACTTACACAAGTAGTCTAATAGCTGGGAAATTAGAATTAAAACAAAGCATATGACGCGAGAGAATTCCGGAAAAAAAATAGCTAATATAATATTTATTCAAGCTAAAAGCAATAATTTTTCTGGCACATCGTGGTTACGGGTGTTATCATTACGCCGTAGAGAAAACAAAGACGATCAAGTAGACACAACAACAGAGTAAAAAAACAAACTCACTATAAACTCCTTGGTTATGTCGCCTAGATGGAAGCCAAAAAACACAGTTCCTTCAGTGTCAAACTGAACTGGAAGCGTTCTATTCAGTTGGTAGACGCCAACTTGCAGGCAGTTGTGGATCAAGGTCATAGTTTGACCCTTGACACTCAAGGCTACTCTTTGCCAACTGGTAGAAAACAAATATTTCAAGTATTGATCAGTGAGTAGTTAGACATTATTATATATACATATTATAATTTTCTCCAAAGTAATATCTCATTCGGTTAAAATGTTAAAATTATATATTTTCGTTTGTTGGATAACACATCTACTTTTTCCAAGCAGTGGCGTAGTTATGGGAGGGGAGGGGGTGGGGCGGTCGCCCCTGGTGCCGACACTAAAGGGGCGTCATAAGGGGTAGAGAAAATAATTTAAAAGCTAATTTTAAGCAGAAGTATTGACTTGTATACAGTCAAAGTTACAAAAATTAACAACTGCATGGCTTTACACACTGATTTAAGTGTTTTCTGTATCAATTTTTTTTTGGCACCGAAATAGAAAATGTTACGGGACAGTAACTATTTAGAAGCGCCATAAACATTTCAAACTCGGGGGGGGGGGGGGACGCTTCTTTACAGACAGGAATTACTATAAATAGAAATAGGACGATGAGGCGCGAAATTGATAGTCCGCCCCGGAAATAGGTCGCTACCCCTCTGAGTCCAGGTATCGTTTTTGTTGTTAAAAAATAAATCGTCTTAACGTGTAATTTTCGAATTGGTTCGTTTGGTATTTGAAGTAGAAATCTATGTTCGTGCTTCTGTTTACTACTTTGCGATTTGGTAAAGTCGTACGTAATTTTACATTTACAAACATTTTTGCTGCATGTGGTGTTTTTTGTTTTCCGTGAAAATTCTAGAAAATGTGCAAATTACCTGATCTCTTTGAAATCATGTTTTAAAACAAGTATATATATATATATATATATATATATATATATATATATATATATATATATATATATATATATATATATATATATATATATATATATATATATATATATATATATATATATATCGATGGTCTCGGTCGCAAACCGTCTAACTCAAAAAAATTCGATTTTCTTTTTTTTACATAAATTAAAAGCCAATATGATTCCCCATAATGCCTGAAAATATTAGAGAAATCTGTAGAATGATTATTGAGATATAATCATTTGAACAAACCGCCTATTATTTCTAGCGCTAAAAATCTCGGCGCAAAAACGAATATCGCTATATTTGTCAGTACACTTTTGATCGGGAACGCAGTCGCACGCCCTATTCACACAATTTTACAGCACAGCAGTCACAGTACTTATAGGTAAGGATATTTGATTAATTATGTTCAACTATTATATTACATTTTATCATTTTAAAGAATAATAAACAAATAGTATTTGTTTAATATAGCCTATTTCCAGATTTTCAATAACCAAACTGATTTGTTTACATTTTTTTAGGCTAACACAATGCTTTGAAACTAGATCTTCATTCTAGAATCTAAATATCAATCAAAACAATATAATTCGAATTATATTTCCACAAGAATGTGCAATAAGTTTAATAATTGTTAATTCACTACTAGCTTTAGATTGAGGGTTTAGATACGTGTTAAGAAATGTTTATATTGTAGGTTACAAAATGATTGGCGTACATGTTTTTAGTAGATACTTTTATGATTAATTTTTCAACAGACAAGCCTATCTCAACACACCAGCCTCTCTCAACAGACCAGCCTCTCTTAACAGACCAGCCTCTCTCAGCATACCAGCCTCTCAAAACAGACCAGCATCTCTCAACAGACCAGACTTACCACATAACAGACCAGCCTCTCTCAACAGACCAGCCTCTCACAACAGACCAGCCTCTCTCAACAGACCAGCCTCTCTCAACAGACCAGACTTACCACATAACAGACCAGCCTCTCAACAGACCAGCCTCTCTCAACAGACCAGCCTCTCTCAACAGACCAGCCTCTCTCAACAGACCAGCCTCTCTCAACAGACCAGCCTCTCACAACAGACCAGCCTCTCTCAACAGACCAGACTTACCACATAACAGACCAGCCTCTCAACAGACCAGCCTCTCTCAACAGACCAGCCTCTCTCAACAGACCAGCCTCTCTCAACAGACCAGCCTCTCTCAACAGACCAGCATCTCTTAACAGACCAGACGTACCACATAACAGACCAGCCTCTCTCAACAGATCAGCCTCTTTCAATACACCAACTTCTTTCAACACACCAGTCTTACCAGACTATCTTCGACATACCAGCCTCTCTCAACAGACCAGCCTCTCTCAACAGACCAGCCTCTCTCAACAGACCAGCCTCTCTCAACAGACCAGCCTCTCTTAACAGACCAGACTTACCACATAACAGACCAGCCTCTCTCAACAGACCAGCCTCTCTCAACAGACCAGCCTCTCAACATATCAGCCTCTCTCAACAGACCAGCCTCTCTCAACAGACCAGCCTCTCAACATATCAGCCTCTCTCAACAGACCAGCCTCTCTCAACAGACCAGCCTCTCTCAACAGACCAGCCTCTCTCAAAACACCAGTCTTACCACATAACAGACCAGCCTCTCTCAACAGACCAGCCTCTCTCAACAGACCAGCCTCTCTCAACAGACCAGCCTCTCTCAACAGACCAGCCTCTCTCAACAGACCAGGCTCACTCGACAGACCAGCCTCTCTCAACAGACCAGCCTCTCTCAACAGACAAGCCTCTCTCAACAGACCAGACTTACCACATAACAGACCAGCCTCTCTCAACAGACCAGCCTCTCCCAACAGACCAGCCTCTCCCAACAGACCAGCCTCTCTCAACAGACCAGCCTCTCTCAACAGACCAGCCTCTCTCAACAGACTAGCCTCTCTCAACAGACAAGTCTCTCTCAACAGACCAGCCTCTCTCAACAGACCAGCCTCTCTCAACAGACCAGCCTCTCTCAACAGACCAGCCTCTCCCAACAGACCAGCCTCTCTCAACAGACCAGCCTCTCTCAACAGACCAGCCTCTCTCAACAGACCAGCCTCTCCCAACAGACCAGCCTCTCCCAACAGACCAGCCTCTCTCAACAGACCAGCCTCTCTCAACAGACCAGCCTCTCTCAACAGACCAGCCTCTCTCAACAGACCAGCCTCTCCCAACAGACCAGCCTCTCTCAACAGACCAGCCTCTCTCAACAGACCAGCCTCTCTCAACAGACCAGCCTCTCTTAACAGACCAGTCTTACCACATAAGCTAGGGTCGTAAGATTATGATCTCATCTGTAGCCGCTGTCAAGTTGTATAAGAGCAGAAAAAAAGATAAAAGCTGTCATATTTGAGCACTCAAAAGCAGGTCATAAACACACCTTTTTATGATGATTTCCCTGATTTTAAAAATATGTTGCCATTTTAATGTTTCTTTATGTGACGTTTATTCAAAGAATAACTTTTAAAAATAAACACATTTTTGTGTTACATTTTTGTAAAATAAGTAAACATTAAGTCAGTATTAATGTGATTAGTGTGATATGTCCCATTCATAATATATCTGACAATACGGTTTCTGTTTTTACTATTATCATTCTACAAACCACCAGATTTAGTAAAATAAACTGTGAGAATAGAAAGATGTAATAAATAAAGCATAACAGTTAACAAGTCTAGTGCTAAATACAGACATAATGAATACACTCAAAAGCGATAAAGCCATACTGAAACATCTCTATTAAAAATTAAACTGACCCCATAATGTAGAATAAACTCAAATAATTAAAATATGAGCCCAAAACTATAATCTAAATATTATGAAGTGTTAATTATAACTTAAAAACATAAACATAACTAAATCACGTTCATTGGACAAAACGAACGAACGCGGCTGAGACCGAAATTCTCGGCTCAAAACAGCTAAGTCTGCGCGCACACAGATAGACGGTTTGCACCGAGAATTTTAGACCGAGCAAACCGTCTATCTTTTTAAACCTGCTATAATTTTGTAAATATCAACAAAACCCATTTTAAAACGCTACAGTATAGTCGGTAGAGAGTTTCTTCGGAGATATCTTTTTAAAAAAATGTGTATTAGAGCGATCGAGAAGGAAATAATCAGTTTTTTGTCTCTCCTGTAAAATTTACATTTTCGGAGTTAGACGGTTTGCGACCGAGACCATCGATATATATATATATATATATATATATATATATATATATATATATATATATATATATATATATATATATATATATATATATATATATATATATAAAAGTCTAATGAGTATAAAAATTATCGACCCCGACGAGACTCGAACTCGCAATCTTCTGATCCGAAGTCAGACGCCTTATCCATTAGGCCACGAGGCCATCTATTCGCAATGTGAGAACAATACAAGACAAATAAAATAAAAATGTTTGTGTTTATAGTTTTATACTCTCAAACCATGCCTGCTTTTGTTCTATCGAGGCGCTAACACTGACTAACAGCTAGTAGAGTAGTACTAACACTTGGCTCCGTCTATAGTCTGGACTTTTAACACGGGACCTGTGCCATAAACCTGTGTTTGTTTACATAATGTGTCGATCGCGAGCTTTTACGTCACATCACCGGAAACAAGATGGAGGAATAATAACAAGGGTCACACGTGCTGAGAACACGCGCTTCTCCTACAGAGGAGAGCTCTCTTTTTCCCAGAACACCTGTTTTGTTTGAACAGTCGAAAAGTAAAGTAGGTGGAGCTAAAGTGTCGAATTATACAAAGTAGGTGGAGTTATAACTCTAGAATAAAAAAAAAGTAAATGGAATTTACGCTTTGTAGTAATCAAAGAAAATACAGGTTAGCAGTAGGCCCTGTACAAAGTGGACTGAGCTTTTTGTTTTGAAGTAGGCCATACATAGGCTATAATGTAAAGAAGACGGAAGTCTTAAACTACTAAGTATGCAGCCAGAGTATATTTCAAGCATCTCCTCGGAAAGTGGGAGGGGGGGGGGGCGAAGCACGTTTACCGCCACCGAACTATTTATATACACAGTATATACTTATTTACTTCAACCAGTATCCCATCCCGGAATTTAAGACCCCCCCCCCCCCCCCGAAAGTTTTAAAAGACTCCCCCCCCCCGGAGAAAACCTTACATTATCTATACCCACCCAAATCTAAAATTCGATTTTTTTTTTTTTAATATTATTTCGTAATTTTGAACATCAGCATTGTAATTATTGATCCCAAATTTTTTTCTGGGTTTCCTTATACTCAGAGCTATAGGCCTAGTACATTATTCCCACCACATATAAAAACAGAAATGACACCTAACCCACCACATTGCTTTTAGCCCTGTAAGCGAAATATGACTCATTCGCAACAAGACGGTCATAGCAACATTCTTCTTAAATCCAATAGGCATATATAAAATAAAAAGTTTTTCTATAGCACGATTCAACTAACCTCACTAAAATAGCAACTGTACTAGTTTAATATACACACCCTAGATTACAAACTTTCACTAGTCTGAAAATTAGCTGAATATTTTTTCTTCTTTCTTGTACCTAACCGCCTTAATGCATGCAACCGACAGACGAGTACTCACATTTAACAGCCACCTGCAGGAGTCTTAGCCCAGGTGCAACAATCCTGTTGGCCAGACCACGAACTCAACCCCCCCCCCCTCCACCCCCACCACACACACCTCCGCTAACGTAAATACTTCATAATTGTGTTTAGTTATAGATGCCTGATTTTATGCTTGAAATTACATCTATATTTAGATTTTAATAGAAGTTTATCTACATCCTTGAACTTGACTGACCTTCACACGAGCGAATATGACTCACAGTTGTTCAAGCTCGGTAAACATGAATATACTATCACACATTTTTGTTAATGTAAGAAATTTCTACATTTTACTACACCCAACTACCTAACATTTTAAAATCAGTAATGTTTTCAAACGGAGTATTGATATAACAAATGTCCGACAATAGACTCTTCCGGCAATAGGTGTGTTAGGTTGTGTGTAGTTGTCTAACCTCAGATGTAGTTTTACGGTCAGAAATTAGGACTAGAGCTGGGGTAGGACTTGGGTTAGTATTAGGGTTAAGGATAGGGTTTGAATTGACAGTAACAAGTCATAATTGTATTTAGTTATTAGCTAGTAACCTAACACCCCCATTTTTAAAGACGGTTCTATTGTTGTGGCATTATCGGATACTGGATTAACACTAAAGTATCGTTTTAAAACTTTTATTAATATTTGATCTACTATTGGCTGTTTTTCTAATATTTTATACAAGAAATATTTCCAATAGTCCAAAATAGTTATTTTAAGCAGAATAGTTAATTACTAGTAACCTAACACCCCCTTCTTAAAGACGATCTATTATTATGATTTACAGAGTTTCTTCCAGGCATCGCTTACCCCCTAGAGAGTCTACCGCCCCCCCCCCCCGAACGAGATTGAATTTATATAGTAAAAATATACTTTTACTTGTGTCCACCCCCCCCCCCCCCGAAAATGTTGACCCCCCCCCCCCGAAAATATCAAGTGCCCCCCCCCCCCCACCCCCCCCCCCGGAGAAAAAAGTCTGGAAGAAACACTGGTGGTTTAACACCGAGGTACCGTTTTAAAACTTTTAATGATATTTAGTCTACTATAGATCCATAAAGGGTGTAGATTATACAACGAATCTTTCCACTGGTCCAAAATAATAAATTCAAATCGACCTATACACAATTGCTAAGGTATTTATTTAGCCTAGAGGCGTGATTGTTTTAATGATACACCTGCTGGGGTAGGTAAATCTTTCAAGTCCGGGGCTAACGGTTGATTCCGTCTCCTTCAGATAAATAAATAATAATACGAAAAGAAATGCTGACCACGCCCTAACCCCCCCCCCCCCCCCTCCCGCACTCGCTCGCTATGCCACTTGTTACATTTGTTAACAGAAAAAATAGGAGACTAAAATAGACTGAAATATTCGTGACGTCATTAATGCTACATGCTCTGAAACACTTGAAAAAAAACAGCCTCTAGATCTAAAACTTGATTGCAAAAAAATAATTGTATTCAAGTAGGCCTACTCTTGAGAAAAAAAAACCTCCACACATTTTTTTACAGAATGAAAACACTTCATCGTAACTAAGTTTAAAGCCAACCTTGAACAAGATTGTTCCGCTAAATAAAAAGCTTAACCGCGAGAAGGTTTTGATTCGCCAATGAACGCATCTTCTTAATTAGGCTGGTAAGTAGGTCACCAACCAGTTCTACGGCTCAATAAAACCTGCATGAGCCATAGAACTGGTTGGTGACCTACTTACCAGCCCTATGAAGAAGTCCTGGTTATTTTTTTCTTTCTATATTTCTCCTACAAAATTAAGCCGACCCTAAGGCAACTGAAATCCAGCTTAAACTCATTTAGTTTCATTATAATTGCTTTAGCCGACATAAATAATCTATTGATCGTAAGCTAAGTAATTTCTTCACATACGAAGATCTGTCAATATTAAAAATGTAAAATATGGTTATAACCTTTACTTTAGAAAATAATATTTTTTCTCCTTTAAGGGGTCGTCCAAAATGACGTCACACGGGGTCCGTAATTTTGTGACGGTGTGTGATGAGGGGGAGGGGGGGTTAAGATGGTGCGACGTCACACTTTTGCACTATAAAAAAAGCATTGTTAGAAAACGAATTTTAGACGTTATTTCGCTTTTTAGATAACTGTTTTAATAAATTGTAATATGAATTGATTAAAATACTCTATATTGACCGAGTTCAGACAAGATTCTAGAAAAATATCGATGTTTTAAAAAAATTCAACTGCAATTTTGAGGGGGCGTTGTAGGCTGAGGTGTGACGTCATTTTAGGGGTGGTCTGGCTTTTTGTGACGACGTGTGACGGAGGGGATGGGGGCGAGGTAAAAATCGTAAAAAAAGCGTGCGGTCATTTATGGATGACCCCCAACTTCTAGTAGAGTCAGTATTAACACCAGAAATAAAAAAAAAAAAAAAAAAAAAAAAAAAAAAAACAATTCCGATATTTTCGGTTGAATAAAAGCCAGGTAACTCACACTCCATCGTTGATGGTGGCCTCAAAGACGGGCGACCCCTCCCCGGGCAGGTGGTTCAAGTCGTTGTAGTAAAACTGGTTGGGCGTGCCGACCGTCAGGGACATGATCTCCGTGGCGTCGTCGTTGTAGATGGTGAAAACCTTGCCCTCGGCCTCGACCTCCGTCCTCAAGGTCAGGATGATGGAAAACTCGTTTGGTACGCCCTCTAGAGGCGGGGAATAGGAGGAGATGTTTCAGTGAATGATTAGACGTATGGCGAGATTCATTATCAGTATTTATTTTAATAGTTGGAAAACTTGTTTGGTATAGGGCTGGTAAGTAGGTCACCAACCAGTTCTACGGCTCAATAAAACCTGCATTAGCCATAGAACTGTTTATTGACCTACTTACCAGCCCTATACTTCTGGAAGTGGGATATGGGAGTCGATTTTCAGTTGTTTTAGATGAATGCTTGGATATATTGAGAGGTGTTATTGATCAATATTTATTTAATAGTTAACTTTTTTTTCTTTTTATACCAATCAGTTCATGCATATTTTATGTAGATCTAGTAGATTTTGTAAATTCAATCTATCTAATAATGAGTTTATCCGCACTTCAGTCTATTCGTCCATCCGTTATTCATCCATACAACCGTCCATTTGTCAAATCACCAACTCTTTTACCTTACATCCGTCCATTTAACCCTTTCGCCCATTAGTCCACTAGACCATCTTTGTTAACACTCATTCGTCCATTTGCTCTTCCGTCCATTTGCTCTTCCATCAGATCTATCCATCCATGCATCCACTCAACAATTAATCCAACCATCATTTCAACCATCAAACCATCTATCCAACCATCCAACCATCATTTTAACCATCCTTTCAACCATCCAACTATCCTTTCAACCATCAAACCATCCAACCATCCAACCATCCAACCATCCATCCAACCATCATTTTAATCATCCAACCATCCTTTCAACCATCAAACCATCCAACCATCCATTCATCCATTCATCCAACCATCCTTTCAACCATCCAACCATCCTTTAACCATCCGACCATCCATCCATCCACTCATCAATTAATCCAACCATCCTTCCAACCATCATTTCCCCATCATTTCAATCATCCTTTCAACCATCCAACCATCCTTTCAACCATCCAACCATCATTTCAACCATCCAACCATCCTTTCAACCATCCAACCATCATTTCACCATCATTTAAACTATCCTTTCAACCATCTAATCATCCTTTCAACAATACAACCATCCTTTTAACCATCCAACCATCTTTTTAACCATCCAACCATCATTTCTCCATCATTTTAACTATCCTTTCAACCATCAAACCATCCTTTCAACCATCCAACCATCCTTTCAACCACCCAACCATTCTTTCAAATATCCGACCATCATTTCACCATCATTTCAACCATCCAACTATCCTTTCAACCATCCAACCATCCTTTCAACCATCCAACCATCCTTTCAACCATCCAACCATCCTTTCAACCATCCAACCATCATTTCACCATCATTTCAACCATGCAACCAACCATCCAATCAACCATCCAATCATCCCTCCAACCACCTAACCATCCAACCATCCCCCCCCCCCAACTATCAATACTTGTTACCAACTCTCTGACACTCAAACCCTACCTTTAAAAATCTCTGAAATTTTTTTCTGAGGTAGCAGTTCTGCATTCTTCAACCTCCAGGCCGGGTCCTCAACGGTTCCTTCGTCCTCAGAATCGTCCGGCCTGACCCTGGCGGTACACAGCCCGGGGATGACCTCTACTCCGTGTTCTGGCGTCAGTTTCCTGAGTTCAAAAGCCTCGATAAAATCCACAGAACCTAAAGAGAGAGAGAGAGAGAGAGAGAGAGAGAAAACAAAAGTTAGTTTTGGTATCCAGGGGAAGGAGTGCTCTAGCGGTAGAGAGCTGGACTGCTAACCCGCAAGTCTCGAGTTCGAATCCGGGTTCAAGTCAGTAGACCGTCTCTGAGTCCACTCAGCTATGATGGGTACCTAACTCACGTTAGGGAAAGTAAAGGCGGCTGGGCATATTGCTGACAACACTATCTCTTCATATGCCGAGGTCACAGAAACAATTGAACTCTATTTCACTTGCCCTATAGACTGTCAGGTTTGAAAGGGAACTTTACTTTTTTACTTTTCACTCCACAAGACTTAATTGTCATCAATATGCTCTTGTGAACACAATTAATACTTTAGATGAATTATATAAGAAAAGAACTCAATTAACATAAAACAGAGTAGTGAGCTATGTGAAAAAGTATTTTATGAATTGATCACATCTTAAATGCATAACAGATTAAATTTGACGATTTACAAGGCAAACAACTTATTCGAAATAGGGAAAGTAAAGGCGGCTGGGCATATTGCTGACAACACTATCTCTTCATATGTCGAGGTCACAGAAACAAGTGAACTCTACTTCACTTGCCCCATAAACCGTCAGGTTTGAAAGGGAAACTTTACCTTTTACTTTTTGGTATCTATTACAGGAATTTTTGGAACGGCGTGGTCGAGTTGTTAAGCGTTTGGCTGCTATCTCGAAGGTCTCGAGTTAGGGCATGTAACTGCAGGACGTCCCTGAGTCCAGAGGCGTAGCGAGGGGGGGGGGGGCGGGGGGTGAGGACCGCACCGGGTGACACCCTTTAGGGGGGTGACACCAAGGCAAAAAATAGCAAAATATATAGAGAAAAACTTGAGGGGGGGGGGTGCAAATCGAAAGTTTGAGGGGGGTGCAAATCGAAAGTTTGAGGGGGGGGGGGGTGCAAATCGAAAATTTGAAAGTTTGTCCCCGGGAAGGGTCGCTACGCCTCTGGGGGGTGACACCATTAAGTGCCGCACCGGGTGACACCCGACCTCGCTACGCCACTGCCTGTGTCCAACCATCTCTAATGGTTACCTAACTTACGTTGGGGAAAGTAAAGGCGGCTGAGCACAGTGCTGACTACACCTTTCTTTCATATGCTAAGATAAGAAACATGAATTCTACTTTCTCTGCCCAAATGGATCGCTAGGTCTAAAGAGGAATCTTTAATTTATTACAGGAGTTTGTGAAATCTGGTTATGTTGATGGAGTTCTAATTGTGTTTGTATTTTAATCTGTAAAATACATTTTTAAACGCATAAATGTCAGCAACTTTATCATGGCGCTGTTTCTGAAGATAAATCATATTATTAAACTAAATGGGGGTCGTCGTAGTCGAGTCGGTAAAGCTCATGGTTGCTAAACCGAAAAGTTTCGAGTTCGTACCCTCGGGCACATGAGGCTCGTTAACTGGGGACAGACACTCTTCTAGGAGAGACAACTCCAAAATCAAACAACTGCTGCCTTGTAGTTTGTTCTTGGTTGGACAAAGGCTATGGAAGCACATCCAAAAAGAAAAGCAGGCTGAAATCGGAGTCAATGGCCTCAATGGCGCTTTACCAGTTGACACGTAATACTTAATTGTGATGGAGGCGTGGCCGAGTCGGCTAAATTTCGAAAAAAAAAGTCTCGAGTTCAAACCCTCTGGTAAATAATGCTCGATCCCTTCCAACACTAAAAATTAAGAACGAAGAAGAAGAAGATTAAACTAATCAAGTTATCACTAAATTTAATGTTTTTTTTTTTCACTGACAGTTAACACCAATATTGTTATATCTTTAAAGATGTTAATCCTAATCCATGTTTTTTTAACCGACAGTTAAAACGATTATTTTTGTTTGTTTACAGACGTTAATCCTAATCTACCTGTACATTTAGCTGCCAGAGTTACCGCGACTTTACACTTTCGACCACCCACAAATCAGAACAAATTCTTTAAATTTGAGGATTAATTTTTATTTAAAGAATGCACTGGTCTTAAACGAAAGCACTGAAGCTATTAACAGAGTTTCTTCCAGGCATCTCTTCGGGGGGTGGGGGGGGGGGGAGAAGATGGGTTCGCCCCCCCCCCCCTCCGAAGAAAGTCTACCGCCCTCCCGAACGAGATGGAATTTATATAGTAAACATACAATTTTACTAGTGTCCGCCCCCCCCCCCCCACGAAAAATGTTGACCGCCCTTTCCCCCCCCCCCAGAAAATATCAAGTGCCAGCCCCCCCCCCACGAAAAATGTTGACCGCCCTTCCCCCCCCAGAAAATATCAAGTGCCCCCCCCCCCCGAAAATATCAAGTCCCCGCTTCCCCGAAAATATCAAGTGACCCCCCCCTCCCCCCGAAAATATCAAGTGCCCCCCGGAGAAAAAAGTCTGGAACAAACACTGGCTGTTAATTGTCACAAATAAAATCGCTTCATTTTACGTATCTCTTATTCCCCAGGGGATTCCAGTCTAGACGTTCTACTGGCTCGAACTCGGGTTCGAACTCGAGACTTTCGGGTTAGAAGTCTATCTCTCTACCGCTAGGCCACCCCGTCACAAAAATAATGGTTTACCGTAGTAAAATAAAAAATTACAACTCATTTTTTTTTCAAAACAGCTTTTGGGATTTGGGTTTAGCTCCTCATAGTCATTCATGGATCTTATTTTCGATATACGGAAATGCAACTACGTTAGAGGCAACTACGTTTGGGAATATAGATGGCATACAACATTATTTCTACTTTTCAGTAAATCATGTGTTCAGAAGTTGTAATGGGGTGTGTTGGTAACATAACTAGCGAAGGTGAACGCCCTGCATGGCACATGTTTTAAGTGCTGTAAAACAATGTTTTGCTTAAACGTGGATGGCTGTGTTGATGTTGAAATGGAGTGTGTATGGCAGTGGCGTAGGCATGGGGGGGGGGGCCCTCGGTATATATATAATATATGAGGGGGGGGGTGCAAATCGAAAGTTTGAGGGGGGTGCAAATCGAAAGTTTGAGGGGGGGTGCAAGTTTGTCCCCGGGTAAAAATTGGAACCCACCCCCCCTTGAGACGATCCTGGCTACCCCACTGTTGTATGGGGCGGGGTGGGGGGGGGGGGGGGTTAAGTCAAGAGATGGTCGGAGTTTGGGTGGAATGAATGCATGTTGGTCAGGATGAGAAAGAATGTTGCGATATCTGGGTCATGCTATGTGGATATCATATAAAGTAAAGAATCAACGTTAGACCTAACGATCCATTGAGCAGATGAAGTAGAGTTCATATGTTTCTTGACCCAGCCGCTTTTTTCCCGTAACATGAGTTAGGTACCCATCAGAGCTGGGTGGACTCAGGGAGGTCTGCAGACTTGGACCTGAATACGAACTCAAGACTTTCCGGGTTAGCAGGCTAGCGCTCTACCTCTTAGACCACGCCGTCCCATGAATATCTTAAACAAGCTCTTCAATTGGTACTGTGATTGGCTCTACAGTGAAAGCGAAAGAGGTGAAGGTCATAGGAACATGGACGATAGAGGTGGAAGAAGAGGTGCTGACCACGGGCTATCACTGGCATGAACTCAGGTGACTCGAACATTAAAAGAGTGGCATGTTGGAGGTTTGTAGATGGATTATGTCCCACGGGGAGGCGCGAGAATTAAGTGAGTAATCAGGAAAAATTAATTAGAATAACGTTGGAGTGCCGTAGCAGAAAGCGAAAATGAACACATTTGAATTTTTGTTGATGGAAGGTAGTTTTTAGGTGTGTGGCTTTATGCATGTGTGTATGTCTCTCTCTTTTTCTCTCTGTCTCTGTCTTTGTCTCCGTCTCTCTCTCTCTCTCTGTGTAAATGAAAATCCTTTACAAAAAGATGATAGTATAATAGAAACACGTTTTTTATGTTTAAAATTGTAGGGTTGATTAAGGGTGTTTATAACATTATGGATGCTAATTTAGATGTTTAAATTATAAAGATTATGAAGGTTATAAAAACGCATGAAAGCTTGTATAAAAACGATTCAAGTATTTAAAAACATGTTGATGATTAAGGTGTTTAAGTTTTAAGAATTAGGCTAATTAAGGTATGGAAATATATGGAAGAAAATGTTAAAATATAGGGATGATTCAAGTATTTAAAATATAAAAAAAATGTATGCTTTGATTCATTAAACATTTTTTTATCATTTAGGCTTCAAAGTGATTAAATTTGCTGAAACAATTTAGGTATTTCAGAATATAAAATGTATACGTCAATTGTGATTGTAAATAACGAGTCTAGAGTAATAAAATCCTCTCTTATATAGAATAGTAGCGTCTGTTTACTATGGCAAAAAAAAAACTATATTGAAAGAGTGAATTTAAGCCAGTTCGTATTACTAATATAAATTCCTGAAATGTGGGTTAAAAAAAATTTAAATAAAAAAAAAACGAAAAAAAAAAACCCCACACAAGATAACTGTATAATGTAAGGTTCTAGTCTGTGCAAGGGGTAGGGTTAGACTAAATAAAATTTCAGATTTCTTCTTCTGACACTTAAAAAAAAAACCGCAGCAGAAGCTACAAATTGACAGTATTAGGTGTCAGGTGAATCTAATGTAGGTTGCTGGGGGAAACCAGTGCACAGAGTTCAGTCAAGCGTGAAGAAAATTGCTGAGACTGGCGTTTGTTGGGGTGGGGTAGGGGAGGAGTGAGCAAGACAGTTTTTTTAAGAGAATAAAGTTGAGTGCTAACGGCCGAGATATAGCAGATTTATGAGTGTATGTGGTAGTGGTGTGCGGAGGGGGGGGGGGAATTTATTTAGAGGAAGTCTTTAATGTATGAATACATAAGCGGTAGAGCACAGATATGGGAAAACTTTATATATATATATATATATATATATATATATATATATATATATATATATATATATATATATATATATATATATATATATATATATATATATATATATATATATATATATATATATATATATATATATATATATATATATATA